AAGTACATACAATTGATTTTCCTTCTCCTCTTGAGTTTTCTAAATTACATTTGAAAATAAACTTGTAACACTGTCTAATGTGCTTCACAACATACAGTTACATCAGAATGGGGGAGGGAAAGGGACAGAAAGGGAGGTGAGGCTTCTACACTTCCAACTGTCAGTGTGGACACCAGTAGACTGGTGTGTTCTGTGTATACACAATGCAACACCTAGAGCAACCACTAAAAGCTGGCTAAACAAGCAGACACTCAAAAACACTACAGAGAGCCCTGGCCAGCATGCCTCAGTGGTTAGCGTGTTGGCCTGCATGCGGGAGGGTCATGGGTTCGATACCCAAAGGCATGTACCTGTCTTGCAGACTTAATCCCTATCCCCAGTTGGGACACCTGTGGGAGGCAACCAATTGATGTGTCTCTCTCGGATATTTCTCTCTCTCCACCTCCCTTCCACTCTAAAAAATCAATGGAGCCGAAACCGGTTTGGCTCAATGGATAGAGCGTCGGCTTGGGGACTGAAAGGTCCCGGGTTCGATTCCGGTCAAGGGCATGTACCTTGGTTGCAGGCATAGCCCCAGTAGGGGGTGTGCAAGAGGCAGCTGATCAATGACTCTCTCTCATCGATGTTTCTAACTCTCTATCTCTCTCCCTTCCTCTCTGTACAAAATCAATAAAATATATATTAAAAAAAATAAAAAAAAAAATAAATAAATAAATAAATAAATAAATAAAAAATCAATGGAGCCCTAGCTGGTTTGGCTCAGTGGTTGGAGCATTGGGCTGCGGGCTGAAGGGTCCCAGGTTCAATTCTGGTCAAAGGCACATGCCTGGTTTGTGGGCTCGATCCCCAGTTGGGGGCATGCAAGAGGCAGCCAATCAATGATTCTCTCTTATCATTGATATTTCTATTTCTCTCTCCCTCTCCCTTCCTCGCTGAAATCAATAAATATTTTAAAAATCAATGGAAAAAATATGCTCACCCCTCAAGTGAGGATTAAAAGCAAACAAACACTACAAATAAATCAAAATGACATCCTAAAAAAACGTTCAAGTTCGGCACTTGAAGGCAGGAAAAAAGCAAACAGAAAACAAAAGTGAAATGGCTGATGTAAGCCCTAACACAGCTACCGGGTGGGGCAAACATAGGTCTACAGTTATTTGTATGGAAGATAATAAAAAATTAATAAATAAAATACAAGAATAAACTGTGTTTTACGTGCTCACAACTGTAGACCTACTTCTGCCCCACCCTGTATAATTACATTAAATGGAGACGGTCTAAACACACCAATTAAAAGACAGAGACTGACATCAGAATGTCAGGTAAAATAAACTGCAGGGTCAAGAAAATTAGCAGGTCAAGAGACGTTACATAATGACAACTCACAAGACACAGGCATCTTCGCTGTGTACGCACGCACCAGATGGTAAAACTGCCAGCTCGGGGGTCCAAGCACGGACAGAACTGAAGGGGAGACAGCTGGTCCCACAGTTAGTGTCAGAGCTCAACACCACGCTCAGTGCCACTGTCAGAACTGAGGACTCCGCCGGTCAGCACGCGTGAGGCCCAGCCGCAGTCGGGCTGAGAGGAGCCATCGTCCACGAAGGGCTCCATGGCGGGCGGCCTGTAACACAGGCCATGAGGCCGGAGCAGAAACCGCCAGGTCCTGTCTAACGCTCACCGGGAGAAGGTTCCCTTTACAAACTAATTTGGGTGGTGAGTGGTTTCTGCTTCCTGCAATCACCAAGCCTAACATGCTTTCAGAAAGGGAGCTAAGCCCTGGCTGGTGTGCTCAATGGTTAGAGCATTGACCTGAACACTGAAGGGTTGACTGAGGGTTCCATTCCCAGTCAAGGGCTGGGGCGCATGTGATCCATGTTTCTCTCACATCAATGTTTCTCTCCCTCGCTCCCACTCTCTCTGAAAATTCAATGGGAAAAATATCTTTGGGTGAGGGTTACAAAATATCTAAAAAGGGAGCTAAAGATACCAAAGATTTTTCTGCATCATAATTTGCTATGGCCCTGTCCCTCCACTCCTGAAGTTTAGGACAGCTATCATCTGAACACCTGGTCCTATCTCTCACTTCACCTGACTCCCCGGTCAGTGGAAGGGAGGGAAAGAACACTGCGTCTCCACCACGGATGGGGACAGATGAGCCCCCTGTACAGGCCCACGCGGCCCACACCATGGCTTCCACCCAGAGGGTTCTGACGCAGACGGGCCTGGAATTAAGGGTCGGCAGGAAGGTCCTCTTGTATACAAGCTTACAAATAATCTGGTGGTTGGAATCCATTCTTCACCTCACTACTTACTGGAGGGGTGGAGGTACAGGATGTGAAAAGGGATTTCAATTTCTCAGGACCAAGGGTAAGAAACCCCACCTACTGAGCCAGGCCGTTGAGTCCCGCCCTGCCAGCAGCAATCCCTGCAGACCTGGTTGCATGTGAACCAAGAAGGGTCACATGAAGGCCACGCCACCACCTCACCTCCTGGGTCTCCCCTCAGAACCCCGACACTGCCAGCAGACTGCCTGGGCTCTAGCCCTGCTCCTGCCACTTCCTACTGTGACTTTTCTGTGCCTCACCGCTAGAGGAATTACCCCATGGCACTGGCGTCAATGGATAAACTCAGGTGTGACCACAGTCTCTTAGCTTTCATTCCTGGGTAGTTACCAGACACACACAAGAAGCCACTGAAAACGAGCGGGAGCGATGCAAAGTTGTTTTTATTTCTGTAATGTTCTTACTAATGTGAACAGAACCGTCACAGGGGCTCAGTCTGTAACCATCCAGCCTAAGATTGTCCTGTGGGGGCCCCAAGGACAGACAGGTCTTCCTCCCTCTTCCCCCACAGGCACCAACACTCCTGTCACCCCAGAATTCACCCAGAGCCTTTGGGATCCTCCGTGCTCCGGCCAGACCCAGCCTGCTGGGCAGTGGGTAGAAGAAAGCTCCTTTTACATTTCCGGCGGCGTGGGTGGGTAGACATGGAACCCGCGAACGCGACTCTATGGACTCAATGACGTCCCTCTAGCCTCCCTCTGCGGTGAAGAACCTGTGTCCTTACAACTCCCCTTCTCCAGGCCGGCATTCCCCGGGGTGTGCACCCCAAGCCTCAGGAAGTCTTCCCTCCGTGGGAAGGACCAGGAAGGTGGTTAGTTGTTGCTCTGGCCCCAGCACACACCACGCCGGCATCTTGCAGGAGCAGCCCTGCCTGCGCTGTCTAGGCGGCACTCCGCCGTCACGAGTGGCCGTTCAGGACCCTCTGCCCGTCCCAAATGATTCTGAAAAGCTTCCATGTTCACACAATCCCACTAGCCTCAGGTCCTGCTGGAATGTTATTCTACCTTAAAGTTTTCAACCCCCTGACCTAGAGATGCCTCTTTCAGATTTCATATCTTCTTCAAACTTACTGCCTCCTGAATTTCAGAAAGCACTTCTCTACCAGCTGATGCAAGAATAGAGCGCCATTCTCCGAGTCACCAGAGACCAGCTCTGCGGGGGTCAGTGCATGACGTTTAAGATGCCCTCCACTCCTCTCTTACACGTGCCCAGACCTGTCTCCCATCCTGCACGCTGTGCACCCCTCCTGGCTACCACTCAGATGGAAGGGGGGCACTCCTGAAGTGAAGGTAGGCTGTCTGGTTTGGGCCAGGACCCTGGACCACAGTCCCAGCCATGGCATGCTGTGCTCTCCCTGCCTACAGATACCGCAGAGTCCCACTGGTGCCTGACTCATCGCCATAGCTGGGAACATTCTGGAGCACGAAAGGGAAGGCAGGCTGCTGTGGACAATGTGTTCTAAGCCAAATCTAAAACTGCTTTGCACAAAAGTGCTGTGAGGAGGGAAGGAGGGACTCCAAGCTCCATCTTCAGCGACTACTTGTCCAGAGACCTGCTCCTCCCAGGCGCAGGCTGGCACCAGGAGCAGAGTGCTGCCAGGAGCGTCAGTGCCAGTGATCCCCCCACTTCTGAGCAGGCAGGCAAATTGCATGGGACACAGAAACAGACACAAACACGGAAGCTCGGCCTTCGTGGTCTTCTGCCGAGGCTTCCTGGGTCGCCCAGATGTTAACTTAGCTGGCTATCCCTGTTTCACCTGCCAGCACTGGGGAGAGGTTTTGGGGGTGGGGCTATCTTCCCCCTGACCTTGCAAATTCTTATCTCCAGTTGACTCTGCAGCTCCTTAGGACCGAGAGGCAAAGCCTCAAGCCTGAATCGTTTTAGCAGCAGGACTTACTGACTCATCTTTGAAGCTGCTTCCTTTGCTGGCCATTGGTCTTCTTCGACCTTTCTGGACCCGCGGGCTTTCTGCATAGAGGAAGTGCCCAACCCATGATAAAAAAAAAGGGGCCTGTTTTCCTCTCTTAGCGACTGCTGCTCTCCACATGTCAGTGGCCAAAGGGACTGAGAGGACAGCCCAGTGTGCTCTGCCCTCATGGATCCGAGTTAGGTATTCTCAGTCTCAGAGACGACTGGTGTGATTCCTACGAGGGAGCTGTGTTTTACTCTCCTCTGCTACTCAGTGAGGGCAGCAGAATGTCCAAAACATCCTTTAAATACTGACCGCCAGCTGGCGGGCCGGGATGACGCTGGCCCTCAGCAAAGGGCTCGCAATCTGAACCCCTGCAGCCCTAGACCACAAGCATGTCTCCTCCCAACTTGGCAGAGGGTAGCACAGACTTCCAAAAGGCTCCTTCATGAAATGCTGCCCGGGGCAAGTCACAGCTAGCACTGGTGATCTGCCAATGTCCCGGCCTGCTGAGGAGCCAGCGGTTCTGGGAGCCAGACCTGTAGAAGCTGAAGGACGATACTCCCCTTGCTGGCACCATGTCACTTAGCCTAACGTCTCACAGGCCCCACAGGCCAACCCCGAAGACAGCTGGCAGAGAGGCAGAAATGAGTGTCTTAAGGATCTTCAGACAAGTGGGCAGCTCAGCAGGACAGCACAGGTGCCCGGACTTCTCGGCAGCAGCATCACCAACCTCACGTGCGTCTTCAGGGAGCTGGAGGCAGGCGCTAGGGCAGGAGAGGAGTGAACAAGGTCAGAACTTGGCAGTTAACCTTCCACATCCTCCAGCCCCTCACCCCAAGCCTGAGGATCTATGCCGAAGAGACTCCATGGGGAAAAGCTGGGTGCGCAAGGACGCGCCTTCTGGCAGCAATGGGTCGCACAGCATGGATGCTGCCTCAGGCCCTGCCCCTTCCTAGGCCAGTGGCCGTGCTGGAGCTTCCTTTTCCTCAGCTCAGGACGGCAGCACACCCCCAGGCGCTGTGGGTGAAATGAGCCAAGCTGCACAAATCAAGAGTATACTTGTTTAACTAAAAGGCAAGCTCTATTACACTCGAGGCCAGGGTAAATGCGGAAAAGGAGCCAGTGAAGGTTAAGGGTGACAGCACGGAGAGTTTTCCATGCTTGTGCTGCGGATCCTTTCTCAGGTCTCTCCGGCTTTCAGTGTTGTGGAGGACGCCCTGAATTGCTGAGCCTTACAGCTCAGGAAGAATGAAGCAAGGTTGAGAGAACTGGCCTTTTCTCACCAAGGTTCTCTCCCTTCTCTAGATTTCACCTGGAAAAGCAGCACAGATGGGAGGCCAGAGGGGCAGGAGAGGAGGCGTGAAGAGGGTCTGACATTTAGAATCTGAAAGGATGCTCCTCCCATTGCTCACTCCGCCCAAAGACAGGCTGTGCACTGAGCTTGCTCGGTCCTGGTCAGTAATACACCTGTCAGTGCCCACTCCCAGGGGCCGCCACGGCCATGTGGCCACAGAGGTATCGCCAGGCAGAGGGAAGCCTGGTGACCACAGGCAAGGACGCATTCAGGATTTGGACGCAGGCACAGCAGCCTCTGTCCCTGCTCCCCTTCAGCCTCTCAGGATACACCGCTGCTCAGCTCCATGAAGGAAGCTCGCAGTAAGCACCTTCAGTGCCAGAAACAAAGCAGACATTCATGTTTGCACAACCTCAGAGACATTAGCTGGTGCTCACTCTGCCTTTCTTTGTAAATTCATTCTACCCAAAAATACTGCAGTTTGGAACCTGAAAATAGGAAGGGGATATTGTTTCCAACTTTTAAACACCATTATTACACACAAAAAGGTTAATAATTCCTTCATACCAACAATTATCCAGTCCGTGTTCACATTTCCAAATGTATTGTAAATGTCATAAATGGGTGGATTGTTTCTCAACCTTTGGAAATACATCTTCCAAAGCCAGAGGAGATTCTGAGACAGGTCCTACTAATCTCAGCACCACAACAATCACCGCCTCACCAGACTAGACGAGAAAACCAAAGTCCAGAGAGGTTGGGTGATTTGCCCAGGATCACACAGCTTGCTGAAGCAGAGGGCCTGACCACTGTCTGGCAGTCTGAACACTATAAGGTAATTGTTAGAAGCTTTCAAGTCAGCAAGTCTGAACCTAATAATATCTCCTTTGTAAGAAAGGAATCATCACCAGAACCTCCCTAGTAATTACCACCCATTGTACTGAGATACAAACTAAGCTCTGAGTTAACTTCCCCAGGTAGAAGTAGTATATTATCTTTATTCTGGTCTTCCATTTAGCCAGGAAGACGGTTCCCAACGACGCTAATCTCTTCAACACTAACCAGCCCCCCAATGCACTGCAGCCAAAGGACCACCTGACAAAGAGGAGGGCACCGGGTGGGGCCTGTTTCCAGCTGTGCCTCAGGCGGCATCAGCAAAGGTCAGAACTGCCTGAAAACAGGCCCGAAGGCTAAGAGGTCATTTCCATCAAACACCTAGGAACTGGTCATTTCTACGACATATAAACGTTTGAGAAGATGAGAAAAACATAAAATACTTCTCATATCATCTTATGGGAAAAGCACACACAAAAGCAGAGGTGACTGAAAGAAAGCTACAGGCCAATATCACTAATAATTAGCAAACTAGAAACACAACTGATACTCCCTTAATTGGAGGACCTGCATTACCAAACACTAATAGAAAGCCAGTGTAGGAACAGACAGGTCAAGGGGTACAAAACTGGCCCATGTGTGCACGGTAATCTAGAATGTGAGAGCAGCGGATGTCAAACAACGAAAAATGAATGGACTACTCTGTACTTAGATCCTTATCTCGCTTAGCATATAGAAATAAATTAAAAACAACAACAACAAATTCCAAGTGGAATGAAAACTAAAGGTAAACAAACAAGCATGATAAGAAAACAGTTTCAATATGGGACGATGGGGCGTTCTAGAGGTGAACTGTGGTGATGGCTGCACAACAATGTGAGTGCTTTATGCCACTCAGTTGGGCTTTAAAAAGGGTATGTATGGCCGAAACCGGTTTGGCTCAATGGATAGAGCGTCGGGCATGTACCTTGGTTGCGGGCATATCCCCAGTAGGGGGTGTGCAAGAGGCAGCTGATCGATGACTCTCTCTCATCGATGTTTCTAACTCTCTATCTCTCTCCCTTCCTCTCTGTACAAAATCAATAAAATATATTTAAAAAAAAAAAAAGGGTATGTATGTATATTTTACCACAATCTTAAAAAAAAACATATTAAAAACAAAATGCAATAAGATTATAATCTTGCAATGGGAAGAGCATAAAGGAAAAGATTTGAAGACCTTACTGCATAAAATTTTTTAATGTTTGCATGATAAAAGATCCAGAAACAAAGTTGAAAGACATTAACTTAATATTTCAATAGAAAGGAAAAAAAGCGCAACTGACTGGAATAAAGTATATGCAACTTGTATAAAATAGATAAAGGATCAACATTGGAATATATAAAGCCGTTTATATAAAATAAACGGACACAGAATATAATAGGTAATTCATAAAAGACATACCATCTCACAAATAATCAGAAAAATGCACATTAAAACAATTTCACTTCTCACCCACCAAATCTATAAAATTAAAAATACTAATTTCCACACCTGACAATGGTATAAACAAACAGATATTCTCATCACTGTGTCTTGACTTGTAAATTAGCAAAACCTGATGAAGGACAATTAGCAGCTGGCAGGGGGTAGATGCATACACCCTCCACATACTGGTCTCCAGCCTGTACAAGTTCCCCGAGTAAACAAACATCATGACGAGGGTGTGCACCACACCATTACTTATGATGTCAAAACACAAACATAACCCAGCTCTCTATCAGTGGCGGTGAAGCCCACTTTCTTTAAAAAAATATATATATATTTTATTGATTTCTTACAGGGAGGAAGAGAGAGCGATAGAGTTAGAAACATCAATGAGAGAGAATCATCGATCAGCTGCCTCTTGCACACCCCCTACTGGGGATGTGCCCACAACTATGGTACATGCCCTTGACTAGAATCGAACCAGGGACCTTTCAGTCCACAGGCCAACGCTCTATCCACTGAGCCAAACTGGTTTCGGCTGAAGCCCACTTTCTTACAACCGCATTGTCAGAGCATATAGGTCTGAATCTACTATCTCCTTTGTCAGAGCATAGATGGGTCTCTCTGTAATCAACAGGGAAACACATCATAATGTATTTTGTAAACAAAGATAGCTATAAAAGTCCATATTTTTTTATCTCATTTTGTCAAAAATTAAAGTAATACACTTTGCATACAGAGAAAAATCTAGAATGAAGATCAAGCTACTCACAGTGGATATCCTCCTAGGAATGGTATCATGGGAAATTTGCACTTTCTAAATGCACCAGTGGGGTCCCTCAGCCTGGCCTGCTCCTCTTGCAATCCAGGACCCCTCGGGGATGTAGTACTGGGGCAGGTGCTGTGCCACTCCCACTCATGCCGACCCCACTGCACCTGCCCGGCCACTGGGTAGCATGTTGCCACAGAAGCATCACAGTTGCACCTGCCAGCTGTGTGCCTGGCTTCTGGTGCCCTTCAAAGCCGAGCGGCACTCGCGCTGTGGGACGCACTGACCACCAGAGGGCAGCTCCTGCATTTAGCGTCTGCCCCTGGTGGTCAGTGTGCGGCATAGAGACCGATGGACCGGTTGGTTGTTCAGTCACTTAGGCTTTTATATATGTAGATAAGCATAATCACCCTGTGACTGAAACAATAATGAATAAAATATCGAGAACACCTCCCCCTTTCTGCAGACAGCAGGGGTGGGTCTGACCCCAGCAGAGCCAGAAACAGCCTCTGTGCAGAGGAGCTTCTGGTCCAGTCAGCAACGGTCCCTGCCACGCATGCCCAGCCCCGGCCCCAGGCAAAGCCCGGTGGGAAAGCCAGGCTCAGGGCCAGCTTCTGCCACGCAGCCGGCACAGCACCGTCCTGTGTGGAAGGCTTTGCTGGAATGGTGGGCACTGAAGTAAGCACAATCCACACTGGGCACAAATGACTGTTCTCTTTAATCTCTGGCCTTTGAGTGGCTCTCAGATCACCACTTAAGATTAGAAACATTTCACTGGAAAAGGTCATAAAGGAAATCAGATCAGCTAAGAGGACTTGGAGGTGACTTCTGGTAAGAGCTATAAAAAACCTAGTTGTGGCCCCGCCAGCATGGCTCGGTGGTTGAGTGTTAACCTATGAACCAGGAGGTCATGGTTCGATTCCCAGTCAGGGCACATGCCCAGGTTGTGGGCTTGAAAGCTAGTGCAGGGTGTGTAGGAGGTAGCCGATCAATATCTAATCATTGATATTTCTACCTCTCTCCTTCTTTCCTCTCTGAAATCAATAAAAATACATATATTAAAAAATGAAATAAAATAAAATAAAAAACCAAACACTTAGTTGTGCCCGAAAAAGATGGCAATGAGTGTCCAGATCTGGAAGGGCACAATGCTGGAAGCCCTGAGCCACAACCAATGCATGACAGAACTGAGCAGAGAAAAAAAGGAATGGGGAGGGAAAGTAAACCAAAACATGAAATACAGGTACTAGGACACACAGGGACACACACATTTAAGCTCACAACGGTCCAGGGTGTGTGACAGAAAAGGAGGCTCAAAGGTCCAAAGCTACAAGCCCAGTTCTGGATTTGAATCTGACCTAACTACAAGCCCAGTACATGGAAACTGCTAGAGCCTGTCTCCCCCATCTTCCCGGGCAGACTCACCTGTGAGTTGGAGGGCAGCACCTGGGAGGTGGGCTCCTCGGATGGGGCTACTCCTGGGCCCATGGGGCTCAGTGTGGTGATCCGGCTTGGTTGCCCTCGAAGGGTCAGCGTAATGGTGGTGGGGACCTTCAAGCCTGAGAAGAGAAGTAAGGGTGTGTGTGTGTGTTTTGTCACACCCCTATTTCCTTTCTTGGGGAGTTTCTTCCCCACAGCACACCCTCCTTAGCCTCCTCCCCAGCTGGGTAATCTGCACCCCTCAGTCATTCTGAAAGGCAGCAGAAAACAGCCTGTGTTCTCTCAACCTCTGGGGGATGGACCCCCCTGCCCACCAGACACACAGCTAAATCCCTGAGGGTGGATGCCAAGGCCCTGGTTGGGTTCAATAGCATCCCTAGCCCATGTGAGACAAGAAGGTCCTGGGGGAAGACCCCATATCCGGGAATCCCCGTGGTCCTCAAGAAAGACTCACCTGATGCTTGGTTGGAGATCTGAGCCAGGCCAGGGAGGCTGCTTGCCAACTTGGCGAGGCCCCCATTGGTCAGCAGCTGGTGGATGGCTGTAGGTTTTCCACCAGGAGCGGCACCCAAGGACGAGAGAGTGGTGGCGACAGGAATGGTACGGACAATGGTGCTGGTGCCTGTGGTGATGGCACCCAGGCTCTGTATGGGAGTGGGCAGCTTCACACTGGTGGCCTGTGGGACACACCAGCCCAGGGGATCAGAGGCTGTTGCCCAACAGCCACGCACAAGTGTGGCGTGCCCACAGCATGTCAGAAAAGCTGCCATGTATGAGTGCCCACCACATGCAAGTGCTCTTCCAGGCATTCCCCACACATTTCGCCCTCAAACAGCTCTGTGAGGGATAGACTACCATGGTCATTGTACAGACAAGGAAACAAAGACACAGAGAGATCAAGAAACTTGCCCAGTGTCCCACAGTAAGTGATGGAGCCGTAACCTTGGGTAGCTCCCAGCTGAGAAGTCAGAGGCTATTTGTCCTTGACCCAGACTCCAGACCCAGACTCCCCACCGAAAACAATCAAGCGGAGGCTTCCTCCCACACCTGCCCAGCCCAAAGGAAGGCAGAGGCGCACCTGTGGGGATGGTCCTGGGGAGGGACTTGCCGGGAGGCCCGAGGCCTTGCTGCTGATGTCCTGTAAGCTGAAGCTGAGGCCTTGGAGGAGGCTGCTGGCGGATGTGGCCCCTAGGCAATGACGTGACAGCTGTCAGTACAAGCTCCACCATTTATTTGAGAGCCGTCATGTCCGTCCACCCTCACCAACCAGCCAACACCATGTGTGCTCTTCCCCCGGACATGCCTCCCTCTCAGGAAGCCAGCAGGGGCCCAGCATGCCTGCTGAAGCCCATGTGAGGAAGGGTCTATGCAGATGTACGCCTTCCATTCCTCCGCACATCCCAACCTGCTCCCAAACAACTGTCCTAGAGTGTGGGCAGTTTTAGGAAAACCAGAGAGGTTGAATCCCACTGTTCAGAACTCCAAATTCTCTCACTTCTTCTAGGGAAGAGAAAGAACTTTTACCTCATCTTCTATTATACCAGCAATTTCTCCTCCTTACAGTGTAGGGTGCACTGCCTGCAGACTGTGATGTTTACTCATTGTACATATTAAGGCTAAGAACTTCATGCCCCTTGAAGCTAATTCCAGCTTCTTGTCAAACTTCCCTGACATCCTGAGACCCCAGGAATGTCCTCGGGATTCAGCTCCAGGCTGTTTGCCAGGACCACCCTCCACCAGCTGCCCAGACCTGCTGGGAGGTCGGATGCTGTGCCCCGGATACCTGGGAGGGAGCTGCTAGGGGAGGTGGCCACCAGGCGGCTCTGGAGTGTGTGCAGGGGGCTGGGGGCGGTGCTGCTGGAGACAACGGAGGAGGCCGGGCTGGCTGGCACAGCCGCTTCAGAAGCACTGGGCCTGGATGTAAAGACAGGAGCTGTTACACACAGGTTGAGGGCAGCAGGCCCAAGCAGCACCGGGAGGGCCGGAATGGAGCCCAGCAAGGTTTCAGCAATGGACACGAGGCAAGAAACTTCTGAATCGGCCACTAGTCCTTCTAGAAGTTAGGCCTAAAGTGAAGACTTCAGGCCTTGAAGCAAGAGCTACCGGAGGCTTTGCAAACTTTAGGTGAAAATGAACTGAACTCTTGCGTTTGTCCAAAAGAAAAATAAACATCCCACCCAAAATGAAGTTAACACTCCTCAGATGGTCAGAACCCAGAATCCACCATCTGCCCAAAGCCTATGTGGACCAGAAGAAAGGGGAAAAGAAAGAAGGGGACAGAGACAGACCGAGGAGCAGACTCGCCTGGCTGTGGTGAGAAGCCCTGTGAGCTCCTTGGCACCTGCTGCCGCCTGTCCCAGGGTCATCATGACGGGCTTTCCTCCCCCAGCTGCAAAACAAAGCCCCAAGCCCCAGTCAGTCCCGATCGGCTCACCCTCCACAGCCAGGCTAAATGCACGGTATATGGACAAAGACTGGAAACGGAACAATGAAGAATAACTACATGGGAATAGGAAGAGCTGGAGTTATTTTTTCTCTTTCTGTTGCCTAAACTTTCTGGAATATTTTATTTTTAATTGAAACGAACAAACAAAAACCCTAGATATATGATGCCTTGCATGAACCCAGAGCTTCCTCTGATCTTCGTCCTGCCTCCTGGTGCTAGTGCAGATCAGGTCACTGCCCCCCTTCCTGTGGGCCACCTCGAGCCCCCTGCTCAGGCACCCCTCGCACTGCAGTTGAGGCTGAGTGCCAGCAAGCAGCCCCAAGAGGGCAAAGTTACGAGCCCGGGGAGAGCTCAGTCAAGGGAAACTCACCTTCTGGGGTTCCTCCTTGGGTAGGAGTACAAGGCCCTCCAGCTGGGTCCCCTTGGGAGATGAGGGACACCTTGATCTTGGGTCGCTTGGAGGCCTTACTGCCAGACAGAGGACTGGAGGGATGGTGCCGCTTTAGCTGTACCCTCAGATCCTCTTTCTCTGCTTCCTCCGCTTGTTCTGATGAGATGGGAACTAAGAGAGAGAGCTGAGTGAGGTCCTCCAGACGGGCAGGGCCAGTACGGGTCCACTGTATGTGGGAACACACAGGAGTACCAGCCACACACGGAGCCACACTCCAACCTGTGTTAGTCCCACCTCGCTCCGCCCCGCTGTGGCGGAACTGCACTGCCCCTTTCACATGGCGCATCCCCATTCCTCACTCTGCCCTGCAGTTGGAAAGATGGGGGCTCTGGGTTGGAACAAAAAGAAAGGAGAAGACACTGCAGCCCTGCCCAGCAAAGGCCAACCACAGAGCTCATCACAGTGGATCTACACACACTTCCCAGGCTCAAAAACCGTGATCCTTTTCCTATTTCAGTCTGGCTTCAGGAGCTCCTCGGCAAGGAAGCACCTCAGCCAAGAGACCTTTACAGCTGCTGTCCCAAAGTAACAGGGCAACGGGGCCCAGCCACAACCCAGCCCCAGGTCCCTTGTCCTCGGTACAGAGAGAGGCTACTGTTCACACATAGGCTTTTCCCTCCGTTGACTCAAACAGATTCACCCTGCATATGGCCAAGCCTGGGTATCATTCAGGCTTCCTCACAGATCCCCTCTTTACCCCCAGATCCCCCAGCTCCAGCCCCTTATCTTAGCACAGGCAATCAGGGCTGGGAGAAGGCAGCAGGGCCAGGAGGGTGAGGGAGATGGCATGGGCCATAGGGAGTTATTCCAGACCATAGTCAGGGCACAACCAGCTTGGAAGATTTGTTCAAGGAACCAGCCCAGTCAGTGTGGCTCAGTGGTTGAGCATTGACTCAAGAACCAAGAGGTCACCAGTTCACTTCTGGTCAGGGCACATGTCTGGGTTGCAGGCATGGTCCCCAGCAGGGGGCATGTAGGAGGCGGACAAAGATGTTTCCTCTCATAGACATTTCTGTCTCTCTATCCCTTTCCGTTCCTCTCTCTAAAAGTTAATTTAGAAAACATACTTTAAAAAAGGCATTAGTTAAAATCTGCATTGGAAAGAGGTAATGAAAGGAAGACGAGCTCCAGTTTTATGATGGAAAGTGGCTTGCCGCGGCCAGGGTGGAGGTAGGAAACCACTGGCAGGGAGAAAAATACCCAAGGAAACGCAGGCTCACAGGCAATGGCCACAGGCACTCATGGGAGAAGCAGAGCTAAGAGCTATAATAAGAAACAAAAAGAGAAAACACCATGAGAGGCAAACAGAAAGAATGGAGAAAAAGCAAAGACAATGGAGCAAAAGGAGTCAGGGGGAGAAGAAAAAGAAAAAGGTGTCTAGAGAGAAAAGAACAGGAGGAAACCAAACGGACAATGAGAGGCCGGGCAGGGAGTGGAGAGGGAGAAGGTGAGAAAGAGTAATACTCACCAAAGAGACAGGAGGAGGTGCCAGGAGGAAGAGCTTTCCTCACCAGCATGTTTTGTTTCAGAAAAGCAGCAAACTGTGCTGGAATGAATCAGAAAGAATTATAGAATCACAGCTAGCCAGAGAAAGGAGAGAAAGAGAGGGAGTAAGAATATGAGAATGTTCTAGAAAATAGTCAACAGGGGCTTTCTCTGGAATTACTGCTTTTAGCAGCTCCAAGAAATCATCTATAAACTGAAATACAAAGGCACCTGCCCCACGGGCCACTGCCAAGATTCCCTGAGCCACAGCAAGTCAAGCACTTGCAGTAGTGAGGGCTCTATGACATTAGCTACTATCCTCCCCTCTGCCTGTGAGCTCAGTCAAAGCCGCTTCAGCTGCTGCCCCGTGATACTCTGGGTTCCATTTCGAACCCAGCTCTCCAATCAGCTTTCCAAAACGCCTTGGATTCTCAAGGAATTATCCCCTCCAGAGGCACCAGACCACTGGCTCTCTCTTCATCGAAAGCCTGAGTGATACCACCCACCGAGAACTTGGCTCTGCCACACCTTAGAAAGCCCAGGTCACAGCGCATCCACATGACCCGAGCGTCTGGCCTTTTTGTCTTCATCTAACCACACGAGATTCTGCTCCTTGTCAGCACCTCCCTCAAGGGCAACTTCCTTAGAGGCCTGGGTTTTAAGTCCTTACCCTGGCTTCACTGAAGGACACACAGGGGAAGGGAGGAGCCTGCTGTCACCTCCACCTCTCTCTACCTGCCAACCAGCTCTGGCTTCTGCCTCGTCCCTGAACCTCAGCTGATACGTGCTCCTGGATACATCATCAAACACCAATGCCTAAGAGACTCATCTCAGAGCCACCCAACTGGATCAAAGTGGGCGAGGGATAGAGCCGCTGCATCTCCTTCTCTCCCTATCCACTGAACTCCCTTGCCTAGAGCTTCTTACGTAGCACTCACTGATCTCCAAACTCTAATTTCAATCACACCAATATTTCCCACCTACCCTAAAGCCTATCTGATAAGCCTCACTGAAAGTCCCAGTGTAGAAATCTTAACTCTTCAAAAGCAACACAAAGAAAGGGCATGACCCCGTTAAGCTGCCCTGGAATCTGATGAACAAGCCAAGCACCCTGGAGGGCACCCTGGCTATGGGAGAGGCTGTGCAGGGCCGGAAGCAGCGGTAGCTCCCCCACTGGGAGTTAGAAAAGCACCTGAGGCCAGCATACATGTAGTCAGCCCACACAGCCTAACCGGCCAGAACACAAGGCAAAGCTGTAGCCAGTGGACTGCTGCAGCCCCGACACACAGACCTCAAGGGACGTTTCACCCTGAAAGCAGCCCTCGGTGTTCATTTTGCCCGGACAGGAATGCGGGAAAGGTGCTGCTCACACGCCCCTGGAAAAAGCTGCAGATGCCAATACATTCCAATGGCTACATGATGTCAGCGGCAGAGCACAGAGAGGGCCACAGGGCCAGGCACCGATACCTTGGGCTTGTTTGTGGGTCAGCACAGCTTCCGTCCGCTGCACGTGTCTCTTCAGCAGCTGCGAGCTCCCAATCTGACTGGACTTCTGGGCCGAGGCCACTGTGGTCACTTTGGTCTTAGGACTGGAGGTGGGGCTGCTGGACACACTGGAGAGATCCTGAGCAGGGTGAGAAGGGCAAGAGCCGAGCCAACATTGTAGATTTCACCACCTATTGGCATTCCCTGGTCAGGAATTCACCCTGTAGGAACTCACAGGCCTACAAGCACCGGCCCCTAGCACATAGGCGACCCCGAGAAGCCAAAACACAGCTCTGTGGTCCTCGTCCCCCTTCCCTGCCACATCACCTCGGAGCCTGACGGGGAGGCTGGAAGCCTGGCAGCTGGCGAGGCAGGTCGACTGCCCCTCTCGGGGATCTCAAAGGCCAGGTCTCTGCGGGCCACATCCCGGGGCTTCTTCTTCTTCTCAGCATCCTGGTCCCGCGGCTCGGCACCCACGTGCCCCTCAGTGCGAGTGAGCACTCCAGTCAGAAAGTCCACAATCTCATCCTGGTGTAAAGAGAGGCCAGCACAGAGTCCTCGGCTGGAGAACGGGGACTGCCCCATAGTTCCAACTGAAACTGATTACCTTGGCTTTGGCATCTGAGGTGCCAGGCCCTCCCCATGTGCACAAAACCTGCACAAACCCCAACCTCAGCCAGAGGCCAGAGGAACTGAGAGGAGGTGCGCTGGGGTGATCATGCACTACCATTCCCCTGTGAACCCACTCTTCCCTGGCACTTCTTCCACATTTTAGCTCATTCCTCTCCTTCCCCCTTCTCCCTTTTTCTTTCTCTTTCTCTTTGCTTGTGATGTAGGCCACCAGAGGCCCCAAGGGATCTACCCCTTACTCTTCAGAGACAAAAGGACTGTTACTGACAAGACTAAGCCAAAAGGCTGCAGAAAGGAAGCCTCGCTGAGAAAACGCAAAAGCAAGTGTGTACCTGGATACACCTGTCCACCATGCTCTGTGTCAACCCTTCTGATTTCTTCTTTGCTTTACTTATCCTAAAAGACAAAAAGGAGGAATGTTCTAAATATTCCTGGCATCAGTGGAGGTTATTTTCAAGGCCTGGGGAGGAAGACTATGTAAGTGCTTAGGCAGGTGTTGCAACCTCTTTGCACCTCAGTTTCCACATCTGCAAAACGGAGAACCATAACACCTCACTTATAGATTGGGGGATTGCACTAAGGAGCATAAGAAAAGTGCCGGAAATACACAGTCCTATGTCCTCATGAACCTAACAAGACCCACAACAAAGGCCCAAACCCTGAGAAGTTGTCAAATGACCAAGATCAAAAGGAATTCTCCCAAACACCTCTGGGTAAGAAACCGACAAGACAGGTGCGAGCAGGCACCGCTTTAAGCTCTCCAGTTAAATGACCGACTCTCTCAGAGTGAGCATACAGGAAAAGGAGGCCCCATACATGACACATTCAGTATGTTTCATGGAAATGTAACTAACGGCCCAAAAGGGAGCTGGCCTTGTAAGGGAGTAGACATCTCAAGAACTAAAGGTGCCTTCATAAAACTCTCTCAAACTTTGGCCATTTATCCTCAAAATATGTAAAGGTACTTTATACAAATAAAATGTGTTCATGGTCATCCTGAGGAAGGAACAAAATGTAAAGAAATGCCTACCCCACACAGACAGTAGGTGGTGAAGGCCTGGGCGGGCTGAAGGGGTCAATGAGGGGAAAAAGGGGACATATGTATTATTCAACAATAAAGTATTAAAAAAAAAAGAAGAAATGCCTACCCCAGTAATCCCATGATGACAAAGACTATATTTACAGGGTCTCAAAGTATCTTCTCCCCACAAGATAACTACTAATTAAAAGGGAAAATAGTAACTTTACTGTAGGAAACGTGGCAGAGGCCCCGTAACCCATGACCAAGGATAACATCACCAGTGACAAGCCATGCCAACATCATGTATCCTCGGAGGAGGTGCAGTGACGTTACCTTCCTTGCCTTTGGGGCATTACTGCCAGAAATACATTTCTTCAACCTACTCATAAAAAATGTCAAAAAACTACACTGAGGGACAGTCTACAAAATAACTGGCCAAAGTCTTTAAACGTGTCAAGGTCATGGAAGACAAAGACGAATTGAGCAGTATCAAATGAATCAAATTAAAGGAGACAGGGAAGCCATGGCACCAACAGCAACATGTGATCCTGGACCCTGAACCAGAGACAACTGATGCAATCTGAATCTGTAGATTAGATAACAGTATCAGATTCAAGTTAATTTCTTGACTTTGATAATTATACACTGGTTATGTAAGATGTTAATATTTGAGAAATCCAGATGAGGGCTATACAGGATTTTTTTGTACTCTTTGCAACATTTTATAAATCTGAAGTAGTTAAAAATGTAAAAAAATAAAAAGGTTGTTCGTGCCCCCTTTTAGATGTGGTCTGAACCACATTAGCCTGGATAGCTAGCTACCTCACCACCTCGCAGGTCTCTCTCCACCAGCACAGCCCTGGTGGCCTACCCACCTGAGGTTGTCATCTGCTCCCCCAACCACCACCAAACTGTTCTCGGCCCGAATCTTCTCCCGGAAGTCCTCCATGGCTTCAGGGTGACACTGCAGGGAATTCTGGCCAATGACAAAGAGGACTGGAGTCTTCATATCCAAGAGGGGATCATCCACATCCTGAAACAAGCGCAGGGTTCACAATCAGGCAGTCCACAGTCACGAAGCACTGCCCTGGCCGGTCGGCTCAGGAAGCCAGCTGGGCCGCCGAAGTCACTGTGCAGCACATTGGGCGAGGCACGCACTCCCTACTCTCTCTCACCTGCCCAGCAATCAATGGTGCCCCATGCTTACCCCTCTGGGGCCGTCCACAGTAAGCAGAGGGAACCCAAGGCAGACAACCGCAGTGACGTACTCCATCACCGATACCTAGAAATAATGAATTGTTTATCTCAAGGTCAAGTGCCTTCCTACCAAGAAATCAGAACGGGTCCAGAGCTACCAGCTAGTCCCATCTACTCCTCCCCATCCCAACCCCCAGGAGTGCCAGCCGCGGTGGCAACAGTAACACAGAACAAGCAGCCACCACCTGGGACACTGGATGGGAGGCTTAATATTTCCATCCTGTCAATTCCCTAGACTACAGGCCCCCTGCTCACTCCCACAGCCATACTCCCAGGCACTCCACCTTCTTAGGGAACTTGCTGTCCTGGGACCCGGGTTATGAGGAGACAGCCTTCCCCTCTTATGGCATAGACCATAGCAAGCAGCACAGTCTTCACAGCTTATCCACTTGAGAACTGGGGCTCTGGACAGGTCAGGGACACTTATGCAAGTAATATGCACGCAAACAGTATGTAAAGTAACAAAGGAAAGGTTCCTTGATGTCTTGGAAAGGAACATGAACATAACAGCAAATTCCAGAGCCATTAAAAATTTTCCTGCTAGCATTGTTTTGCTTTAGGTGGAAGAACGGTGCTTGTGTTTGCGAAGGGGAGTGGGGGGTGGGGAGGAGCCTGGAGAGGAATTTGTTTCACAGAAACATGCTGAAATGCATATGAATGAAATATTTGGGATTTTCTTCAAAATACTAACAGAGAAAAGAGATGGTCAAATGCCTTGTTGTGAGTTGATCACTGGTAAAGCTGGGTGAGGGCCAAGGGGCTTACTTTTATGTTTAAAATGTAATTATGTAGGTCCGGCATCCGGCACTGTGCCTGGAACATAAAAGGGGACTCGGGCGGTGGCTGGTGGCAGCAGTAACAGCAGTATTCTACCCCAGGCAACCTCCAAGTAAGGTGGGAATTACTCACATGACAGGCCACCAGAGCTCCTGTATTCCAGCCAATCAAGATGATGGGTTTGTGGGGAAAATGGCTGTGAATCTTTGTGGAAAGAGAAAGACGACAAGACAGTTACACAGAGGCTAACGATGGGAGCAGAGCCCGGGAGCCTGGGTGTGCCTCAGTGACTCAGGCAGGGCAGCCTCACCTCCAGCACTTTGCTTCTCACGGCTCCAATCATATGCTCAAGACACTGCAGAACTCCCACCCCATTTCCATTGTTCAGCAGATGGGTGGCTACGGGAATGACCTATCAAAAGGAAGTGGCAGCCATGCCAGCAAAGGTTAAGTTTTAAGTCTTTGCTCAAATCCGCTTAACCTGCCCTAGAATCCATCAACCCTGGACAAGCACCATTCCAATTCCAAATGAAAAGAGTTGGGGAAGCTCCATATTTAAGTTCATTCACTTTGGCCCGCTGCTGCATTTTGTCTGCTCAGTCCTCCCAGACCATAGTCCCACCCAGGACAGTCCCTCCTGGCCCCACACATACCTTGCCTAAGCAGGAGAGCTGAGACTGCCAGAAGCGGTGGCGGCGGGAGGTGGGAAACGCAGAACTGGAGGGCCCGGAGGAGGCGATGAGAATGAGTGGAGAGCCGGGGAGCTTGCTCTATGGGAAAATGCCACCAGAGAACCAGGGCATGAGAGGGTTCCTCCACGAAATCCTAGGTATCCCCACACCTGCTCATCCCAACCAATGCTGATTTGCTTTTGAAACTGTTACGCATTATACACAACTAGTTATCAATGAAAAAGTTAAACATCCCACTTACTATCCCCTTGCCAAAGTTCTGAGGCCAGATTCTAAAAATTCCTTGGCCACAGGTGAGTCCTGAGCTGCCGACTTACTGGTTTGTTATGGGAAAGCACGCCCACAGCGGGGTCCCAGGGCCTCTTCAGCAAGAGGGACAGGGCCTCGGCTCCTGCAGCCCCCGTCTTCGTGTTGGATGACACAAGCATCCGGTCAATCAAGGAAGGGATCTAGAAGCAAGAAGAACAAAGGTGCTCCACTGGGAAGCAGGAGACCCGCCCACCAGCAGCATCAGGCAGCGCACAAAGCCCCACTGTGTGCCAGACAGACCTGAACTGTGCCCCTTGAACTTATCTCAGGAGCAAAGATACAATTACATAGATGGCCTCCCACCATTAAAGGTAAGTGGGTCAATCCTTTGGAAAGACACCTGGTGATATGCATCAGGAAACTTAAATTTATTCCTGCCTCTTCCCCAAAGGAGTCTGTTTCTGAGAACCATTCCTAACAAAATCTATGAGATACACGTGTGTGTGTACTTCCACGCAATTACTACACAAAAGACAAATTCATTCTCAATATCCAAAAAAGCAGAAACAATATGAATGCATACATAAGAGAGGGGTTAAGCAAATTATCTGCATAATTCGATATCATGAGTTAATATTAAATGTTTTTATATATATATATATATTTTTTTTTTTATTGATTTTTTTACAAAGAGAAAGAGAGAGGGATAGAGAGTTAGAAACATCGATGATAGAGAATCATCGATCAGCTGCCTCTTGCACACCCCCTACTGGGGATGTGCCCGCAACCAAGGTACATGCCCTTGACTGGAATCGAACCCGGGACCTTTCAGTCCGTAGGCTGATGCTCTATGCACTGAGCCAAACCAGTTTCGGCAATATTAAATGTTTTTAAAAATTTGTAGTAGAATAAGGAAATCATTTTGCTAAAATGTTAAAGAAAAAACAGAAAATGTTTTTAAACTATCTCTGTTCAGAAAAAATAGAGGGTATTTCTGTTTTGCCCACCCCAATGCCTGACACATTATAGGCACAAAATAAATTATTTGTTGAATAAATAAACTAATATCAAATTTCCTACCATGAATATCATTATTGCATCTAGTTCTGATTTTATTTCTGTACTAACTCAGTCTACTTTTGTTTTCAAACAAACTCAGCTTCCTTCTACTGAAAAACGGGTAGGAAACAATGAGTTTGAAAACTTGGGGGTAGAGCTGGGGAAGCTGTTGGCCAGGCAAATTATACCAACAAAATGGGCAGCTTCCCACAAAGGAGAAGAAAAACTTAAGGCAAAAAAAAAGTCAAGAACTGAATTAATCCACGTTGTCTGGGGCCATTTTGTATCAGAGCAAAATGTTCTAAAAATTTCAAGAGCCTATAAACTTATACAATCATTAACAGTTGCTGTGGGTTTACTTGGCCAAATTTTGTGCCAAGCATTTTTCTAGATCAACTAGTTTAATTTTCACAAAAAACCTAGAAAGGTATTATTACTAGCCATGCATTAGAAATAAGGAAACTGAGACACATCCAAGATTACACAGCTGACTAGTGACTGAGATGAAATGAGCCAGGTCCTAATTGTGGGGTGAGCCTTCAGTAGCAACACTTTGATGAAATGAGCCAGGTCAGTGGTCGGCAAACTCATTAGTCAACAGAGCCAAATATCAACAGTACAATGATTGAAATTTCTTTTGAGAGCCAAATTTTCTAAACTTAAACTTCTTCTAACGCCACTTCTTCAAAATAGATTGGTCCAAGCCATGGTATTTTGTGGAAGAGCCACACTCAAGGGACCAAAGAGCTGCATGTGGCTCGAGAGCCGCAGTTTGCCGACCATGGAGCCAGGCTATCTGCCCCAAAACCCATAATCTACCACACCGAATACAGCCCAGGCAGTGACTGAAATCACAACAAACTGGAATCATGAAAACAAACCAGTTTAACTTTGTGCAGTACTGTCTCAGTGAGAAAGCAGAAAAATATAGATGTTTTATAGAGCATTATTAAAATCAAAGTGTTGCTACTGAAGGCTCACCCCACGATTAGGAGAGACTGAGGCATGAATCTCCCTCCCAGCTCTGACACCTCCCCCTCCTCCATCCTGCACTCTTAAGTTCACAGGTCTGCTTCTGGCCCCTTCTCAACACCCCTGCCAGGTAAACCCTTCATCTTCTGCATGATAATTCAATTCTCCTCTCACCTCACTTCAGAGGCGACTCAGACCACAAGCTGCAAGGCTGGAGAGGCTACAAGTGTGTTCTGGTTTTCAAGCCACACCTCGTCCTGGAGCCAGCAGGGCTGAAGACGTTTGCACCAGACAAAAATGTGAAGTGATACCATGTCTCCTATCTTAATAGCAAACCTGTCATTCAGTCATGCCCTCCTGGCTAACCAAGCAATGACCTGCTAAGCCCCACTTCCTGAACCCACAGCAGAGGCTGGCTATGCCAGCACAAGACAGACACCAATCACAGCCTTACCTTCCCTTTCAGTGTCTGCAAGGCATCCAGGTAGGCCGCCAGCATGGGCAGACTCAGAGTCTCCACCAGGGTGGTGTGCAGCCACTGGATCAGTTTGGGGTCCCAGCTTACACTCGCCAGAGCCTGCCGCACTCTCCTTGCACACTTGTCCACCGCAACTCGACGCAGCACTGGCTCATTGCAAGCCTGAAAGATGGACATGGAGCGATAAAACACGAGGTCCACCTTGTCAGCCATGGGGTGGGGGCACACACTGTGGGCAGTTTCTGGAATCTCACCCCTTCATTGGCCAAGCGGGCAAGCCGGTCAGACTGCAGCGCTTTGAGGATCTTGTTGAATAGCTTGTTCTGGGCCATTGTCCAGCCCGTTCTGTAGGGAAAACTCAGAGGAATTAAAGTCAAACCCCGGGAGCACTCCTCACACACGCACACTGCAAAGGATCATGCCATGCCTTTTGTTCTCGCTGTGGAACAGCACACATTGGAGTGGCTTAGTCTAAGACTGTGGAGCTAAAGCACAGACCGAGATTCTGGCCTCAGTCCTGCCAACAAGCCGCTTCAGCGTGCACTTATATTGATAAATACACTACAAGTCAAAGTCAGTCACAAGGAAGTCTTTCTAGTGCTAGCCAAGCTAATTATTTACTAATGACTAAAATAATCCATGAGTAAATAAAAGCATGGCTCCCCTGCACAAACATATTTGAATTTCTAATCTTTCACACAAAGAGATAGACGAGATGAACAGCATTTCAGTGTACTAGAACCTCCAACTATGCTAACAGGCGTATTTAAATTAGCTTCAGAAACAGAAATATAACAAGTGAATAGCCACTTCACTTGTTGGGAGAATAGCCACTTCTCTCTTTTTCACCATGAATTTTTTTTATTTCTGTAATCACTCAGATAACAAATTTACTTCTGAATGCCTGTTCCATATGAGTTATAATAACACTGTGTCATCTCAGCACAGACACAGGCACACTTCTACTCTGCTGTGGATGGCGGGATGTGCCCCCTCCAACTCAGCTGGCACACTTAGAATACCTGCAGTTAGAAACCCATCCTGCTGCCCTGTGCCCACCTGTTATACCCGCACAGTGAAATGGAGCTTATTAAAGGCCCCCTTCATCCCACTCATGTCTATCTTTATCACTCTAAGACCCCAACTCTTGTCAGTAATCTTCCTAAAGACATTGAGAGAAAGGTAATAGAAGATACCCAATATTTGTTTATCAAATTCCCAGCCATAAATTAAACTGGTGGTAAGATTACCTTAAAAAAAACTTAAAAGTAGGTCCCAGATTCAAAAGAGAATCTGGAATAAAACCAAGGGAGCAATTCAAACCAGTGGAAATAAAGGAAGCAGGGCTGAAACAAGCAGAAACCACCTGGAAAAAGAAATGCTGCCCGGTTGGTGTGGTTCATAACTGAGAATCCACCTACGAACCAGGAGGTCAAGGTTCGATTCCTGATCAGGCACATGCCAGGGTGGTAGACTTGATCCCCAGTAAGGGGCATGCAGGAGGCAGCTAATTGATGATTCTCACTCATCATTGATGTTTCTATTTCTCTCCTCCCTTTCTCTCTGAAATCAATAAAAATACATTTTTTAAAAAGGCACCATGGACTCGTACAAAATAAATTTCAAGTGGAATAAAAAGTTAAATATAAAAAAATAAAGTTACCAAAGTATTAGAATAGTTATATCTCTCTATCAATCATCTATCTTAAAATACGTAAGGCCTTAAGTATGACCTAAAACCTAGAAGCAATAAAAGGGAGAAAGATAAATATAACAATGCATTTGGGGGGTGGGGGAGTTACCAGGCTTGCAGGGGAGGGTAGTTTGGGGAGACCAAGACTGCGAGAGAGAGCAGTTAGGGGTGACCAAGCTGGCACAGGAGGGCAGTTAGGGATGACCAGGCAGGCAGGGGAGTGGTTGGGAGCCAGCAGCCCCAGATTGTGAATCCCAGTGGAATCGGGCCTAAACAGGCAGTCGGACATCCATTAAGGAGTCCCAGATTGGAGAGGGTGCAGGCTGGGCTGAGGGACACCCACCCCCCAACGCCGTGCACAAATTTCGTGCACCAGGCCTCTAGTTAAAATAATAAATATTATTTTTCAGTTATCAAATGGGCAAAAATTAACAATACTACTCTGTGTTGTGGGAGTGTAAGAAAATAGGTGTCTCCTTACTTTGCTGATGGAAATATAAGTTAGTACAATTTTTGGAAAGTCAATTTGGAATATTAATTTTGGAAATAAATCAATAAAAAAAAAAGTCTAAGCAGCCCTGACTGGTTTGGTTCAGTGAATGGAGTGTCAGCCTGCGAACTGAAGGGTCCCAGGTTCAATTCCAGTTAAGGGCATGTACTTTAGTTGTGGGCACATCTCCAGTAACGGGGTGTGCAGGAGGCAGCTGACTGTTGTTTCTCTCTCATTGATGTTTCTAACTCTCTATCCTTCTCCCTTCCTCTTGGTAAAATAAATAAATGAATGAATGAATGAATAAATAAATAAATAAATAAAATAAATATACTAAGAAAACAAAACAAAAATCAGATCATGTCACTCTGCTCAAAGCCCTTCAGTGGCCACATATCAACCTGTTAAAAGCCAAAGGCATTGCCATAGGCTGTCTGGACCCTACTCCCTGCCTCCCAAGTCCCAAATTTCTGATATCAAACTACAACAAAACCCAACTGGATTCTGATGAAGTAGCAGGAATAAGCCACATCATCATACAAGACTGCCCCCGACTTCGGTGGCTTCACCACACAGCCCCCCAAACCCAATTCTGCATGCTCCCACATCACGGCTGGGACCCAGCTGTCCATTCCTTCCTGAACAATGGCTCTCCTTCTACCTCCTTCAGGTCATTACTCAGATGTCAACCTCCACTGTTGCTTTCCTGACTAATCCCTACTTATAAAACCGCCAATACCACCTCCCTATACTTCTTCCATCCATATCATTATCTCACTTTCTATCCGTTTTGTTTATTTCTTTAGTCCATCTCCCTCTGCTGAATGTAGAGGCCAACATGGTAGGGACTTTTGTTGCTAGATCCCCAGCACATTCCAGGATTTGACCCATAGCAGGGACTTGACATCTGCTAAATACATGGATAAATTGTGTGTATGGACATTCTACACCCTGATAACAGCTGAGCACAAACTCAAACCTTTATACTCCTCACCACACTAAGCCCTTGGCAACTGAGCAGCAGAAGACACTGAAACATGAGTTAGGTGAAACTAACTTGAGCCTTTCACCATACCAGGGTGGTCAAACAATTCCAAACACCTCTTACTTTACAGCAGACCAGCATCCTTCCCATCACAACCCACCATGAAGGTACCTTATTTTCTATAGATCACCTCTTTAAGAATACCAATAAATAGCCAAGTCACCATGACTGGGAGGACAAATTACCCTTTGTAATTCACTTTGTACAACTATCTTACTGTCTTTGGAAAGAATAAACACCCTCTACAAAGGAGGAAAATATGGTTCAGCTTCTTTTCCTTCTGCAAAATAAAACCTCACCTATGTTTTACAACTGACCAGTTACACAGTCCAGGAGACACTAACTCAGAGCCGCAACTCTAACCAGCTCTGCAATGAAGAGCGAGATGTATGCCTCAGTCTCCTTGACTGTAAAATAAATATGGAATCTCTAAGGTTCCTCTTGCAATAACAACTCAGGTTGAGTTGTGATTACAGATGGAAGCAAAAGCTGAAGGAAAGCAGCTCAAGTCCATGATCACAGAATTCTTCAGAAGCGTTCCTTGCTCCAATAAATCCCTTCTCAACCTCCAAACCTCCCCACTTTGTGACACTCTTGTGGGGACCAGAAGCAGTCTTGGGTTCCTGAGAAGTGTCCTTTTCCTTATTTCCACTAGTTCTCTTGGTTTATTTCTGCCGCACTATCAGGATCCAGTCAGGTTGGTTGTAGTTTTATATTCAGAGATTTTAGATATGGGAGGCGGAGAGCGGAAGCTTCAGTTTAAGTGTTGGGACTCAGCACGCTCTGAGTCCAGGAAGACTTACGGGACCGGCTGGTTCACATTATTAGCAGCATCTCTCTCATGTACAGGGAGTCTCGAGTGGGCTTGGGGATCTGGTGGGCGGGGGGAGGAGACAGGATGTTCACAAGCAGATTGAAAAACTCTCTGTAGACATGTGGATCTATTTCCATATTAACACACCTCTTCGTTTTTACTGACTGGTTTTGCCCTACTGGTGGGCATTTAGGTTGTGTCCTTTTAGCTGCTCTTGTGGACAGCTGCAGTGCCCACCCCTCCTTCCCCCAACACACACATCTATCTCCAACTTTATATGGCTGTGTGACTATCTCTGAAGGATAAATTTCTTGAGGTGGATATGAAAGACCAAAGGCTATAAAATTTTCAAATCTCTAGTTCTGTGAAAATACGTGTAAAGAACCCGCGCCATCATGGAAACATTATTAAACTGCAGCCTTATCCCCAGCAATACCATCCATTTACAACAACACAATGTCTAGACAACAACACAATGTCTTCATGTTCAACAATCTCTTAAGCTCTCTCAAAGTCTACTGATCATGTTGCAAGGAGAGTGAATGAGGCATAATTTATGAGGCACCAGTAACATTTCCAAAATTATCCTGTTATTACATAACAGGATGCTTTCTCTATTTGTTTGTTTTACTCTATATTTATTCTGAAACCCAAAATGATGACATCAAGGAAAATGATGTGAACAAAACGGGAAGGGATGAGAAAGCCATTTAGAAGTTACTCCTACATTAAAGTTACATCAATGACAGCTACAATTAAGCTAAAAAACCACAATGTTGGGAGTTCTAAAATCCCTGAAAAAGTTCTTAAGATTATTGCTGGATATACAAAAAGTGATTTCTAGGATTGAAATATGTTCTCTATATTTTGTCAGCTTTGTGGAAGGCTGGAAAATTTAGTGGGCAGGAAAAAAAAGATCTAACCTAAGATTAAGATAAAGAGCAGGCAAAAGATATAATTAAGGAAAAATTTAAAAACAGTAGACAGAATTTTAAATACAAGTCTAAACAGTCAAATAGCTGATGGAAACTACAATGAGTCAACCAGTCCCTCCACTAAACCTACTCCATTTTCACAAGTGTAGAAACGCCTACTCTCCATTTCTTAGATGAGATCAGATAATCTCATGGCCCCATCTCTGATTCTGAATGACGTGACCTCTGGATCATCTTATCCAAAGCAGCCAAAAAAAATCACATAGGTCCTAAAATTTTCAAAGGTAATTCTTTCTCTGATACTTATTTTTCAAGGGAGATGAATTCAATATTAAAATATCTGCAGGACTTTTTATTTTAAACCAGAAGTCAAACAGAGAGACAAAGAAAATCCAGAGAGACAGAATGTCACACTTACTTTTTCAGATGATAAAATTTTTTTCTTAAACACCAGGACAAAGGAAGAAAAGAATGAAGGGGAAGGAGAGAGGGAAAATAAACAACACAAAGATCTTGGACTCAAAATTTCAAACATTGGTTAGAGCAAATTTAGGAAAGAAGAATGGTTTTCTTTTGGCTGAATTCAGAGAAGTTTTGATTTCTAAGATAAGACAACCTGCTTTAGGACACTAGACTCTTTTACTGAAATATTGGAAATGTCCTAAAATCCATTTGAGCAATTCTGAGACATATCATGTATCAAGTATTTTATTGAATGTCTTTTAAAAGCTGTGCATCTAATTAAACTCAACATTTAAGAAACATGTTTTGGGGGGGGAAAGCTGGTCCAACTTCTTCAGGACATTACTACCCCAGCAAAATGTAAATCGTTTTCAAAGTTCTTCGAGTTACACAACTTTGGCATGCAGACACAGGAGGTCAGCAAACTTCTCCTACTGGCCTGGATAATACATATTTGCTTCGGTGAGCCATATGGTCTGTCACAACTGTTCAATTCTGCAGTCGTAATACAAAAGCAGCCACAAACAATACCTAACAGTGGGCACGACTGGGGTTTCAATAAAACTGACATTTGAATTGCATGTGTCTTTTTAAAATATATATAAATTTTTTATTGATTTCAGAAAGGAAGAGAACGAGAGAGGCAGAAACATCAATAATGAGAGAGAATCATTGACTGGCTGCCTCCTGCATGTCCCCTACTGGGGATCCAGCCTGCAACCCAGGCATGTGCCTTTGACAGCAATGAAACCCGGGACCCTTCAGTCCGCAAGCTGGCACTCTATCCTGAGGCAAACCAGCTTAGGCTCACGTGTCTTCTTTTGATCTTTTTTAACCACTTAAAAATATGAAAACTATTCTTAGTTCAAGGGCACTGGCTTACTCACCCTCATCTAGACAATTCAATCAGTCAGAGAAGACTTTTAAACTGTTTCACAAAATATCAGGCATTGCTACAGAAAGTCAGAGTCAGTTGGGGAGCTTCAATTTCCATACACAGAACGTTCTCTGAAGGCAGTTACTACTGAAATAATTCAAGAGGGGAACCCAGGGCACTAACAAAGAAAATTAAGTTTCTGACTCCATTGAAAGATCTCTGAGGAAAAACAAATTTCTGGTCCTACAGACCATGAGTTTTTGATATGGGAAACTGTAATTTTACATTATTCTATACAAGAAGGAAAAATCAGCAACTTAACCATCAAGTGAAGGGAAAGAGTGGCAACAAGTTGATTATAATCGAATAGAGGGACCTAACTGCAAGCTCCAAACAGGTTACGGACCCAGAGTTCAGGAACAAGGTCAGAGTTTGGTGACCTCTGAAAGTGAAGCAAGTATCATCAAATAATAAAACAGCTGTGTGCAAAAGTGACCTACCTGAAGAGATGGTTTGTAAGCCTGTTGCTAATGAGAAGGACGCCTCCAAAATTTCATCAGACACTAAAAAAACAAATAGTCTGAGATAAACTGAGCGCTAAGTAACCATATCAATCTATGGCAATGTCATAACAAGGATGGAGGTCCCCATGGAGAAAGACAAGCCAAAGATAAGAGTCTGTCAGTGTTTTTCACAGGGCAGGTGAGGTGTGCCCTGGCCTAATCGGGAGCCCTTTTTGCTTTGAGGATAGATGGGTGCATCCAGCTACCTTGTTGAAAGAGGAAGCCTCCAGGGCAGACTCTGTACTTGCCATCCACTCTGGAACAGAAGGGCTTCTGGGACTCTCCCACTGAGAATCGATGCTCTGGCCAGGCCACTCCCGTGATTCATCTGCCTTATAGATATAGCTGTCCTCGTAAATTAAGAAACTGGTATTCATATGTGTTACTAAGTGTCTGATGATTTTGGTAAGTATAAAAAGTCCCCCCAAATCTCTCGATCATGTCCATGGTGAACTGATAAAAAACTCCATGCAGTTCTCCTATGCAGTTTTTGGAACTGCACACAGAGGACACCACAGAGGGATACCTAACCATGAGGGGTCGCCTTGGTCAGCTACTGACTGCCCTTAGGAAGCGGGTAGAATAGCTGGGAACACTGGGCTCTCAAGGTGGACTGTCTGCTCTGAACAAATTCACTTCCTAACTAAGATTTTTTAACCATCCTGAGCTCAGTTTCTCCATCCTATAAAATACAAAGAAGGACTATACCTTGAAGAGTTGCTGTGAGGAGTAAGAGATCATGGACATGAAGCGCTTGGCACAATGCCTGGCACCAGAAAGCACTTGACAAATGATAGGTGTTTTGTTTTGTTTTTTTTGTTACTGTCACTGTTTTTTATTCTTAACTGTAACAACAATGATAACCATTTTGCTGAATTCACTGACTCTGAGAATATTCCAGCAGTTGATCTTCACTCAGCAGTTTTCCTCTGTATCTGAAGCTTTGGAGAGCATGTCCCCCTTCTTAGGGCACAGCGCTCATTCCAATTCAAGATCCTAAACAACTTGCTCACAAGCTCTTCAACGTGCAGAGCTGCTCCTCCTCTAACAGCTCCCACCTCGGTCACAGGGCACACCTGCTCATCCTCATTCCCGGCTTCAGACCAGACTCACATATCATTACAACTGCCTCAAAATTCCCATCCTTTTTCCTACAGAGCGTCCTTTTTCTCTTCCATGATTATAAAATAAGATCTCTCCAACATTATGGCAAGGGTACCAGCTACCAACTCCTGTGTAAGCATGTTAATATTCCCTTACACATGGCAGATACACAGAGAGCCACCAGGAAAATGCAAATTAAAACCACAATTGGCTGTCACTTCACAACTTCTAGAATAGTCACAATAAAAAATAGATAATAAATGTTGGCAAAGATGTAGAGAAATTAGAACTCTCTTACACTGCTGTGGAAGGTAAAATGGTGTAGTCCCTTTGAAAACCGGCTTAGAAAGCCCCCAAACTTAAATATGAAGTTATCATATGACCCAGCCATTCCACTTCTAGGTAAAGATTTAAGGGACCTGAAAACATAGGGCTACACAAACACAAGTACATGAATATTCAAAGCAGCATATTCCTAACAGCCAGAAAGTGTTAGCAGCCCAAATATCCACCAACAGATGAATGGATAAACAAAATGTGGTACAATGAAATATCATTTGGCTATAAAAAGGAATGAAGTACTGACTGATGCTACAATACACATGAACCTCAAAAACCTTCTGAGAGAAGCCGGACGTAAAAGCCACATATCGTACGTTTAGGTTTATATAAAATGTTCAGAACAGGCAAACTTAGACAGTAAGGAAATCAGTGGTTGCCAGAGGTCGGAGGGGTTGGGAGGTAATGGGAAGTGACTTTAATGGATATGAAGTCCCTTTTTGGGGTGCTGAAAATGTGCATCGAATGGATTGTGGTGATGAATATACTAAAATGTACACATTAAGTAGGTAAGTTGTAAGGTATGTAAATTTTATCTTCATAAGGTTGTTATGCAATAAACAAAAGATAAATATTTGCCAAAAGAATAATGACAGATGACCTGGAGAGGAGTGTGGAGTCCCTGGGTCAGCAGGAACCATGGTAGTAAGATAGGCAATTCATGAAACGGGGCTGAAATTTTCCCTCAAAAACACAGACTGCAAATATGTATTTAACAGCCACTCAAATCAAACATCTGTTAGCTTTTCATGTGACTCCAAAACATTTCCATGACCTAGCACAGACCTTATAAAACAGTGCCTTACAGATATACATTTAATGTTTTGGGAAGTTGTTTTTTTAGAGTCTGGGAAACTCTCATATTAGATCTTATACTACATAAGCTACAGAGTTAGTTATAACTATCAAATCTAATTCCTTTATTTATTTGATAAGCATTTATCATATGCCTACTATGTGCCAGGCAGTGTCCTCGGTGTCAGGGACGCAAAGAGGGCTGGGATGCAAACCCTCCTTACGCAGCAGGGTTAGGAGGACATGTGTGCGGCTGCATGAAGTAAGTGCCTAATAAAGGTGTTTCAATGCAGATGATGGTATAGAACATTTTCAGGGCCGTGAGCATCAGCCCTGGAGTGACCAGTCTTCCTGCAGAGCAGCCTACCTGTTGACATGCTCCTCCCAGTCCTCTGGTGGGGGAGGGGCGTCTGCATCAGTCCGGGCGAAGATGACATGCCTTTCACACTCGTTCATCACGCTGCGTGCCTTCTGATTGTCGTAGAGAGGCATGGGGGTTGAAGTGACTGTCTCCACATCTATTGGGACGTCTGACTCGCTGTAAACAGGTGAGAAGATTGGACCAGGCCACATGTACTGTATACAACACAGATGTTTAACAATCATCTGGTTGCCAAAAACGTCTCTTCACTATCATCAGCTTTAAAATATGCACAAGCACATTATATCCACAAGAAAATTATGGTTCAAAGTCATCTTTCCCACACTTGTCAAGTCTCTGCCCTCTGACACACTCTGATGTGCTAGGGGACATTAAGTCATTTTTAAACGACTGTATGCAAAAAATAATAGTTATTTTTTTAAAAAGACAAATATATTCCATAAGCAAATAGCTGAATGCCTATATGTGCTTCCCAGTACAACTATATGCCACATGAAACTACTTAAAGAAAAATTACACAGCATTAAAAATTCAGTTTCTCGCCAGGACCGGTTTGGCTCAATGGATAGAGCGTCAGCTTGGGGACTGAAAGGTCCCGGGTTCGATTCCGGTCAAGGGCATGTACCTTGGTTGCGGGCATATCCCCAGTAGGGGGTGTGCAGGAGGCAGCTGATCGATGACTCTCTCATCAATATTTCTAACTCTCTATCTCTCTCCCTCCCTCTCTGGATAAAATCAATAAAAAATAATATATTAAAAAATAAATAAATAAATAAATAAATAAATAAATAAATAAATAAAAATTCAGTTTCTCAGTCAGACTAACCACATTTCAAGTGTGCAACAGATATATGTGGCGGGTGTCTGCTGTATCAGATGCACAGGTACTGAGCATTTCTACCACTGCAGAAAGTTCAGTTGGACAGTACTGATCTGAGTTGTAACTATTCATACAAACTTTCCCCTTCACCAGCAAGTCAACTGATAGTAACTATTTGCTGTAAAAGCCCATGATGTCTAAGATCACCTGGAATGTAGACACCTCAGCGATATAACTCACTGAGAAAAGGGCCTAGAACAGAAACAAATAGAAATGGACCTCTAAAGAATCTTTCACATTTTCTTTCTAATATTTATATGCACATATATATACATATATATTTTTAAGATACTTTTTTTTCAGTTTTCTTGTACTTTATTAAAATGTCCTCTTTATTTATTGATTTCAGAGAGGAAGGGAGAGAGAAAACATCACTGATGAGAATCACTGATTGGCTGCCTCCTGCAGGCCCCACAACCCAGGCATGTGCCCTGACCAGGAATCGAACCGTGACCCCCTGGTTCATAGGTCAGTATTAAACCGCTCAGCCACGCAGGCCAGACTGAAGAACCTTTCCTATTTAAAAATGTTAATGAAATCTAGTACCATAAGGGTCCTTCATTATACCGTCACCCTAAATATTATGGCCAATCAAACCGGTCTATGGTTGTCTACCAAACATCACTTTAATTTTCTGACATCCATGATTTTACTGCATCTATTCCCTATGGCTGGGATAATTACACCACTCTGAAATGAAGAGAAATCACATGCAGCGAGATTGGGTGGTGGGTGAAAGAGCGGATTACTTCTCTGGACCAGGCACTTAAACCTGTGCGCCTCATAAAGAACTCTGATTTCATCATTCCAACATATCCTCCCTGAGCTTTCCCCAACTCAGGGCATACCCAGCGCTTAAGGCAGAAATCTAAAAGTCATCCTAATATCACCTTAGGCCTTAACCCTGGTCCCTTTCCAATTCAGCACAGCAGGTCCTGTTGACTCTACTCACAAATCTCAAAGACAGCCATTTTTCTCCTGTACTATTGCTGCCCCTAGCCAAGTTATCCTGACCTCTGACCCCCTCTATTGCAATGGCCTCCTAGCAAAAATTCAAAGTGACCTTTTAAAAATATAAATCCAACTTCTCCCCTAGCTCCCACTTACACCCCCATTACAACTATACTCCGGACACAATGACCTAAAATGAGTTCACAGAACATGCCAAACTCCCGCTTTCGAGGGCTATCTATATGGAGACGGTTTATAAGAGGAAATAATTTTCTAAGGACTGAAATAGCCAAATCCACAGAACCCCACTTTTAAAAAATACAAGATACAAACACAGGAGTTTCAATGTTAACAATTTATTACATAACTAGGAAACAGGAAAAAATTTCAAGTTCTACATAAAGGAACTCATGAGCTATGCCCCAAGTCAGAGGCATCAAGATTATGCTGAGTAATTCCCTAAAGGCAGAGATCCTGTGTTCTGTACAACAAAAAACACCAACAAAATGCTGCCATCCTCAGGAAATGAAACAAAAACCACTATTCTGTATGTGTTTAAAACACATATTATAGTAATTCTAGCTCATTAAGGCTCAATGGGGGATCTAAAGAACCAAAATATAAGATCTCTACTCCCCAACAAACCTGAAACCTGTGCTAGAGGAAAGAAGACATTAGACATTGGATCAGATTAAAACAAACACACTAAGCCCTGGTGGTTACAGCGCCGTCCTAACATGCCAAGGCTGCTGGTTTGGTCAGGGGCACACAGAAATCAACCAATGAATGCAATAAGAAGAATCAATGTTTCTCTCTCCCTCCTTTCCCCCCAAAGTCAATAAATAAAATTAAAAACAAAAGCTCCTCCCCAAAACAGCTTATAAGATTACAAAGGATGTGATTTGGTCATCAAAATATATCAACAAATGTTAAAATATAATTAGAACACCTTAAAGCTCAAAAGACTTGCTAAATAGGTTTATTTAAGCCAAATGTAACTATATCACCTATTACATACTAAATTTATGAAAAAAAATTTCTGCCCTAGCTGGACTGGCTCAGTGGATAGAGCATGGGCCTTCGATGATAGAGCATGGGGTTCGATTCTGGTCAAGGGCACATCCCAAGCAAGGGGCATGCAGGAGACAGCTGATCAATAATTCTCTCATCACTGATATTCCTTTCTCTCTCCCCTTCCCCTTCCTCTCTGAAAGAAATAAAAATATATTTTTAAAAATTCCTTACCCTGTAATTAGCCTGGCTGAAAATACAACCAGACGGAAGAAAGGTTTAGGTCACCCATGGGTGACAGTTCTGAAACGGCTAAGGGAGAAAGCAAGGTCTTGGGGAATATACTCCTACTAAACTTTATGGTGAAACCAGGGAAAGTTTATTGTTGCCAGCGTTTGGGCAAGCCAGCACACTGGACTAAAGGAATGAGTCTAACCCTGTGTGGCAGTCTCTAAGTCAACTACCCTTCAGTCAGTCTTATTCTTCATCAGTTAAATAATCCTCTTCCACACCTCCCATCACCTAAGTGGAATAGGCTGTTTGCATTCTTTGGAACATCCTGCTTTCCTGTCAGATGTCTTGAATGCTGATGTCCATTCAGGCCCGATATCCTCGCACGCTTACCAGAGATGCCCGAATTAGACATCCCAGCCCCCACAGTCCCCGGAAAAGCCCTCTTTAATCCACCTGACCGCTGCCCCGTGAGGGCAACCCCAACTCACATGGTGCTTTCATGCTGCCGCCGGGGAGTGACGAAGAGCATGCGGGTGGGCCGGGCGCTACTGGCATCTGGGTGGGCGCTCCATGGCTTGGCATAGCTGTGATCCAGAAACACCAGGTCCAGCTCCCGTTCGTGCACTGAAAGCTGGAAGAGCAGGGAGGTGCCCATGCGCCGCGCTGACGACTGGAAGTCCCTCTCCACGCCGCGGTGGGCCATGGCAGCGCCGGGCGGCCAGTCAGGGGGCAGCTGTCCGCATGCTGGCCACCTGCGGCGGAAAGGGCGTCAGTCCACACGCCCAGCTCTCCCAGCCCGCGCCCCTCCCGGGCTCCTCCCCGCTTCCCTCTGAGCCTGCGCCCCTCACCACCGCCGGCGGGTCCGGCCACTCCGCCTCACGAATCTGGCGCCACCAGCGCTGCGCGCAGCCTCAGCCGGAGGCCGGCCCGGGCGCAGCCACGCTCGCTCCGCACACGGACCCGCGGGGCCGCGCCTCGGGCTTTCCGAGCCGGAAGGGCCGGAGCCAACAGCGCGGTCACCGGTGCTGACGCCGCCCGTCCCTGAGCTCCAGGCGCCCCTACCGCGGGCAGCCCGGCCTCCGGGGGCCCTGACGTCTGTGTTGTGTTAATTAAGTGAAAGTTTTGCAACAACTTCCTAATGCTCTGGCGTTTTTAGAAGAACAAATGAGGGCTCCTGCGCGCAGCCCGTAACAAAAGCCGCCCCGGAGGACCTCGTCCCTGCCCGGTGGGCGGTCCCCGCAGACCGCCCGGGGCTGCGGCCGTCCCCGGGGCCTCGCCTCGGAGCCCCGGAGCCCCCGTGCAGCAGGCGGGGCCTACCGTCCCCACTCCACCGGGGAAGGCGCGGGTCTGAGGGGCTGGAGCGACTAGGCCAAGGTCACCGAGAGTTCGCGACCAAGAGGCGCCGCCTCGCACCCGCCCGGCCCAGTGACCCAGCACGACCGGCCGCCCCGGCCCGGGATCCAGCCTCGGGCCCCCGAATGCCGGGGAGTCCCGAGGCTCTCGCTGGGCCCCCGCCTGCCGCCCCGGGCCGCGATCCCCAAGGCCCGCCACCCCAGCGGCCCTACCTCCCTCACCCGCGATCCGCGGGCCGCGCGCTAGGCCCGGGCGGCTCTCAGGGCGCGTGCGCGTTACCGCCCCCAAGCTCGGCTCTCCGGCTCCGACCAAAACGCGGAACCGGATCATAGCCTGAGCGGGAGGGCCGGGGAGCGGGAAAACCCGGAGTGGATCACTGCGCCACAAAGGCGGGAAGCGGAGAGCCTGCAATCTGCGGATCTCCGAGGCAAGTAACCACCCCATCCTGGATCCACCTCCTGCGAGGACCAAGGAGGACGCTGGCTCTTGCAGCAGCAATCCTGCTGCCCACACCCGATGTCCCTTCATCCCTCACCTCTGCCAGAGCAGGCCCCCTAAATGTGCTTGTCAGGAATTCTACTCTTAAGAAACAACCATACCTTGCCGGTATGGCTCAGTGGTTGAGCATTGACCTATGAACCAGGAGGTCACGGATCCCTTCACAGTCAGGGCACAGGCCTGGGTTGTGGGCTCGAAGCCCAGTGCAGGAGGCAGCTGGTCAAAGATTCTTTCTCATCATTGAGGTTTCTCTCTTTCTCTCCCCCCCCCCCCCCCCCCGCCTCTCCCTTCCTCTCTGAAATCAATTTTAAGAATATGTTTTTAAAAAGAAGAAACAACCACAAGAAAAACAAAAAGTTGCTATAAGCTAGTCCATTAACCCCTGGCCAGTGTGGCTCAGTAATTGGAGCATAAGCCCAGGCACGGAAGGGACAGGAGTTTGATTCTCTGCCAAGGGCAAGTACTTGGATTGCGGTTGGTTGTCCGGCCAAGCAGGAGACAATCCATGTATGTGTCTCTTTCACATTGTTTCTCTTTCTCTCTCTCTCTCTCTCTCTCTCTCTCTCTCTCTCTCTCTCTCTCTCTCTCTCTCTTCCTCCCTCCCTCTCCCTCTCCCTCTCCTTCTCCCTCTCTCCCTTTCTCCTTCTCTCCCTCCCTCCCTCTCCTTCTTTCCCCTCCTCCTTCCATTCTCTCTGAAAAATTAATGGAAACTAAATAAAGATTAACAATAAAAAAGTAGTCTATTAAGAATAAAGAAAAAAGAGAACTGCTTGTGGCAAGATTAAAAATGACAGCAGAGTAGGAAGATGCTGCACGGACATGCTCCCAAGAACAAGCTGGAATTACATCTGAAGCACGGAAAGGCTTCCTGAATAATCAACGGAAACTCTGGTACCCAAAGACTGAAGGTGGAGCCGGCACAGAGCCTGGTAGGAGGTGTGGAGGTGTGAAAGGGCTGGCCGGGCACCCACAGATGGCAACTGAAGTCCCAGAGAGATCTCTCAGCTGGGGGAGGAGTGCCACCCATTCTGGGATCTAATCCTGGAGTTGGCTCCCCAGCAGAGATCACCAAGCTGAGGAGGGTACCCACATAACATCTAGCGGTGAAAAGTAGTGGGGTGCTCTCTGCCAAGGAGTGGCAGCTGAAAATTTGGGCAACCTCTTAAAGGGCCAATGCACAAAAACTCCCTGTGGAGCCACCCACCTTGTGCTCTGGCAGAGGAATGGTGAAATGGTGAAATGGACTGGAGCTGTGAGAGCAGAACCCAGGACTGGGGACTTGGGGAGATAGAGCTCAGAAGGCAGACACCCCAAGTTTCTTGGGCTTAGATATTCCCTCCTATAACCAGAGGACATCTTTCCTACATACATAGACACCTGCCTTGCCTGGGGGAAGACAGTTGACACACCCTATTAGAAAGCACCTTGCCCAACTGAAGCCGGTTTGGCTCAGCGGTAGAGCGTTGGCCTGCGGACTGAAGGGTCCCAGGTTCGATTCCGGTCAAGGGCATGTACATTGGTTGCGGGCACATCCCCGGTAGAGGGTGTGCAAGAGGCAGATGGTGGATGTTTCTCTCTCATCGATGTTTCTAGCTCTCTCTCTCTCCCTTTCTCTCTGTAAAAAAATCAAATATATATATATATATATATATATATATATATATATATATAAATATATATATATATATTTGATTTATATATATATATATATATTTGATTTGATATATATATAACACCTTGCCCAGAGACCACTTAAGAGATTAAAAGAAATAATTAGCCTCCAGGCAGAAGCAACTGCCCTATCCTGTTGAAAAAACTCTCTCCACACCTGAAGACAATTGCCTCAGGGCAATTCAAGTAGGAATCCTATTAGTCTGTGGACCGAGGCAGACTCTGGAGGCTTTGAGTCTTAGCCTGATCCAATTAATCAGAAACAGCCTTTAACGCTGTCCTGCACTAGAGATTGAGAGGTGTAGTGGATCTATCTAATACATAGTCACAAACCCAAACAAACAAAATGAGGAAACAAAGAAACAATCCCCAAATGAAAGAAAAGTGAATTCTCCAGAAGAGATAATGAACCAGCGATAAGAAATTTGTCTGAAACAGAGTTCAGAGTAATGATGTTAAAAATGCTCAACACTATGAAAAAAGATATAGTAACTGTGAAAAAGAACAGTCTGAGATAAAGAATGACATAACACAAAGAACACATTGGAAGGAATATGCAGCAGATTAAGGGAAGCTGAGAATCGGATCAGTGAATTAGAAGACAGAGTTGAAAATATCACTCAATTAGAGAATGAAAAAGAAAAAAAAAACAATTAAAAAACAGGAGGACAGCTTAAGGGAGCAGTGGGACAGGGTGAAACGTAACAATATTAGAATAGTAGGTGTGCCAGAAGAGACAGAAAGAGAGAAAGGAATAGAGAAGGTGTTGAAGAAATAATGCTAGAAAACTTCCCTAATCTGATAAAGGAGAAAGTCACACAAGTTCAGGAGGTACAGAGAACCCCAAACAAGAACAATCCAAACAGACCCACGCCCAGACACATCTTAATTAAAATGCCAAAAATTAAAGACAATGAGAGAATCTTAAAGGCAGCAAGAGAAAAGAAAACTGTTACCTACAAAGGAGTTTCCATAATGCTGACACCTGATTTCTCATCAGAAACTCTACAGGCCAGAAGAAATGACATGAAGTACTCAAGGTCATGGAAAGCAAAGATCTGAGACCAAGATTATTGTATCTAGCAAGGCTGTCATTCAAAATAGAAGGCCAAATAAAGAGCTTCCCAGACAAAAAAAAAGAGTTCATCACCACCAAGCCAGCATGACAAGAAATGCTAACGGGGTTACTGAGAAGAAGAAACAGAGAGAAACCTAGCCAAACAGAATTAAAGGCTAAAAATAAGTTTCTCTCAATAATAACCCTAAATGTAAATATATTAAATGCTCTAATGTGGGGTACCTGAATGAATACAAAAACATGACTCAACTATATGCTGTCTACAAGAGATACACCTCAAAACAGAAGACACACACAGGATGAAAGTGGAGGGATGGAAAAAAAATTTTCATGCAAATGGGGGGAAAAAAAAAGAGTTGGAGTAGCAATATTCATATTTGACAAAATACACTGAGTGGCCAGATTATTATGATCTCTGAATGCATAATAATCTGGCCACTAAGTAAGTGTGTGTGTGTGTGTGTGTGTGTGTGTGTGTGTGTTAGAGGCCCGGTGCATGAATTCGTGCATGGGTGGGGTCCAGCCAACCTGGCAAGGGGAGGGGACATAGGCGGTTGGGCGGCCTGCCTGCTGGTCCAACTCCTGGTGGGGACAATTTGCATATTAGCCTTTTATTATATAGGATATACACTGAGTGGCCATATTATTATGCATTCAGAGATCATAATAGTCTGGCCACTCAGTGTAGACTTTAAAAGCATCATGCTAAGCCATCAGAGAAAGATAAATATCATATTATCTCACTTATTTGTGGAATATAAAGAACAACATAAACTGATGAACAAAAATAGAGCCAGAGGAGGGCAAATATTCTAAAACATAATTTATTTTCAGATTTTTAATATTTTCTACAACTTTTTTGATATAGTATGTTAGTACAGTTTTTGTAATCCTACATAATAAAACCCAAATATGCAAATCGACCGAATGGTGGAACTACCGTTGGCTATGACACACACTGACCAATAGAGGGCAGACACTCGATGCAGGAGCTCCCCCTGGTGGTCAGTGCACTGCACAGGGTTGGCACTGTTCAGCCAGAAGCCGGACTCATGCTGGCAAGCATAGCAGCGGTGGCAGGGGTCTCTCTGGCCTCCATGGCAGCAGTAAGGACCCCTCGGGGGATGTCTTACTGTCAGCTATGGGGAATGGGCCTAGGCTTGCAGGCAGATATCCCCCCGAGGAATCCCAGACTGAGAGAGGGTGTAGGCTGGGCTGAGGGAACATCTCCCCAGTGCACGAATGTTGTGCACCAGGATTCTAATATTATTATATTTAAAATCCTTTGATTCTTGAAATATTAATGTTTATTGCATGTAATATTATTATATGTACATCATTTTTTGAATAATTGTTTATTGCATATAACATATTTAAAATTGTTTTTCTTGAGGTATTAATGCTTAGTGCATGTAACATTATATTTAAGATCGTTTTTCCTTGAAATAATAACATTTATTGCATGTAACATTATTATATTTAAAATAGTTTTTCTTGAGCCAAGACCAGTTTGGCTCAGTGGTAGAGCATAGGCCTGTGGACTGAAAGGTCCTTGATTCGATTCCAGTCAAGGGCATGTACCTTGGTTGCGGGCACATCCCCGGTAGGGGGTGTGCAAGAGGCAGCTGATCGATGATTCTCTCTCATCGATGTTTCTGACTCTCTATCCCTCTCTCTTCCTCTCTGTGAAAAATCAATAAAAATATATTTTAAAAATTAAATTAAATAGTTTTTCTTGAAATAAAAAAAATGGAAAAAAAGAATAAGGAAAAATAAAAGAAACATTTATTCAGAGTGGTGTTGAAATGGAATAACAATGGCACTTGGCAAGAACACAAATAATTACTGTGAGGGACCCTAGAATGTTTCAGAAGAAGAAAGATTTCCTGATGAGGGGCTTGGGGTGGTCATGAAGAGAATCCACCTGAGGCTGGGCTATGAAGGACCAGGCCATTGCAGAAAGGCTGGAAAGGTTGGTAAGAGCCCATACAGATACAGCTAATGCGCCAAGTACAACCCAACACCAATTCCTTTGGCCTTCACATTACTATCTTACATTTTTATTTAATTGTAAACATTTTAAATTTGGGAGACTTCATATAAAAATCAAGGTTTCTGGATTCTCTTGAAAAAATTTGGAGTCTGTGGCAGCACTGGGCTCAGCTGGTGTGGCAGCATGGGGTCTGCATATGCTCGCCCTCTAGGCAGTCTCACTGGCCTCAGTGGCCCCTGCAGTGTTTGATCCATCACCCATCCCTACGTTCACACACTCACACACCACCCCTGGACTACAGTCAAACGCAGACGTCCCTGGAATGGAGAACACAATCAGGGGTCAAGTCCAGTCACTTTGGGGTGATTAGTGGATTGGTTAATTTTGGTCCCCCGGCAGGGCAGGAGTGAGACTAATGACTTGTAATGTTGATGGAAATAAGGTAGCCAAAGGAAGAGACACAGTGCTCAGACAGACTGCCTGCCTGTGCAAGGCCACAGGAATCCCGAGTGTCTAGAGGAAGGCGGGGGTGGGAGTGGAGTTAGGCAGTGCAGAGAAAGGAGGCAAAGTGCCACTTCACAATTCTGGACTATTTCCAACAAACAGAAAGCTTCTCTGTAGCGGGATGTTAAAACCATAGTGCCTTCCTGCAATGGCAAACGTGACTTATTAATAACAGTCCACTCTCCCTCTGAACCCGATGCGACTTCACAATTGTTTTCTCCATCCAAGACATCCAATGGATTCGAGTTGGCCATCTCTTCTCTATAACGCCTCTTCTTCCTGTAGGATACACTGGCCTTCATTTATTCACAAATATTTCTTCTACTACCTTGTTTCCCCGAAAATAAGACAGTGTCTTATATTAATTTTTTCTCCCAAAGTTGTGCTAGGTCTTATTTTCAGGGGATGTCTTATCTTTCCATGTGCTAGGTCTTATTTTCGGAGGATGTCTTATATTCGGGGAAACATGGTATGTGATATAAGTACTGTGTTAGGTGGTGAATATAGCCTACTTCTTTATAATCTACACTAATGGCCTGGTGCATGGATTCATGCACATTGAAAGAAAATTAATTAGAAAAAATAAAAACATGATATAACAACAACAAAGACATGATATAAAAACAATGAAAACGATATAAAAATAAAAACATGATATGAAACTGATAAAAACAATGACTGATAGATTGATTAAACTTATTCTAATCTTGCATACCACATTAAGAGTAAAAACATTTTCAGATTTGCTTGACTAATTTTCTTTTTAATGAAGTATTTACAACTTTAATGTCACACATTTCTTTGAACTCAAGAGAAAGTAATATATAACTGATGATGTCTGAAAACAGGTTCAGGTAGGAATATCCCTACTCTGTCTAGATTGGCACCAGTAAGAGCTTTGCTAGTATATGTATTGTGCATGTGTGAATCAATGTTTATTTTTAAATTGCCAGTGCTGTCATATGTGAGTTATATATGTACCAGCCGGATGGTCAGTCACTTAGCCTTTTATACATATATATGTATATAATTATTTAATTTGTAATTGTGATAGTAAGGGCTAACATTTAGAGAATGCCAAATAAACTCTAAGTGACATAAATTATTTACTTCATTTAATCTTCTCAACTCCTAGGTTCTATTATAGTCATGTCCAGAGAGGAAGACAAGGAAGACAAGAGCAAATGACAAATTCCGTCCTCAGCCAAGAGGCCTTGAGAGCAGTCAAAATTACAATGGCATTGAGACTTTAACTTTACAAACCCAGAGGGCGTAAGAGCTAATTTTCTTTGTTAAAGAGAGACTCATATCTGAACTTTAGTTTCCTTCCAAAGAAAGGCCTAAATGTTTGCTTACACATTAGGCAGGACTTCTCCTAAAACATGATTGAAATAGTCTTTTACTTTCCTATCCCATTGTTCAGATTGTCTCCCTTCTCTTATTTTCTTGTCTAAATTGTAAGACCTTGGCAACTGTTCACTGCAGATAACTTGCTTGTATAAAGAGAAAATATTATCCTTATATCTGATCTTGAAACCAGAAGGATAGAATAAAAGAATAAGAAAAAAAAAAAGAGGAAATGTAGACATATTGTTTTGTTACCCCTGACTTCATGCCCTGATTTTTTCCTCTTATTCCCCTGATTCCTCCCCAGAACGGGGAACTACCCACCTTTGTGACATCACCTCTATTGCTAAGCAACAGACTCAGGAGTCCACTAGCCCCATAAGCCCCAGGGACGCTTTGGACAAAGGTGCCGGAAGAAGGAAGCTTCGGAGGAAAGAAGTCACCAACATGCTGCGTGTGATAGTGAAGTCTGCCACGATTAACCCGCCCCTGAGCCCCCCACCCAGACCCTGTGTGTCTGTCTGCTTCAGAGGTGAGCACCAGGAGTCTGGGTGGGAGAGAGACCCAAGAGACAACACGTGTTCAATGAAATCAATAGGATTATTGGTGCCCTATTATGTGAAGGATGCTCTGTCTGACAGAAAGCTAAGGTGGACACCTCCAGTTCTCTCACAACTTACCATCTTTATTACCATTATTCTGACATTTTTAGTAAGGCATGGTTATGGAAAAGAGAAGATTAATACTTTTCTCAAATTATTAATCTCAAGCTTCTATGAAATAGGGTTAAGCCACAAACTCAAGTTTAAAGAAAAAAAAATACCTGCTTCATAGGATCAATGTGAGGATTTTATCTTATTATTTTTTTAAATAATTTTTTATTTTCAATTACAGATGACATACATTATTGTATTTGTTTCAGGTGTACACCTCAGTGATTAGACATTACTTAATACTTAATAAGTGATCATCCTGATAAATCTCACATCCATCTGACAACATACATAGTTATTATAATACTAGGGGCCCAGTGCACAAATCCATGCACCTGGAAAGGATCTGTGGGCCGAGAGGCTGCGGTGGGCACAGGGGCAGGTCTTGGCCCATCCTCCATGCCCCCATCCAGTCCCTCCCCTTATGGCCCCCAGTCCCCTGTCTGCCCACAGCCCAGCCTCCTGCAGCAGCGGGTGCGAGCACCCAGGGGGACCGCAGCATGTGGGAGCAAATAATTTTCAGTAAACACCAGAGGCTTGCCCAGATGACAGCAACCAGCACCACGCCTTGGTCCGGCACCCCTGCTCACTTGTGCCATCCTCCTGCTGCTGATGCCGGCCACATTCCACATGCACCCTTTGGTGGTCAGGCACGTCATAGCACCCGGTTGTTCAGTTGTTCCACTGTTTGATCTATTTGCATATTAGGGTTATATATATACATAGATTATTGACTATATCCCCTATGCTTTACATTCCCATGATGATTCTGTAACAACTAATTTGTATTTCTTAATACCTTCACCTTTTCACCCATCCCCTCCCAACACCCCTCTCATCTGGCAACTGTCAAAACATTCTCTGTATCTATGATTCTGTTTCTGCTTGTTGGTTTATCTAGTTTTTTACATTCAATTGTTTTGTATTTATTGCCATTTTATTGTTCCTGTTGTTATTTTTTTTTTTTTAATCTTCTTCATCCTGCAATACAGACCCAGAGTCACCTCTAGGCAAGTTACTGTCCAATAACTGAGCCAGAATGAGCCCAGTGGTTCCTAACAGAATGCTTCTCAGTTCTTCCTTCTCCTCAATAGTTTTTATTTTTTTTTCAAAAGAAAATCACTTTATTGTAACTGATTTACAAACATCACAAAAGCTGGTTTAAGGAGGCCACACAAACATCTGCTCAGCCCCAAAGTGAATTATCATCTTAATGAACTCCTACACAGTAAGCACACTCTCTTCCACTGCAATTCCGAAGTGAGGAAACTAGTATTGATATAGGAGAGTTAACTATTAGTTTTATATTCACTATCAGTTATATTTTTATACTAAGTTAACTTGGACATGAGAGATGATTTCCCATTTCTTCAACTTGACCTTCTTGATTAGGCTAATCCATCTGCAAATTCTCACTGTTTCAGCAGCTCGCTGAAACCCTCACAAAGCTTAAGGTCACCCTGGTTCTGGGCACACTCCAAGAACTGTTTCATCTCATAGTGGCATGGGCCAAACTGCTGCTCTGGCATGCCTGCGTTCCCGGGGGCTCCTGGTAAGTGATGTCAGGCCTTGCGGGCTCCGCATTACTTCCTCCACTGAAGCCGCCAGTGATGGCATGGCCCAGCGTGTGGACTACAGCAGAGCCCACAGCCACACCGGCCGTCTGGGCCATCAGACCTGGCTGCCGGGGCGCAGCAGCAGGTGCACCAACAGCAGAGGGTGCAGCTGGTGCTGGCCTGGGTGCAGCTCTCATCGGAGGTGCCCGGCTGGCCGGAGCAGCCATGCGGGACGTGCGGCTTCGGCTTCCACGCGGCATCGCCGCTGAATAAACTGGTCGGTGTCTGCAAGTGTGAAACTCCTAGAGGACCTCCTCAATAGTTTTTTGTTTGTTTGTTTGTTTGCTTGTTTTTAATATATTTTATTGATTTTACACAGAGAGGAATTGAGAGGGATAGAGTGTTAGAAACGTCGATGAGAGAGAAACATTGACCAGCTGCCTCTTGCACACTCCCCACTGGGGATGTGCCTGCAACCAAGGTACATGCCTCTTGACCAGAATCGAACCTGGGACCTTTCAGTTCGCAATTCGACGCTCTATCCACTGAACCAAACCGGTTTCGGCCTCCTCAATAGTTTTTAACTCGAGGTTATCAAATGTCTTCTTCACACTCAAAGTGAGTGTGTGCCTTTGTGTGGGCTGGGCTGAGAACTTTCTGTTTCCTGGCACTGCTGCTGACCCAAGTCAGGTGAGGCTGCCATTTGCTGTGAGGTGGTAAGGATGGGGTTAATAGGAGGCGGCATTGGGGCTGTACTGTGAGTGTTGGAGGAGCTCCTTTGTTATAGTCCTCTGGGGTCTGTGTGGGTTATACACCCTCCTGTTGTAGCTGAGCTCTGATTGCTATTGGCATGTCAATGGACGGTATTTATCCAGGCCGATCAGCTGCAAGGACTGGTTGTGACTACTGACCACCGACTTCCATCCTCCTTGCAGAATAAGCTGGGCAGGGTCCACTCTACAGAGCAAGACTTATTTCAGCAGGACACTGGTGCCCACTGAGTCCACCCTTTGAGTGTTTTGCTTGTGGAAGTGGTTGGTGTTGGTGCTTCAGTGTGATCTGAAGCTGTCCACTGGGTGTGCTGGCTCTAGGGTCCCCAGGATGTGCACTGCCTGTGTCCTGCTTAGAGCCATTTGGCATGAGCTACAAAGCAATCTGCAAATGGCTGCCATTTGTGCTGGGCTTGGAGGTAGCCAGGGGAGATCATGCTGGGAACCAAGACTGGCTGCTGCTAGTGCCAGGCCTGGGGCCACTTAGCTAGAGGTACAGGGCTCTCTGAGACCAGATGCTGCTTGTTTTAGAGAATTTAGGAAAATCTGAAGCATGAGCCAAGATTGGCCATTTGTATGGAAAAGACACTGAAAATAGCATGGGTAGGCCTGAAAGTTGGTGGGGCAGGGCCTCAGGGAATCACCAGGGTGTGTGTGGAGAGAGACAATGTTAACAAGGTTGATGGAATCTCAGATATGGCATCTGCCTGCTCTGTTTGGGGAAAGCTCATCAAAGGAAAAGGCCTCTGCCAGCACTTCCGTCTGGGAGAAAGCTATCCCTTCAGCTCTCCCCCTGATTCCAGACAAATAAGTTCCTCCCCGTAAGTCTCTGGTGCCTTTCAAGCTGCTGCCTGCCACCTCCACCATATCCTCCCTACCCCCAGCTCAGAGGAAGTGAGTCAGAGTAAGGCAGTGTCTGAGCCCTTTAAGAGGAATGCTGTGGACTCAGCAGCCTCTGTCTCACTCCGTTTCAATCCCCACCGGTTTTTACAGTGAGAAGGTATGAGGACTTCCTTTCTCAGCACTGGAACCCTGGGCTGAGGGGCCTGGGGTGGGGCTGGGGCCCCTCGCTCCTCAGAGCTTCACAGACAAGATATTCCTCCAGGTTTTTATCCGCCACATTTGGGTGTGGGACCAGCCTGTTCTGTGCCTGGCTCTCTGATCAGTCTTGATGTGGCTTCTTTATATCCTTACCTGTAGGCCTTCCATTCAGCTCAATTTCAGGCAAGTTCTCAGTGATGGTTGTTCCATAGTTTAGTTGTAATTTTGATGTGGTTGTGGGACAAGGCGAGATTGTGTGTACTGGAAGTCCCAATGAAAGGGTTGGCTGCTGCTAGTGCCAGGCCTGGGGCCACTTAGCTAGTCAACAGTCTGTTCTCTGGACGCAACGTGTGCGACTCCGGGGCTCTGCCTTTCACCGCTCCCCTGAGTTTCCACCCTACGGCCCAGACTCCCTCCGTATGAGCCTGGGTCCCTAGGATCTTGCCCAGAACTGGGGTTCAGTGCAGTCGGAACTGGGGCTCAGCACAGTCTTGAGCTTTTGTCTCCCCGCTAGGGCAATCTAGCAGCAGAGTCAACAGTCTGTCCTCTGCAAGCAATGTGCGCCCCTCTGGGACTGCCTTTCGCTGCTCCCCTGAGTTTTCGCCTTATAGCCCAGACTCCCTCCATATGAGCCTGGGTCCCCAGGGTCTTGCCCAGAACTGGGGTTCAGTGCTGTTGGAACTGGGGTTCAGCATAGTCTGGAGCTTTTAATTCCTTCCCTCTAGGGAATGCCTCCCCTCTTCTCCAGTTCTGTCCTCTCCCCGTGCGCACCATGTCTCTGTACATTAGGCTTTTACAGCTCCTCTGATTTTCCTTCTGGTTTTCTCTTTCCTTCTAGTTGTAGAATTTCCAGTCAGTCAACTTTCCTGTAGTTCTGGGTAATGTCCATTTTGTATTTTAGTTGTATTTTTTTTAAATTGTTGTGTGAGGCTGCAGTTAGGCTTTTACCTATGCCAACATCTTGGTTTCTCCTCGGGAAGTTTTATTTTTAATAGATAAGGAAAAAAGTTCAAGAAAGGTGGGAGGGAGAGAGTGAAAGGGTTTATGAGAGAGAATGAAAGCGTTTATCTCAATATATTAAAGGCTAAGCGACCATCCAACTGTCTGACTGGCCGGTAGGTATGATGAACCAGAGGGTAGACACTCAACCCAGGAGCTGTTGAACTGTGGTGACTTGGTAATGGCGGTTCTCAGGTGACACACCCCAGAACCAGAGAGGAGGGAGCCAGATTCTGGGGTGTGTCACTCAAGAACTGCCCTCTCCAATCCGGGACCCCTCGGGGGATGTCAGAGAGCCGGTTTCAGCCCGATCCCCACAGGCCAGGTCGAGGGACCCCACCTACTCGAGGGATCCTGCTCACTCTGCAGATGCCCTTCAAGCTGCAGCACTGCCCCAGGTGCAGCCAGCTGGGGAGGGACTGTGGGAGGTTAGCTCCAGGGTATGTCCAGCCTGTCTCGCCCAGTCCTGCCCCACCAGCCACCTTCTAATTAATTTCCTTTCCATGTGCACGAATCTGTGCACCAGGGCACTGTATCTTCATAACAAAGAGCTTGGATTAAAAGGGGAAGAAAAAGAACAATCACTGCCCTGAGGGATCCAAGATGGCTGCACAGGTAAACACTTAACCACAGCCGCACACAACAATTTCAATAAAATACAACTAAAATATAAAATGGACATTATCCAGAGCTACAGGAAAGTCGACTGACTGGAAATTCTACAACAAGAAGTAAAGAGAAAACCAGAAGGAAAAGCAGAGGAGCTTTAAAAGCCTAAGGTACGGAGACACGCTATGTGCGAGGAGAGAACAGAGCCGGAGAGGAGGGGGAGGCTGAGTGCCTGGCTGGTGTTCCCTAACAGGAAGGAGATAAAAGCTCTGGACTGTTCTGAACCCCAGACCCGACTGTGCTGAACCCCAGTTCTAGGCCAGACCGTGGGGACCCAGGCTCAAACAGAGGAAGCCTGGGCTGTGAGGCGGAATCCCAGGGGAGCGGCGAAAGGCAGAGCCCCGGGAGTCGCGCACATTGAGCGCAGAGGACGGACTGTTGACTCTGCTGCTGGATTGCCCTAGCAGAAAGGAGACAAAAGCTCTGGACTGTGCTGAGCCCCAGTTCCAACTGCTCTGAACCCCAGTTCTAGGCCAGATCCCGGGAACCCAGGCTAAAACAGAGGGAGCTGGGCTGTAAGGCAGAACCCCGGGGGAGCGGTGAAAGGCAGAGCCCCTGGAGGCGCGCACATTGAGCGCAGAAAAGGGATGGTTGGCTGTGCTGAAGGATTGCCCTGGCGGGAAGGAGACAAAAGCTCCAGACTGCTCTCAACCCCACTTCCAACCCCACTTCCAACTGCACTGAACCCCAGTTCCAGGCTCAATGGGGGAGAGCTTAGACTGTTTGGTAGCAGGCGAAACTCGAGGGCACCTCACTCTCAGAGGTGCTTGCAGCGAGTACAGTAGGACCCTGAGGAATACTGAGACTCAGGAGCCGCATAGGGCATGGCTGACATGGCTGACAGAAGCCAAGGCTGTAGGCTCCACCCTGAAACTCCGCCCCATCAAGGAAGCTGCGAAAATTCGGAGACAAGGAAATAGATCACAAACAAAAGAAATGGAGGACAAAAAGCGACTGGATATAGAATTCAAAACCACGCTTATAAGGTTTTTCAAGAATTTCCTAGAAAAGAGCGATAAGTCCTTTGAGGATATGAAAAGAGATCAACTAGAACTAATAAGGAATCAACAAGAAATAATAAGGGATCAACAAGAAATAAAGAATACATTGTCTGAAATAAAAAATATTATACAGAGTCCTAAAAACAGAATGGAAGATCGCAAGAATCAAGTCAAAGATTTGGAACATAAAGAGCCAGAAGACACTCCTCCGCAGAAGCAAGAAGACAAGAGAATCCAGAAAGTTGAAGATAATGTTAATCAGCTTAACAATAACCCACAACCTTCGGACCAACTAAGTTGAAGATAATGTAAGAAACCTCTGGGATAACTTCAAGCGAACCAACATCAGAATTATGGGGGTCCCAGAAGAAGAGAGAGAGCAAGATATCGAAAACATACTGAAAGAAATAGTGACAGAAAACTTCCCCCACCTGGTGAAAGAATTAGACTTACAAGTTCAGGAAGCACACAGAACTCCAAACAAAAGGAATCCAAAGAAGACCACACCAAGACAAATCATAATTAAAATTCCAAGAGCAAAAGACAAAGAGAGAATATTAAAAGCAACAAGAGTAAAGCAGGTAGTTACCTATAAAGGAACACCCATATCATTGTCAGCTGATTTCTCAACAGAAACCATGCAGGCCAGACAGGAATGGCAAGAAATATTCAAGGTGATGAATAGCAAGAACTTACAGCCAAAGATAATCTACCCAGCAATCGAAGGCCAGATAAAGAGCTTCACAAAAAAAAAAAAAAAAAAAAAAAAAAAAAAAAAAAAAAAAAAAAAGCTAAAGGAGTTCATCACCACCAAACCAGAATTATATGAATTGCTGAAGGGAGTTCTTTCGGAAGAGAAAGTAAATAAAGATAAAAACTATGAACAACAAATACGTGACTATCAACAAGTGAATCTAAAAACCAAGGAAATTAAAAAACAAAATCTGATGAACAATATTAACTGTTGAATATAATAGAATCAGAGGTATGGAAGGGGAGTGAACTGACGATTCTCGGGGGAAAGGGGAGAGGGGGATGTGGGAAGAGACTGAACATAAACTGTGCACCTATGGATGAGGACAATGAGGGGAGGGGAAAGGGTTGAGGGTGGGGTGGGAACCTGGTGAAGGGGAGCAATGAAAGGGGGGAGGGGAAAAAAGGAACATTTGTAATAATATGAACAATAAAGATTTATTTAAAAATAAATAAATTAAAAAAAAGAAAAGGGGAAGAAAAAGAAAAATGAACCATCTATTGGTGAAGATTGTGGAAAGGTAGCTACAGGCAAATGAAGTTTTCCAGGGTACGTGGCACTGAGAAGACTTTCTATGAGAGACATGAGGCAAGCATGTGATTCTTTCCATTTCTCTCTCTCTCTCTCGCTCTCGCTCTCGCTCTCGCTCTCGCTCTCGCTCTCGCTCTCGCTCTCGCTCTTGCTCCCCTCCCCCAGCCACCATCTTGAGAAGAATATCAAAGTAATGTAACAAGTAACATAACAATTTAGAGGTTCTTTGCAGACTGTTCTTTGTTAAAGATATTTCTGGAGGAGGGGGATTTTAGCAGATAAAGAGCTTTAAACCCTTTATCAATGTGTCAGGATGTCTCTTTGGGTACACTAGGCTTTGCTCTGAGAATAAATAAACCTTTGCATCTCAGTGCCAGAACACAACAAAAGTTGATTTCTTGCTGTAAGTCCTGTGTGGATGGTGGTCAGGCAGCTCTGCTTCTGTGGCTGCAAAGTCCCCTGCCAGCAGGTGGTGAGTGTGGATTTGGGCAGTGGGGAGAAGGAGAATGGAGAACATCAGAGGTTTTAGGAGCCAGGCCTGGCAGTGGTGAATGTCCCTCCCATGGCCCTGTGGCCAGAACATGCCCCCTGCCACCACCCCCCAGCTGCAAGATGGCTGGGAACTATGTACTCAAGAAGAAACAGAAACAAACACAAAACATTATCTGTCACTAGAGCTGATGTCATGCTTATAAAAAGTGAGAATTCTGAAACCTCCGGGAAGAAGGAATCAGTGCCATTTCACACCTGCCATTATAGACTTGGAGATTTACCTTTTGTCTGTTTTTTTAATTGTCACCTGAGGACATGCTTTTATTAATGCTATAGAGAAAGGAAGGGAGAGGGAGAGAGAGAGAAACATAGATGTGAGAGTGAAACATCAATTGGTTGCTTCCCACATGTGCTGGACTTGGGATCCAACCAGCAACCTGGGTATGCGCTCTGACCCGGGAATCAAACCCGTGACTTTGTGGTGTACAGGGCAACCCTCCAACCAGCTAAGCCACACTGCCAGGGTGACGTGAAGGTTTTTAGAGCTTCTCACCTCTCTGCCCCACTTGAACCTAGACTTTGAAATACTTCCTGTCCCCAATACCAGCCCCTTCATGTCTTTGCAGATGTCAAGAAGAAAACTACGGAGGGAGAAGGAAATAACCCCACATGGAACGAAGTAAGATGTGCCAGGGCGAGCCCAGAGGAGGCGGTGACACCCAACAGTGAGGGAGAGGACGTGGAGCCTCACAGCTTTTCCCAAGGCTGGGCATCTTGGCCCAGGAGCAGCCTCTCAGCTGACGAGGCTGTGGAGGCCTGAGGGCCGCAGCAGCCACATCTGCCCACCGCTGCTCCGGCCCTTCTTCCCCACTCCGGGGATGGACCATGGTGTAGTCCGTCCTGTCCAGCCCGGCCACCCTGATGTCCCCAGAAACCTGAAGCAGCGACAGGGCTCCCTGTGCAGGATCCCTGCTCACTTTCTATCCACCCATGTTCCCACCTCCCTTTGGTCCCCAAACCTCTTCACCAACATGCCCACGACACTGCTGTTCAAGCTATGGAGGCTCCAGAAGGAGGCCCAGCACCCTGGTAGCAAATGGCATCCTCTGAGGAAATTAGACTTGAGGGAGGGTCCTCAGGTTGAGAGAAACACAGTGCTACCCTATTGTCCTAGAACAGTGGTCGGCAAACTCATTAGTCAAGAGAGCCAAAGACCAACAGGACAACGATTGAAATTTATTTTGAGAGCCAAATTTTTTAAAATTAAACTTCTTCTTACGCCACTCCTTCAAAATAGACTCGCCCAGGCCATGGTATTTTGTGGAAGAGCCACACTAGAGGGGCCAAAGAGCCGCATGTGGCTCGCAAGCCGCAGTTTGCCGACCACGGCCCTAGAAGGATGGGAAGGGAAAAGTAGCGAAGGGATGCTGACTTCTCTGTGCTTCCCGCAGACCTTAATTTGGCACCTCTGGGACCACCCCCTACAGGATGACTCTTTCCTGCAAGTCATCCTTCAGGACTTGTGCTCAGAAAAGAAAGGAAGGTAAGATGGAGGCAGAGGAGCCTGATTCTCTAACAAAGCTACAGCAAGTCTCTTGCCTCTAATCCATAATTCAGTCACATGGACCAGAACCCACTTCAGCAGCTGCTTCAGAAAGGCAGGGGGGACTTGTGGAAAGGTAGTGAGTCTAGGAGTGAAGATCAACTAGAACTAGGAACCTAGGAGCTCAGGAGCCTGTCTCTTCTGAAGCCACAGGATTCTCAAAACTCTGCGTCTCCCTGTCTGTCCCAGCAAGGCCCCATTCAGTTGAGACTGACATCCACTGAGATGGAAGCTATGGTATCCTAGATCAATATTTCTACAAGAAAGAATCTAACTGGCCTAGCTTTAGTCAGGTGTCCACCCCCTGTCCAATCAGTTGCCCAATCTAGCTGTTATTTGGCACAGTTCCCATTCAGGATGAGTGTAGGAACAGAGCTTCTGAGAAGGGGCTTGGCAGGCAGAGCCAGTAACTAGGGTGCCCAATGCCCAGGGAGCCCCAAAACCAATTCCCAGAGACTCGAGATCCTGTGTCCTCTTATGGCTGCTCCCCATCACTGTGTTCTTCCTTCGGCCCCTCTATGGGAAACACAGCCTCGCCAAAACCTTTGGCTCAATGGATAGAGCGTCAGTCTGTGGATGAAAGGTCCAGGTTTGATTCCCATCAAGGGCATGTACATTGGTTTCAGGCACATCCCCGGTAGGGGGTGTGCAGGAGACAGCTGGTTGATGTTTCTCTCTCATCGATGTTTCTCTCTCATTTATGTTTCTAGCTTTCTACCCTCTCTGTAAAAAATTAATAAAATATCTTTTTTTAAAAAGAAAGAGAGAAAGAAAACACAGCCTCTAGGAGAGAAAACCGGCTCTAGATAAAGTCCTGCTTGGGACAGGGAAGGACACCCCTTCCCCTGGCTCAGGCTCCCACTCCTGCTCCTTATCTCCCCAGGTTCATTGGCTTGGTCACAATATTGCTCAAGCCCTTGGTGATAAAACCAAGAAAAGTTCTTTTTGTGAAGGACCTGACCCTCCTCAACCATTCCATGAAGCCCACAGATGTGAGTTGAGTCCCAGGAAGGGTGGTTGGAGGATTGGAGACAACCCGAGAAACTGGGCTATTCTCTCCAGCAGAGTGCCCGTGACCTCATCCAGAGACTGCGTCCTGCGCTCAGGGGCCCCATCACACTGCCACCTTCTCCTTGACTTCCCCACTCGCCCTCCCGCCCACTTAGACTATCTACATGGTCATCCGCTGGGTGTCTGTGACTGTGCTAGGCCTGGGATACTAAAGAGAATGAAACCCACAGTCTATTGGAGTAAGCACCACTCAGATCACAAGTGCACACAGTGGGCAAGAGTGGAGAGAGCTAGGTCACTGAGGTCAAGAGGGGATGAATGATTCTGCTTGGAGGTCGTGGAAGGCTTTCCAGAGGAGGTGGCTAAGCCATGTGGAAACAGACGAAGACCAACCAGATGTTGGTCTATGTATTTAGAGTTGGCGATAGCAAGGGAGTCGGCCACCATCACGTGGGTTTGGCAGAGGCTCGAAGGCAGGCAGAGGAGAGGGGAAACTACAGCAGAAAAAGGGGAGACTCCGGTGCGTGTGGATGGGAGGTTGTTAGCCTGGGAAAGCTGTAAGTGATGTCACTAGAAGCTGGGCATCATATGTGATTGGTTAGGGTGCACATTTGGCTTTCTCCGATTACTCCTAAGCTGGAAGTGCGGACAAAAATTAGGGCAGTTGCAGTTATTAATCCTGTCCTGGCCATTTGGGATTGATCACTGTTGTTGGCTTCCTGGATTGTTGCTAGAGCTAGTGGTCTGGCTTCCTGTCAGTCTGGTTTATAGCACACTGGCTTTCTGTGCTGGTTACTGTAGACACAGCCTTGGTTTCCTGGGCTGGTGGGGCAGAGTTCTGTTTGTCTGTATGCTCTGGCTTATTGTCCATTTGCCCATTCCATTTCTCAGTTTATAGCTTCCCTGCACCCCAGACTGCACAAGGCCCCATGGTGTGGCATTGCACTATGGCCAGTACACTCCACCCTGAAGAACTGGGCATGAGCCCACCAGGCTGGGCTGCGTTTCAGTGTGGGACTTGGCCAAGGATCGCATGGTCTGGTGTATAGCTCCCTTGTCTTTGCCTTGTAGTGCACTATCACCCTAAATGTGGCCCAAATGACCAGCCAGGATATTGAGAAGACAGGTATGGCTTTTCATGGAGCTTACCCTGCCTTTCCCCAATCTATAGCTGGATGGGCATCTTGGGACCTTCAAGACCCAACCCTTGAGGCCTAGAGAAGGATTGTGACCAGGTTAGGGTCTAGAGGCCAGATCCCCAGACACAGCTGAGGCTATCTGTCCCCTTAATGTGTCCATTTGTCATCTCTACATATGCATCCTCTATGGGCTGCAGGGAGAGCTAAGGATGGCCATTTCCAAGAGCCCCCATGTGTGGAGAGTGGGGCCCAGGGTTACTAAGGATAGGTGGGGGTCCATGGAATGTTCTAGGGCAGACATGTGCCCTTATCAGGTCTTGGCCATATTTTCGATCAGAAACTAGTCTTTGGGGATAGAATGATAAAATGGGGAAAATATCTCAATGTCCTGCGCCAGCCTTGAGAGCTGACCCTGGACCGTGTTTCCCCAGGAGATGGAGACCTCCTAGGCGTAACTGCCCTGGAAGCAGCCAGGCAGACACAGATGGCTCCCAGCTACGTCGCGCACAAGGAGCTGTCCTCAAAGCCGCAGCACTTTCAGGTTTAAAGCCCATGGAACTTGCACGACACCGCATGGTGTACCAAGTTATCCTGCCTCTCCACAAGTCCCCAACCTCAGGGTCTCATTTTGTCCCCGGTAGGTCCAAGTGAAGGTGTTTGAAGCCCGCCAGCTCATGGGCAACAACCTCAAGCCATTGGTGAAGGTGGTCATTGGAGGCCATCAGAACCACACACGCACCAAGATGGGAAGCAACCCTTTCTTCAACGAGGTGGGCTGCACCTGCCCTTCAGGGCTGAATGGGGCGCTTTGGCCAGTTGAGCCCGTCGAGCTGGGCATTTCCTGCAGGCAGGCAGCCAGCTTGCTCCTGGACTGGAGTGTTTTCTGTGTTCCACAAACACTTGCCGAGCACCTACAGAGGGTGGAGCACTGTGCTTGGCACTGGGACCGCAGATGGATAATTTGCGGGAATGATAGATAGAACTGTAGATGGGGGGAGGGAAGCCCGCACAATGCACTGGGGTCTGTCATGAATGGCACTTGGGATCACAGAGGGACTGAAGCAAGAGAGTGACAGAGCCAGGTTTGCATTTGGAAAGGAAGTTCTCCCTGCAACAGAGAGTGGTGGTGGAGAGGACTGACAGGGCAATCTGGAAGGAGACAGGCTCCACTCTCCACTCCAGGGCGCTAGCTGGCCTCCAGCTGCTCACAGCAGGTTCTCTGGAAATCCCCACCCTGCCCTTTATCCAGGCAGAAACCCTCCAGGGGCCGGCAGGCCTCTGCTTCCGGAGGAGGAGGAGCATGAGGGTAGTGTAGGCTGAGAGATATTGAAATGGGCACACGACAGGAAGAAGCTACCTTGGGGCTCACTGAGAACTAACTCCATCCCCATCCTGTCCTTCAGATCTTCTTCCAGAATTTCTATGAGATTCCTGCAAAGTTCTTCGATTACTCCATCTTAATCCAGGTAAAGAACCAGAAAAGACGGGCCCACTCTCTCGTCCCTCCAGCCCCACCCTTAGAGCCAGAGTCACCGCAGATGGTCTTTCTGACCCCAGCATCTCCACCACCTCCTTCACTCTCCTGCAGCCCAGAGTCTCATTCATTCATTCATTCATTCATTCATTCAGCTAATATGGAATGCCAACTGACCTGGACACTGAGGTGAACAAAGCAGCATCTCCCCATGTACCAGGGCTCTCATGGCACCAGAGGACCCCTAATATCTTGGGGGTGGGGGGGTGCACATTCCACTCTTCTACCAGAAGGAGCCCGGGAACAGTGGTGAACATGTGTTTATCAGATGCCTCGTATGTCCCAGCACAGGGCTGAGGAGAAAGAGGAGGCCACCCCCTCAGAGTTTCCACATTTGTGGGAACACAGGCACAGGGTAAACACCAGGACAGCAGGTGGTGAGAGTCAAGTGGGACACTTGGCTTTGTGTTGATCTTTGGGTTGAGCAAGTGAATTGGCCTCTTTAATCCATTTCCTCATCAGGGAAATGGAGCTAAAAACCGGGCCCCCACAGGGTTTCTCTGAGAAGGAGAAGAAGCCTGTGTGGCTGTATAGAACCCGCTACTGGGACGTGCCCTTGCAGCTCCTGCCCAGGCGCGGAGGACGCTGGGCTGTGAGAACTGAACTCTTTCTGGCCGTTCCCCTGCAGGTGCTGAACTCCTCAGGGATAAGAGCCACTTCGGAGATCGGCAGATTCCAAGTGAGCAGTGGGGGAAGGGGGAGGTTTGGGGAAGGGCCACCGAGACCCACCCACCCTGGGCTCCACCCACAGGGCCAGAAAGGACTTGGATTCTTAAGCGAGAGATCCAGCTTTGAATTCATCTGCCTACTGGGTGTCTTAGACAAGGCATCCTGAGCCTCTGCTTCCTGCAATGAGGATGATGGCTTACTCAGCCACAGGGCTGCTGTGAGGATTAAGGCACATCACATTCATGAGAACGCTGGGTGCCATGTTGACGTCCCTACACTTATGAGATTCAGTTCAAGCCTCTGTCTCCGGGAAACGGAAGCAGAGGATCCAAAAAGGCCAACCTAATTGTCCAAGAAACCAGACAGGCTGCTACCTATGAGGACAGACCAGAAAGTTTTCTTTGGACAGACACAGGCTGAAATGAGGAAAGTTTACACATCACAGAGTGCTGCGCAGATTCCCCAAATCCAGGAAGATCAGAAGAGGCAGGGTTGCCAGGTTAAAGACAGATCGCCCCATTAAAACCTGAGTGTTAAACAGCAGGACTTTGTAAATAGAAGTATGTCCCAAACACTGCATGGCTCCTCACAAAATATTGCAGGGACAAAGTATACTGAAAAGTAGTCATTGTGTACGCGCATTCAAATGTAAGCAAGCATCTGTATTTTTATTCAAATTTAAGCAGGCATCTGTATTAAACCTGGCAACCCACAAAAAGTGCTTCACCTGTTAGTCTCGTTGCAGGAGGAACACGAGGCTGAAAGTGGTAACGATTCTAAATTTGTTGTGATGTTTGTGACAGAAGGGCTGAGAACAAAATGCCATCAGCAGGCCGGAGGAAGGGGAGTGGGATATTTATGTCTACCGTAAAGGCCAGAGTAACCGGGACGACCAGGTGCAGGTGGGAGGCGGGAGTAGGTGGTCCATTGGAAACTGGGTAAGGCTATTGATGTCTTTCGAAATCTGTAATGAGAATAACAGGAAAGCATGCGGAGGCGGGAGAGCCCCAAGCTGGGTATAATGGAGCACAGAATAAAGAATGTGCCCAACATTCCGGCCGGTCTTGTTTTTTTCCTGTAAACTGAGCTTCCTATAAGCTGAGGTTGATGAAGGAGGCCAATCTCTGTAACTTCTTCGTGCTTCGTGCTTCGGGATGTATTAATAGAAATATCCCTAATTAATCAGTGATTGAGAAAAGGGATAATATCTAGTGTGGATCTGGAATAGCATCATTTCCCCTATGGACCTGTTGGCAATTGTCTGAATGTGGTTTTGGAGGAAGGGGGAAAAGGTCTTAGGATGCCTGGGCCAAACATAGTGCCAGGAAGAGCATTAAGAGGGTCCCAACTAGAGAGAGGAGCCAGGAGGTCCAGTAAAGGTTCGGTAGCCAGCTGCCCAGGATTCTGAAAGTTGTTGTCAGACTTTTGAGACCCTGTCAACTAATTTATTGGCTCCATCCCTTACTCTGCCAGACTGGTTGGCATACTAACAACAGTTTTAAAGTACCAAGTGCAGGGGAAAGGTAGAGAATATGCCCAACATCACCCTAAGAAAAGGCAAATTTAGGACAAATTAAAGTTAGGGTACTTTCTCACTACTTGCAACAAGCACATGAACAGTCTTTAACTGCCTCCCCCCCCCCCCCCATCTTACTCTCCAAGCCACAGTGCAGGCTTAGAAATTAAGATTCTAGAGAGTAACTAGCAGGAGATCAAAAATGTGCTTTTGACAAAGGCTACTGTGAAATTTTCAGAGAATAACCAATCATATGAATTTATGAGTAAAATACAGAGGTTGGAAAAAAATTTGAGCTTTAAAAAAAAAAGTCACTTTTTTGGAAATTTTCAACATACACAGAAGTAGAGAGAATAGTATAAATTCCCACCTCCTCATCACTCAGCTTCACCAATTCATTGCAACTGGGTTTTTATCCACACCCAGCCCATTTCCCCAGCCCCACTGAATTACTTGAATCAGACCTCGTACATGGCAGTTTAATTAAAAATATTTCAGTGTGTAGTTCTAAAACATATCTTATTAAGCATAACAAATATGACTATCGCATTTAATTAAAAACCTCTTTAATTTGGTGTTCAAATTCCCCTAATTGTCTTGTGAATTCCTTTTACAGTTTGCCCAAACCAGGTGCATACATTGCAGTTGCTTAAAATGTATTATCAGGACTCTTTTATCCTGTTGGTCCCATCCCCATTTTTCCTTCCAATTTATTTATTAAAGAAACGCCTTTGTCCTATAGAGTCCCCTCCCGCTGCCCCATCTGGGTTTTGCTGACTGCATTTCCAGAGAACTAGTTCTCAGGTCCCTCTGCCCAGGTTCTTCATCTCGAGGCGGCCTCACCAGACTTGGGGCAATTGTTTGGCAAGATGGCTTCAGCAGGAGGCATAGATGTCTCTCTCTTTGTGTTGGTAACAGCTATTGATAACCACTGCCAAGATCTACTGCTTCCTTAGGGATGGCTGAAGTTTTGGGTGTTGTTTTTTAGGGTGACTGGCTTTGTTTCCTTCCAGCTTTATTGAGGTATAATTGACATACAATGAATTATACACATTTAAAATATGTAATTTGATACATTAAAAAATACACACACACCCATGGATCCACCGTCATAATCAAGATAATGAACATCCCTGTCACATCAACCATCCCCAAAAGTTTCCTTGTGCCCCTTTGAAGTTTTTGCCTCTAACCCCAACTCACCCCCTCCCATCCCCAGGCAATCAACGGTCTGCTTTCTGTAACTATAGATTGTACTTTCTAGAACTTCATATAAATGGAATCCATACAGCATGCACTTTTTTTGTTTGACTGCTTTCACTCAGCATAATTATTTTAAGATTCATCCATTTTTCATATATCAATAGTTCATTTCTTTTTGTTGCTGAGTAGTATTCCATTGTATTGCTATACCACAGTTTGTTTATTCATTCATCTGTTGATGAACATTTAGATTATTTTCAGTTTTGGGCTATTACAATAAAGCTGCTGTAATATCTCTATATATAATATACAAGTCTAAGTGACCATTATGACCAGTCAACTGGAACAACCAGTTGCTATGATGCATACTGACCAACAGGGGGCAAATGCTCAATGCAGGAGCTGTCCCCTGGTGGTCAGTGTGCTCCCATAGCCAACCTCCCGTAGTCCTTCTCCTGGCTGGCCAGCCCAATGGTCTACAATTGGCCACAATCGCCGGTCAGGCTGAGAGACACCACCCATGCACGAATTCATGCACCAGGTCTCTAGTTGATGTATAAATCTTAGAGTAGACATATGCTTTAATTTCTCTGGAGTAGATATATAGACGTAGAATGACTAGCTCTAATGGTAGGTGTATGGTTAACTTTGTTGTTGTTTTTGTTAATCCTGACCCAAGGATATTTTCCATTGATTTTTAGAGACAGTGGAAGGGAGGGGGAGAAACATCATTGTGAGAGGACACATTGATTGGTGGCCTCTTGCACATGCCCCGACCAGGGCTGCAATTGAGATATGTACACTTGACCTGGATCCTTCAGTCCAAAGGCCAATGCTCTATCCACTGAGCTGAACTGAGTAGGACTAAAGAAAATTCTTATATATATATATATATATATATATATATATATATATGAATTTTCTTTTATAATATATATATTATTGATTTTTTACAGAGAGGAAGAGAGAGGGATAGAGAGAGAAACATTGATCAGCTGCCTCTTGCACACCCTCCACTGGGGATGTGCCCGCAACCAAGGTACCTGCCCTTGACCGGAATCAAACCCAGGACCTTTCAGTCCATAGGCCAACGCTCTATCCATTGAGCCTAACCGGTTTTGGCAAGGAAATTCTTAATGGTGTTTTCATAAAATTCCAAACAAGCTTTATCACTTTATATTCCCATCAGAGATATATTAGAGTTTTAGTTGCTCCACATTCTCATCAACACTTGATAAAGTCCATCTTATTTTATTTTAGTCATTCTAATTACGTGTAGTTGTATCTCATGGTGATACACTTCCCTTATGACTAATAATGTTGAGCATCTTTTCATGTGCTTATTTGTCTTGATTATATCTTCTTTATCTGTTCAAAATGTCTGTTCAAACTTTTTGCTTGTTTTCATTGGGTTGTTTCTTACTATTGAGTCTTGAAATTGTCTTTTATATTCTTAAGCCCATTATCAGATATATGATTTGGAAATATTTTCTGCCAGTATATGACTTGTCCTTTCGTTTGTTTGATAGTGTCTTTCAGAGAGCAGAAGATTTTTAAATTTCAATGAAGCCCAATTTATCAGATTTCTTTTATGAATTGTGCTTTTGTTGTTGCATCTAAGAAATCTTTGCCTACTCAATCCAAGGGGGTATGGTTTTAAAGCAGGCCTGACATGCAGAACTGGGCACTGCTCTGTGGACCCTTCAGATGTGAGTTACAGGGGTGGCCTTGCTCTGTAGCACATCAATGCTGTACCACATGCTCCAGCCTCAGTCAGAGACCTCACAGGAAAAGGGAAAACTCATAGTCTCTCTGCCAACAACTCTCTTGACCATTCTCTTCCCCATCCAGGCAGTGCTGCTTGGTGGTTAAGTGTCCTTCCAATCCAGGCCTCCCCTTTTACTAGCTATAAGACTTTGAGCACTTCCCTCAAACTCACTATCTTCCTCTAAAATGGAGGAGACATGGACCAACTTCCAGCTTGTTGCAAAGACTTAAAAGGTTAGGGCAGGTCAAGTGGCTAATATTGTCATCAGCATAGCTAGTATTACAAATCTTGGCGGGAGGTGCTAATTAATCTTTATTCCACTCTTTGTCTTTTCAGACAGATATTGGTTTTATCTACAATTCTCCAGGTAGGTAAATAGTTGCAAATATGTGTGCCTTCTGAAAAAGACCAGGCCATGTGTCAAAACATCATAAAATCTTTGTATGTTTAACATATGGGGAGAGTAGTCAAGGGTGTGAATTATTTTTCATACTTGATAATATTTTATGGTGCTTCATGGCATTTTATCTTGTTTTGTAAGATCATCTTTCTCTTTAAAACTGAAGAAATCCCTTTGGGTCAAATGCTAATATTCTAATGCAGCTTGTGCTGACTTTCTTTTTTTTAATTGTTATTTATTTATTGAGAGAGAGAGAGAGAGAGAGAGAGAGAGAGAGAGAGAGAGAGAGAGAAAGAGAGGGACTTTGATTTGTTGTTCCACTTACTTATATATTCATTGGTTGATTCTTATATGTGCTCTGACCAGGGATTGAACCTGCAACCTTGGAGTATCAGGATGACGCTCCAACCAACTGAGCTACCTGGCCAGAGCCAGCATTTCTGTTTTTGAGTTCATTGGGGAATTGAAGTTTGGGCAGAGATTTCCTCTGTGACCTGGCTAACATACCAGGTTCACGTTGGGACTTGAAGTTGGGGAGAATGCTTGTCTTTCTCAGACCAGGATCGTAACAACTTTATGTTCCCAGAATGAGAAAGAGGGGTCCTTGTTTTCTAATGGCATTAGCTGGCAGCCTGGTGAGTGCACCATCTTGGCTTAATGATAGGAGTGACTCTCATTGACCTACTACTGGATAGCAACCGATATATGAGACATGTTTGCACACTCCTCTCCCACACAAACAAAGCCAGGTTTCAGGGGAGAATAATGGAAACTGGAAGCTGGTCTCCCATGGACCCTCTGACTTTCCAGATCACGCACTCCAGAGGAAGTGGTTAGGCCTCTGCCAACCAAATGAACCCCACAGTGGTGTGAGAGGCTACCTGAAGGTCACCATCTGTGCTCTCGGTGTGGGAGACCAGGCCCTGGTGAGGCTGCCCCCGCCCATGCCCAAGTAACCTTTCCTGCCCTGACTGCTTCTGTAGGGCACCCCTGGGCCTTCACGTGCTTTCATTTGTCCATGGTGTCACTTCAGAGTTGTCCACTTATTCCCCCAGTGGCTGTGGCCGTGACCTCCCTGCAACTTTGACCCTGCCAGCTCTCTGGTCTCTCCAGGTAGATCAAAAGCTGCCCTATGATGTCGATGACACCAAAATTCACATCTTGAAGTCAACAATAGTCCCGGTGAACCTGGCCTACTTACAGTTCTTCATCTACTGCGCAGAGGACCTTCACCTCAGTGAGAGTCAGGGTGGCAGGGAGGAAGCAACTCTGAGGTGCCCTACATGGTGGCACCCTAGGTCCCCATGGGGTTTGCCTGTCCCACATGGACACTAAGATCTGGGGTGAGGGAGAGGGTGAAGCTAAAATCCACCAAGAGTAGTTTTATGCAAACCCTATCATACCTGTTAAATTGGGCCGAATATTCCTGAGCTGTCTTTGATGCTCGGGAGCAGAGGTTCACTATTCCAGCCCCATCCCTCTGCCTTTGTGGGTCATGCCACAGAACAGCACACACAGAGACAATGAAAATGGGAGAGGTCTTCCCAGGGGGCGCCAAACCACATTATGGGGGAGGGTTTTAAGTTCTATCACCTCTCCATTTCCTTGTCCTCAAAAAACAAACAAACAAACAACCCCCCCCCACACACACACACAAACAAAAAAACTGTTGTCTCAGAAATCTTTTAACTTCTTGTTTACAGAGAAACACCATTTAGTGAGTCCAATGTTGGAAGTGGAACTAATCGGGGAAAAGGTAAGTGTAGAAAGGGTGTGTGGCTTAGAGAAATGGTCACCCAGAAAAACATGGTATGGGGGTAAGACTCGGTTGGTAGGCAGGACCCCAGGAATCATCTCCCAGTTCTTCCACTAAAGCGCCATGTGATCTCACTGGACGAGGAATTCAGTGAAGGTGGAGCCATGGCTTAGCCCTGTCTCCCAGAGCTGTGCCCAGTGCCCAGTGCCCAGTGCCCAGTGCCCAGCACGGAGAAGATGCCCCTGAAAACCAAAGACACAAATGCCTGATGAGTGAGTGACTGAATGAAGCAACACGCTGCAAATGAGCCTCACTGAACCCGGCGCCATCCCTTCTGAGCCTCTGTTCCTTCATTTATAAACTGAGTGTTCTAACAAGAGAGTTGCTGGCATTCCATGAATGTCTATGAACAGAGTAGCATTTTCCAAAGTGTGCAGATGGATGCTTTGTGCAAAAAGAATCCTGTGTTCAAATTCGGTGAATGCTGGGCTCACGTTAAGTAGGCTTGTCTCAGAATTTAAAAACCATCATTTCCACCATTTTGTTCTACCTATCAGAAGTCATTAAATCCAGCCCATCTATAAGGGGAGGGGTTAGTTAGTGTTCGCCTTTGAAGGAAGTAGTGCCAAAAAAATGGTGGACATATCTTAGGACCACCACTCTGAGCACGGTTTGGATTCAGGATCTAGATAAGATGATCTTTAGTGATAGTTGAAACCTATTTTCAAAATTTTAATATGTCAGTGCTTTTCTGAGTGTGTATTACAAAGCTTAGCCAGTCCCACTACCCTTTGAGTTCTCTGACATGACTGCTTAGATTAAGACTAGATTTTAAAATGATCTTCGAGAAGAGATACCATGTGTGCTGCTGCTGTTGGAGCTGTTTTGACCACTTTCCTGTTGGGATCGTAGAGTTTATCTGACACAATCTAAGTGTTAAGGAATCGGAACCTGGGTAGGTGCACAAAGGACCAAAGTTGTAGCTGATGAGAGGTTGTCCAAGTGTCTTTAGGCCAAGAGCATCCCATGATTTGCCCTGGGCTACAGCCAGCGTCCTCCTGTGGGCAGACCCGAAGGGCTGGAAGGTGAAGCCTGAGGAGGGAGCAGGGGACAGATTGGCACTGACACCGCTTTGGGATATTCCCAGCTGAAGACACAGGTGAAGACCCAAACCGAGAACCCCATCTGGAACGAGATCCTGACCTTACAGATTCAGGTATTACCCTCCCATCATGCCTGCCGCCTCCCCTGCCCCACAAACGGAAAGGATGTTTGGGTGTTATCAGTGTGGTGGAAAGGGGGGGGGGGGCAGGGCAAGAAACACCTGAGGGGGGGAGGGCTCTGCCTGATAGGGAGCACGAGGAGGCCCAGGACTATTCTGGAAAACCTTACTACCTCCAGGATTAATAAATAAGTGGGCCATTCAACTGAGCATGCCAGAAAACTTAAATGTGTCCTCTCACTTACATTCGTAAAGATTGTTTTGTTATTTAATGTAAGACTCGTTCTAAATTGTAGTATGCATTATCTCCTCGGCCAAATGCCCAGAATAGAATGTCAGCTCTTTGTTGATGGCCTAGAGGTACCATGGGCCCATATTCTGGGCTACGCGTGGTTGGGCTATTGGTTCCTACACTAAATGCCCGAGAGGCTCTTCTGTGAGGCGTCCTGAGCCTGATTTGTATAGCCTTGCAGTCCTTCTCGGTCACCTGTCAGTGGTGTGGAGGCGGTTCCCTTCAAGCCCTGGCAGCCAGGTTCCAAGAGCCGTGTGCACAGTGAGGGAGGCACGTCTGAGGGAAGCTGGGCACTCTCATGAGCGCAAGGCACGGAACTCGGGGTGCCGTCTACCGGCCAACCAGAGTGTTTGGTTCCTTACTTACATTTGTGAGACATGAAATTAACTAAAGAGCTCCCTCTTCCCTCCTTCAGAGCCTCCTCCTCGCTTTCTTAGAAGCTTCCCCAGTCTGCCTCCTCCTAGTGAGTCATCATTTTTAACCATTCCACGCAATCCTTACCTCCTTAGTTGATTTTATAGACTCTTAAAGTGGGATGAGATTTAGAGGGCCAAGTTCACCCCCCACCCTTGTCAAGCTCACCCTCACCTGTGATGCGGCAGGACCCTCAGATGCTCAGCTGCCATTAGGCTCAGAGCCAGTGGCCCAGGCCAGGCCGCCTCCGTCCCTGAAGAGGCCTTCCAACAGTTAACAGCATCCATACGTCCCCTGGGCCCTCACCCATTTCTGACCGGACACAGTGTCCAGGATGGGGCCACATGGATGCAGGCCTGATTATTACTGGTCCTCCCTCTGGAAATGCAGCAGAAAGATGTGAACCTCACTTTGAGGTGGCAGGATGTCATCACCCTACGCAAACGGTAGCCTCTGAGGCCAGCTGGTCAGGGCCCCAGCAAGGTAGACAGTAGGGGGCGATACTGAAATGGGGGGGTGCCACTTTATAGTCCAGGGGCCCCAGGACAGGACGGGAGCCAAGGCAAGGAAGGGAGAGGAGAATTTCCAACAGGGAAGCTGGAAAGGTAGTTCACCCGTGAATTTGAATTTGGTGGATTCATAGCTTTGGAAGACCTGGTGCCTGATGGTGCTCATGTCTCCACTGCCAAAGTCCTTCCTTCAGCTGGGTAATTTCCTCATTTCTTCTTCCTTTTTTTTTTTTTTAATATATTTTATTGATTTTTTACAGAGAGGAAGGGAGAGAGAGAGTCAGAAACATCGATGAGAGAGAATCATCAATCAGCTGCCTCTTGCACACCCCCACTGGGGATGTGCCCACAACCAAGGTACATGCCCTTGACCAGAATCGAACCCAGGTCCACAGGCCGATGCTCTATCCACTGAGCCAAATCAGTTTCGGCTTCCTCATTTATTAATACCCAGCTATTCAACTGGAAAGCCTTTCCCTATCTCCCCTTGGCCCCCAGCCTGCACAGCGAAGGGGGAATGAATGGGGAGGATGAAGAACTGGAAGGATGCCCGCAGGAACTGCTCTGAGGGAGGAGGCGACCCTGGCTGAGAAGACAGGGGAGCTACTCAGGCTCATCCTGACAGCTGTCTTAAACATGGACTTTTTTGTTGTCTTAATTAAAGGAACCCAGTAGCAGAGTAGAGCTATGACTCAGAAGCATGGGTTCCAAACCTGACTCCACCCTTACTGTGTGTCATTGAACAAGACCCTCTGCTTCTCTGGGCCTCATTTCCTGTCTGCAAATAGGGACAGTCCCGGCCCTCACCGGGCTTTGGCAATGTTGCCAGGAGCTCTGAGACTGCCTCGGCCCTCGCACCTAACATGAGAACTTCAGGAACTCAGCTCTGTGCCTGAGCTTTCCTGTCTGAAAATGGGACTAAGAATAGCACCTAGCTAATGGGGCTGTTGGGACTCAGTTGGTACAGGAGATCGTTCAGTACAGGTCAGGGGACATGGCGCACCTCACCCCTTCCATGGATAGCCATTGTTGTTTACTCTTTCTGGAGATGGATGACCCACTGGTTGAAGTTAACTGCTGACATGATGGAGACATCCTAGGCTCACGACTTCCCCCGGGAGAGGGTTTGGTGTTTAGACTATGCCGGGCTGAGTGAGTACTGTAGCCATGAAATCCACAGTCCCAGAGGACCCAGGTCTCCCAGGTCCCGAGCTTATGCAATTAGAGAGCCATATGAAGAACAATAATACAAAATGATCATGAGACACAGCCCTCGCCTCTCCCAGGGCTTTCCAAGGACCCATGCAGTAGGGCTCCTAAAGTTTGGGGTCCAGAGGCTCCCGTGGTAAACCATCTTGGCTGTAGTTAATGGCTCCTTGGTAACTAAGTCAGGCCTTGGACCTAAACCCAAGACTTCTACCTGCTTGTGATCGCTGTGAGGACTGGATCCTCCAAGCACGAGCACACACCCACTGTGTCTCTCGCCTCCCCTGCAGCTGCCCTGCCTCTCCAGCTACATCAAGTTCAGAGTCTGGGACTGGTGAGCAAGCGGGTGGAGGCTGGCAAACATGCCGGGAGGGGAAGATCGGAGCTGGGACGGGCTCAGCCAGCAGCATTCTCTCCAGCCCCAAGGGCAAATTCTGGAGTGAAATTGGGACTGTCAGCCTGATACTCAACCAGATCTCATCCACCGGAGCAGAAATAGAAGGCAAGCATCCCCCAGCCCCCCGCCAGTGCCTCTCGCACCTGGCCGCCCTCTCACCCTCTCTTCTTGCAGGGATGTACTCTGGTTTCCTACCCTGCTTTGGCCCCAGCTTTCTGACTCTCCATGGGGGTAAAAAGGCCCCTTTCCAGATCCAAGAAGAAGGCGCTGTAAGCCTCTCATGTCAACTCTAGGGAACAGAGGAGGTAAAACCGACCATGTGTGAGGCACTGGGCCTGGGAATGCCTGGGGAGGATCCGGCCCTGGTTTCTGTCCACCACATGCTGGTAGAGAACGTGAAGCCTGTATGTAAATGGTGAATGTGTGGGACGTGTGCCATGGCACAAGAAAGGAACAGGTGGAGGGCATTGAGATTGGGATTCCCGGTAAGATTTTCAACAGGTGGAAAGGACCTATGGGACAAAAGCAGCAGCAAAGGTAAGTGTAGAAAAGCACTGGGGTTATTTAGACCTGGTGACAAACGCCAGAAAACCAAGTCCAATCGACCTACAAGAGGGATGGGGCTGGAAGGCCTCTGAGTGAGGAAGAGGCAGGCGCCAGACCTCAATGCCATCAGAAGACTCTCCCACTCTCATCTCTGCTGTTGTCTAATCCTGGCCTCATTCTTTCCCACTGCAGTCAGGTTTCCATGCTGGTACTGTGTTCCCGGGGCTCTAACAGGTCCAGGGAAGCACTCTCATTGGTGTCCTTAGGTCACATGTGCTTCCCTTGGGCCAATAATTGTGGCCAAGGCACCAGACATGCTCTGATTGGCCAGGCAGGGAGAACACACACTAGTTATCCTAGTGCCCTTCCAGCAGGAAGCATTTATGGGATCTGCAGGCCAAATGCATGAGGGGGAGGAGCAAGCTGAAGGATGCAGAAGAGTCAGGGCCTAGAGCAAACATGTCAAACTCATAGCCAGTGGGCCACATACTGCCCATTCGAATATTTTTGTGGCCCCGCCAATATAACGGTACGTAAGAAATGCTTTAATAAAAATTTCATAACTTAATTTTTACAATATCCTGTTATACATAATTATTAGTAATGAACTACAATGTTTACTAGTGACTGATTACTATAATCGTGTTGCATTCATTTCCCTTAATGTACCTTACACATTAATACCAGCAGCGAATATTTTAGCAGCCGATGGCCACGTCATTAGTCTTGGACTGACTTGTTTGGTGTGCGCCACAGGAAATATTTTGCTTTCAGAGAACAAGAAAAACAGGTTTATTTGTATTACACTTATTAATTTGTGCAGTTATTCAGTGTCTGGTAAATTAACGTTCAATAAAAATATTAATTTTTATTATAATGTTCTATGATTTTATGTTAATGATTACTCATTTATTTCAGCATGTCTCTATCAAAATAAACCTACATTTCTATGAAAATTGGAGCTTTTGCTTTTTTCTGGCCCACATACTCTTCAACCTTGTTTATTTGGCCTGTGTTAGCCTCTGAGTTTGACATGCTTGGCCTAGAGGTTTCCAGAACACTGTGTCTGGGTCTGGAATTCCTCCCTGGGGTGAAGTTACCGGACAATTGTGTCTTTACAGCAGAAGTGTTGCGAGATTGGCGTGCTCTGTTTCTCTCATCCCCTCTCACCCCGCTTTCCTCTCTTACCTTAGAGTATCCCCAGCTCTGTTAAGGACGGTTTGGAGTATCGAGGCCGGATCTTCCTGGAGTTAGTCACCAACACCAAGTCCCAACCAGACACTAGGATAAATGACCTCTCCCAGGAAGTGACCAGTGTAGAGGTAACCCAGGAAGAAAGGGGCCCTCTGCCCACCCCAGTCAGTGGCCACAAGCTGAATGTGGCAGTGGGTGCGTGAGGGTGGTGGTCCATCCCCATGAGTCATTCCTGAGCCGCCAGAGCATCCTGCTGTGCCGAACCCCAGGTGGCCAGGGACCTAGTAAAGACAAGATAAGGCTTTGGCTTAAGGACAGTGTCATCTAGTTAAGCAGGAAGACTCTAAAAAGTATTCTAAGAAACTTTAACTTCTTCCCGAAGGCGGGGGAAGACCATTGAGGCAGCAAAGTATTGAGAATAGTCAGGAGGGAGTAAGGTGAGTCACTCACTCACTCACTCACTCACTCACTCAAGAAAAGTGGTACAGTTACAGGGAAGAGAGCTTTACAGGAGAGAGCTGGTTCCAAATGGACTCTTAATGATCAGAGCCACCAACTAACAGGACATAAGAAGTGAAACCCATTCCCCTGAGCTGATGCCCATTTTCTGCCTCAGGTGGGAGAGAGAAGTTGCAGATGTTGCATGGAGACAAGTGCATAGCAACTTGGCTGGAAAATGGAGGGAGACAAGATCAGGTGGTAGCTGAGGGGAGAAGGAGGGCTGTGTTGAAGACAGGGAGACCTTAGCTAGGGAACAGACTGGGAATAGGCAAGTGTATGGCAGAGGTTAGCAACAGAAACAAGGGAGGAGCTAAGATGATAGAAAGAGGCTCCTGAGCAGATGAGAGAAGGGGGCTTGAGAAGGGACAAGAAAGGATGTATGCCACTTCTACCATGCACCCCTGCCCACACTCAGTCTCATCTGAGAAGAGCATTAGGCTAAAAGGAGAAGAATGGTGTGGTCTGACATGGGTGTAGGTAGGTGGCCGAACCACAGCCTCACCTGACCAGCAAGAAGACCCTCCTGCTCAGTTTCAGGAAGGGAAGGAGTCAGGATTGGCTGGGTGGGGGTGGGGGGCAGGTGATGGAGGTCCTAGAAGGAACTTCCTCCTTGACCAGCCAGGGAGTAGGAACTAATGCAAGGCTTTGAGTGGGGGTGGGTTTCAGAGATGGTCTAGCTCAGTGGTGGGCAAACTCATTAGTCAACAGAACTAAATATCAACAGTACAAATTTCTTTTGAGAGCCAAATTTTTTAAACTTAAACTTCTTCTAATGCCACTTCTTCAAAATAGACTCGCCCAGGCAGTGGTATTCTGTGGAAGAGCCACACTCAAGGGGCCAAAGAGCCACATATGGCTCGTGAACTGCAGTTTGCCAACCATGGGTTTAGCTCACCTCATCCTTGCCCCTTCCTGTCTTTATCGTCTTGTTCATCTTGGCTTATGTGCTGGGGGTATGGGGGTTATTGTTTTAGAGGCACATGAACCGCCAAAAGTATGGGCTGTGCATCATCTTCCTTTCCTGTACCATGATGCCCAACTTTAAGGACCTGATCCAATTCGAGGTCAGCATCGGCCACTATGGAAACAAGATGGACCAGAATTACAAGCCTCTCGTCTCAACTACACAGTATAGCCCAGTGATATATGATGGTAATAGTCAAATCCAGCCAAGAGGTGGAGAGCATCCCCTGCATGCCAGGCTCTGTAGCTTGGAAGGGTATTAGTTCATGGAACATTCACAGGCATTGTTAACCCATGTTTCACACATTAGGAAAGTGAGCTTCACGGAGATGAAGTCACCTGCCAAACATTGCACAACTACTGAGTGCTGAGCCCACAAGAGTTGAAACCAGGTCATGGCTTCAAGTTCTCCTCCACTACTACTCCCCCAATCCCATCTTCTCCCCCACTACCCTGAACCACCCCCGTCCATCCATGCAACTTCCACCCACTGCTCATCTGCCTACCTGCTATCCATCCATTTCTCTTCATCCAATATCTACCTATTGGACACCCATATTGGGCATTAGAGAAATGGTCCTCAAAATGCGGGGTCTAGGCAGCAGCATCATTATTGCCTGGGAACTGTGAGAAATGCAGATTCTTGGCGCTCCCCTGCTGGCCTGGTACCTCCCAACTGACCTATCCTGGGGGTATGGGGATTATTGTTTTAGAGGCACATGATCACCCCTAACTGTCCTACCCTACTGACCTGGTTGCCCACAACTGCCCTCCCCTGCCGGCCCTCTTGTGGTGGCCATCTTTGACCACATGGGGCCAGCCATCTTGACCACATGGGGGTGGCCATCTTGTGTGAGGGCGTGATGGTCAATTTGCATATTACCTCTTTATTACATAGAATTACTTGCAAACAGACTGTGACTTTTTTTTTCGGGTTTATAATTTTATTAGGCAGTCAGCAGTTAATTCTCATCCACATTAATTGTCTGCAGATTTTTATGCATTCATTGGTTGATTCTTGTATGTGCCCTGACCAGGAAATGAACCCACAACCTTCACACATCTGGATGATGCTCTATCCAACTGAGCTACCTGGTGTCTTTTGATGTGCAAACATTTCATTTGGAAGAAGTTGATTATTTTTTATTTTTTATTTTTATTTTATGGTGTCATATCCAATGCAAGAATTATTTGCCTAACCCAAGGTCATATAGGTTTCCTCTTTGATTTTCTAAAAGTTTTACAGTTTTAGTCTTACATTTAGCACTATGATCCATTTGAATTCCTTTGCATTTTTCCCAGCACCAGTCGTTAAGATTTCCTTCTCCCAGTGTTCTGTTGTTTAGGTTTTCTACTCAGGGGCCCTGTTTGGGATCCACAGCTCTTGGTTTTCTCCTGTATCTGTCCTTTTCTCCCCAGTCCTTCTGGATGCTTTCATTTCCTTCGGCCACTTTTCTTGTTGCTATGCTTCTGACTGTATTATCTGCAAGGCCTGCTCTCCCCGGCGCTGCTTTTTCTACTCTGCTTCCTTTCTGGGATGCTTCTGTTTTCCTTTTACTTGTTTTTTGAGTTTTGCTGGCTCCCATTTCCTCGTCTGACTCCCCAGTTCCTCCTGGGAGTGTGTTTTTGCTGGCACTTTCTGCTCTCTGCTCCGTCAGGCTGGGCTCCCTGCTGTCTGTCTGGGTCCTCAGGTCTCCGCAGGTGACATCTGCTGCACCTCCCCGCTTGGGGCTCCTAGGGCAATCACAGTTGCTTTTGGCAGTCCTCGGGTGTATTTTGAGTCTGAAGATTATATCTCTCTCCTTGTTTTGCTGAAAATGGAGTTATTTTCCTTCTTCTTGTTGCTTTTGTACGCCATCCAAGAGTAGAAGAAGAAAATTGCCGTTTAGTGTCCCCATGCTCCTATCTGAAAACCCAGCCTGGGATCTCTGCTCAGTTATCGTCCTAATCACTCCCTCAGTGCCAGGTCTAAAGCTGGTGCCTTCCAACAATTCTGAAAAATTACACGATACTTTTCTCTGAAAATTACCCACCACCACCACCATGTCTCTTGTATCTCGTTCTCAAATTCACTCTACCATCTGTGGAAGTCCTCATTTTATTCTTCATATTTTTAATCTCTTCCATATTTGTCAAACCTCTGGGCTGCATTCTACACCATTTCTTCTAGGGCGTCTAGCAAAGGCTGCAGGTGGCCTTGTGATTGACCACTTTTTGGCAGCAACTGTCCTCCTATTCCCTCTTCTTCCACGTAGCGTACTCCACCGTTCGACGCACTGCATTTATGTATTTATTTTGTCTTCTTTGCCCCACTGTTTTTTAAATTCTTAAGTAAACTTGGTATGTGAGTCTAACATGTCTATGGAAAAGTACACACACCGGAGTGTCCAGCTCAGCAAAGCAGACAGACCCCTGTCACGACATCCAGACCGTGAAAGAGTCCCGACACCCCAGAGGCCCCTGGACCCCCCAACCCCAAGGACAGATGCTCGCCTAGCTTCCAGTTCGTTTTGTCTGGTTTTTAACTTTATATCAAAAAAATCATATAGTATGTATTCTCATGTGTCTGGCACCTTTGGCCCATTATTTTGTTTGTGAAATGCATTCACAGACCCAGATGTTGCTGGGACTAGTCACAGCTCATTCTCATTGCTGTGTAGTGTTCCATTGTGCAAACAGACTATCATTATTTTTATATTTTATTGATCTTTTTACAGAGAGGAAGGGAAAGAGCTAGTTAGAAACATCAATGAGAGCGAAGTATCATGAGGGAGAAGCATTGACCAGCTGCCTCCTGCACACCCCCTACTGGGAATGTGCCCACAACCAAGGCATGTGCCCTTGACCAGAATCGAACCTGGGACTCTTCAGTCCACAGGCCAACGCTCTATCCACTGAGCCAGTGGTAGGTAAACTGCAGCTCAAAAGCCACATGCGGCTCTTTGGCCCCTTGAGTTTTTAGCAAAGCTCAGCTTAGGAGTATCCTAATTATGTTAATAACAATATACCTACTAATATAGTTTAAGTTCAAAAAAATTTGGCTCTCAAAAGAAATTTCAATCATTGTACTGTTGATATTTGGCTCTGTTGACTAATGAGTTTGCCAACCACTGGGTTAGGGCTATACCATCATTTATTTGTCCTCCTACTTCGGAGGGAGGTTTCCGTGGTTTCCAATTCGGGGCTCTGACGAATGGAAGGTGATAATGCAAGTGCGCCTTGCGGCTGGGTGTACACCACAGAGCCAACTGCTGGGTGAGAGAGCGTGCACCGGTTCTAGGCTGCTCATTTTCTTGGTACTTTACATGTGGAATGCTTTGGGACTTGGCTAAAGCTCCATGCCCCAGAGAGGGTCTATTTTTTTTCTTCCTCTGGTAACTTGGGGTGCTGCCAACCAGAGAGCACTTTAAATTTTCCGCAGACCTTACAGGTGGTCTGAACGCAGAATGCAACCTACATGAGGGCCCGCCTGTGGTAACAAACTTGGGGGAAATTTCCCTGTCCCCTCGCCCCAGGGCCATGCTGGAGGCAGGCATGTCTCCTCACCCTGTTCTTCTATGCGGTGGGTTACTTCTCATCGACTGAGGGTTTAGGTTCTGAGGTGCCAGCTCTGCGTGATGTATTGCTTTGCCAGGGCTGCCATGGCCAGGCACCAGACTGGGTGGCTGATGGCATCCTCCTGAAAGCTAGGCATCTGAAACCAAGGTGTCGGCAGAAGCAGCTCCTTTGGGTGTGCCTTGGCGTGTAACATAGCACTCCATCTCTGCCTCTGTCTCCCTCTGTCTCGTCTTCACAAGACCACCATCTCCTGTCTCTCCTCTTATAAACACACCAGTCATATTAAGGACCCAGCCTGCTGCAGTATGACCTCATCTTAACTAATCACAGCTGCAATGAATGACCCTATTTCCAAATAAGGCCGCATTCTGAGGTACTGGTGGTTAGGATTTCAATTCAACCCATACCACAGAGTCTTCTGCTAGACTGCCCACCATGGCAGCGCTACGCTTTCTCTCCTGACCCCTGAACCCGGGCAGTTGCCAAAAAGAAGTACAAGGTCTCCGTGATTTGCCAGAAACTCAGAGGACAGGAGCCAGCTTGCTTCCACTTGCCTCTGACATTCTGTTTTATTTTTGGCTTCTGTGGTTTTCTTCCTTTTGCGTCAACACAACAACACACCTCAGAAAAAGATCCTTAACGTTTCAGCTAAGGTCCTCCCCTCATTCCAATAAGAAACATCGCCAGGAACCCACTCATCGTGGGTTTAACCCCTGCTTGCCCCGACCCCCTTCTCCACACCGGCAGGACCTTTACGTCAGATGTCTGCCCACCCCAGCCAAACCCTGCGTCTCCTCCGGAGCCCAGGCCCACTCCTCCCGGCCTTGCGGGCCACCCATCCAGGCGTGCCTCTTGCCTCAATATCTCACTTGAAGTCAGGGCCTGGGGCTGTGCAGCTAGACATCTGCATTCTGGCTGCCTGGCGGTGCCATTTCAGGCAAACTACTCCCCGCCATAGCCTGGGCTGTCCCATCCGCACACGGGGGCTCGGAAAGGCTGCCTGACACCCGAGCAGGATGAGTGCTCCATCGGGCGGCCCACCGTCTGGCGGGAGGGCTCCAGCTAGCGTTCTTAGCAGACGGCACCCTGGAGGAGCGACAGCTCAGTGGAGGTGCTCTGAGGGACACGCTGAGGAGACCGCCAGAGACACTCAGACCCCGCCCTCCCATCTTTGTGTCTCAGGGAACGTCTACAATTACGTGCCCTGGTACAACACCAAGCCGGTGGTGGCCCTCACCTCCTACTGGGAGGACATCAGCTTCCGTGTGGACTGCCTCAATCTCCTGCACTTCACTCGGGACCGCCTGGTGAGTGGGGCCGGCTGGGTGTGTGTGTGTGGGGGGGGGGGGGCTGTCACGGAGGGAGATTGGGGATAAGGAGTCTCAGGCAGAGGGAACCGGTCTCTTGGCTCACATCGAGTGAGATGGAGGTGCCTGGCACGGGCTGGGCTCTGAAGACACCAAAATGAGTCAGCACCGCCGCTGGCCTCGCCTCGGGGAAGTCAGAGGTGCCGTGGTCCTCCGCACGCGGCCAGGGCTTCAGAGGCTGAGCAGGCCCCGGCCACCGGCCACGGGGCAGAGACTGGGCGGGAGGGGGTGAAAAGCAGAGAGTGGAGGTGTTCCAAAAGGAGGTGACACTTGAGCAGAGCCCTCAAGACTGAGGAGTTTCCTGGGGGCGGGGTTTAGAGAAGAGAACAATGTGAAAGCCATGGAGGCATGAAGGTCGAGGGCGGTGGGGGCATAGAGGTGAGTGCGAATAAGGCCAGGAAGCTGGGAGAGGTCAGATCACAGAAGGTCTTAGGTGTCTGTTAGGAAAGGAAGCCGCTGCAATGTTGGACAGGAGAGCCACGGGGTGCCTCCACTCCGATAGGACTTCCTCGCACACACGAAGGGAAGCCCGCATCGGATCTGTGCCCTCCTCGGTCCGCCTGTCCTGGCCCCTTCCTGCTCCCCCTTCTCCTGCGGGATCGTGGGAAGGGTGTGTGGGAACCGCACCCGCGAGGGCCCGTGACAGCCTTGGACCGGCATCCCCAGGCTGCCCCGCACAGATTCCCAAGTCTTCACTGAAAATGTCGGGCAAGTCAGCCCTGTAACGGCCTGGGTGCCCATGTCACCTGCTCTCTGTCTCCTCCCGGGCAGAAAGCCAACCTGGACACCCTGAAATCCATTCGGAACCCGAGGGACCCCGCCCTGCTCTCCCAGTGGAGGAAGCTGCTGAGGGAGCTGGTGGAGGACTGCAAGTAGGAACTGCGGCCTCCTCTGAGCTGGGGCTCCCGACGGCGCCCTCCTCGGGTCTCTCCCTGGCTTGAGGCCCAAACCACAGAGCAGCTCCTCCTCTCCCGTCAGGCCTCGCAGAAAATGGCCCTCACCTTCCCCATCTCCCCTGACCCCCTCCCTGAACACTGTCCCTGCTGTCCCCACTCTGCACCTCGTGCTCCCACCAAACCAAGCCTCTCAGTGTCTCCAAAAAACCCCGGCCCAGCCCCATCCTTTCCCCTGCTGCTCCTCTCCACGAGGCCTTCTCCAGGGCTCTAACTGTTCCAGAAGATTCCTTGTGAGGCCTCTGCCTGCCCCGCACCCCATTTGGAACCCCACTGTCACACCTCGGGGTTTGGTTGCCTCACACCCCTTTCCAGGAGGTGTGAGCATAGGCCTGGCTCACTGCAGGGGCTGGGGGGTGGGGGGTGGGGGAGGACAGGGTTGGGGTGAGAAACGGGGTGTGGGTGGAGGTGGGGGTGGGGGCAGGCCTGGGTGAGCAAGGCATCCCAGGAGGGTGGGACGGGCTTCCTGAGGCAGGCCAGTGGGGGCTCGGCAGGATCACGAGTCCAGGAGGGCACCTGGCCTCAGACAGGGCCCGAGGCCATGAACGGCCCAGCCCTCTCCTTCCCAATCCTGGCCGCAGGCACCCTCTGCCCTGCATGATCAACCAGCCCAACGCCACGGAGCTGGACAGGAAGAGGTGGCAGCTCCGTTGCCACCTGCTGAAGGAACTGGCCCAAAAGGCCAAGGAAGTCCAGCCTAGGGACATGGTGGCCACCGTGGAGGGCTGGCTATACCGCCTCAATGCTGTGCTCCCCGAGGTGGGTGCAGGACCCCGGCGGGAGCAGGCGGGGCCGGCGGGGGCCGGCGGGGCCGGCACGGGCCTGACTCTGCCCCGGCAGCCCCAGGTGAGCATCCCGGACGTGACGATCTGGCTGATGGCCAAGGAGCAGAGAGTGGCCTACGCACTGGTGCCCGCCCACGCCGTCCTGTTCTCCCCGACGGGGCCTCTGCACTGCGGCAAGTTCTGCGGGAAGATACAGACGCTGCTCCTGCAGGTGCCCACGCGGGAGGCCTGGGCAGCTCGGGTCCTGGGGGAGGAGGGAGGCCCAGAAACACCCCGGGAGACGCCCTGAGCTCTGGGGGCTCCCATGAGCCTCCCTGAGGGCCGGCCCTGCCTGCTCCCAGGCCTTTTACCAGGTGAATGGGGCAGGCGTCACAGAGGAAGGAAAGCCCATAAGCATGAGGCCGATGCCCAGTCCGTGATCCTAACAATGTCCCCAGATTGCCGCCTCCGTCATCTTCACCCCACACGTAGTTCGTCCTGTTCTCTCCCCGGGACCACAGTGGGGTGCAGTTCAACACATTCAATGACTGTGAGGTTTGGGCGCCGGCCCATCACACCACACATAAGCCATAAATAAGGGTCCTGCCCCGACCACAGCCCCAGCCCCACAGGCAGGTGGGGACTCACTTGGCTTCCCCTGCGTCCTAAAGAGGCTCAGCCTCCCTGGCCTGCCCCAGTCACCTCTCCTCCTCCGCCCTCAGGCCCTCCCCTTACAGTCAGGTCATGCTGGGCTCCCCCACTGCTGCCCTCTGCCCTCCTGCCATCTGGAGGCCCCTCTGTGCCCGCCGAGGCCTTCTCATCCTGCAAGAAGCACTGACACAATCCTTGGCTGTACCACTTGCTGGACTGTATGTCCTCGGCCACGCCCGGCCGTGCCCAGCCTGACTGTTCCTCTGTAGAATGGGCTGGGCTGGTGGTGTGTGAGGGTCAGAGCATGCTGAGCACCACGCCAGCACATGGTGAGAACGCAATCAGTGATCACTAGGACCACTGTCAATGTCACTACCATCCCTGCCCTCCCCAGGCAGCACTGCCCCTCTCCCCTCAGCCCCAACTAGCTAGCTCAGCTCCGTGGGGAGCCCCTGCTCCTGGGGCTCAGGGTGAGGGAGCAGGTGGGTGTGCCCCTCCCTCACCTGCCCCCCTGCCCTCGGGGGCCACACCCCTGTGGGCTTGACCTGCCCCTGACTCAGTACCCAGAGGGTGAAGGGCAGAAGGACTCGCTCCCGGCCCATCTCCGGGTCTGCATGTGGCTGGGCAACGTCACAGACAGCTGGGACCTGCAGCTGCTCCGAGAGGGCGAGGTGGTCGTGTATGCGGAGACGGTGAGCAGCGGGGCGGGGGGGGGGGTGGCACGCCAGGCCGGTGGTCCCAGGGAGGGGAGCCAGGCACTGTCAGAGGGACAGGAAACGGGGCGCCTTCACACAGGGCAGTGAACCAGGGGGTGGGTGAGCAGGGCTCAGGCTGAGCTGTGAAAGCAGAAGGGAAGTGGGTTTGTTGCAGACTTTGTAATTTACTGAATTAAACATGTCATGGTTCCTAGGTTGTGCGTGGCGGGTGGATATATAAGATGCGTAACCAGCTCCTTTGCGGGGCTTGGGGATGCTGGGATGGGGACCCCGGAGGAAGTGCAGAAACCGCACACGCAGCAGGGGAACCCGGAAGCCAGGCCCGGAGTTTGCACAGAGGAGGCAAATAGTGGAGCAGGAGGGGCCTGGGGTCAGCAGTGACCAGCAGACAGGCCCCACTGCAGGCGCCACCAGGCTCTGTGCTGCCCCACTGTGCGCTGGGGAGGCAGCAGATACTGACGGCCTGCCTCTGCTCCTTCCCCAGTATGAGAACCAGGCCAAGTACAAAGACCAGTGGGGGCAGCAGGGGCTGTACCAGTCCCCCAACTTCTCCGACGTCCTGGGCCACAAGGCTCTCCCCAAGGAGGACTTCAAGGAGCCCTCAGGATGGCACTGGGCGGGGAAGTGGACGGTGGAGCCGCAGAGGAGGTACGTCTTGGGTCGGGGCCGGGAGCCTGTGTGCCTGGCCACACAGCCCGGAGCCAGCACCTCTTCCTGCCGGGAGTCCGGCGGCAGCAGCCTAGACAGGCGGGCACACGGCAGAAGCCCTGCCCGCCACGCTGCCCTGCCTGCCAGCCCACTGCCCAGCCCTGCCAGGCAGGCGGGGCCAGCAGAGGAGGACCCCAGGGGCCTGGAAGTTTGGGGAGACGTGTTGGGAACTCGAGGTGTCGCTGCCCTCAGACTCCTCCTGGACACAGACATCAACAAGAGCCAGGTGCTGGAGGAAGTGTATGAGAACCAGCAGCGGGACCCCGCGGGGGCCTGGGTGCCGGCAGCCACCCCCAACACCGACGTGGTGAGCAGGGCGGAGGCACCTCGGGGCACGGGGCAGTGCGGCCGATGGCCACCTCGGAGGCTGGCTGTCTGAGTGGAGAGAGCGCTAGCCCAGGGGCTGCTGTCTGAGCCCGGCCCCTCTGTGTGGCCCCTGGGCTAGCGCTGATGACGGCTCCACTGAGACGGCTCCTCAGAGGGCGGAGAGTCGGGGGCTGGGCCGGTCTAAGCAGAAGCTGCTGTCAGGCAGAACTTGCTGTGATGATGGGAACCGTCTATGTCTGCGCTGCCCACGTGCGGCTATTGAGGACTTAAAACGTGGCGTGGTGAGGGGGGTGAACTGCACTGAGTTTTCTTTTTGTTTGTTTTTAAATATATTTTATTGATTTTTTTTTACAGAGAGGAAGGGAGAGGGAGAGTTAGAAACATTGATGAGAGAGAAACATCGATCAGCTGCCTCCTGCATACCTCCCACTGGGGATGTGCCCGCAACCAAGGTACATGCCCTTGACCGGAATTGAACCTGGGACCGTTGAGTCTGCAGGCCGACGCTCTCTCCACTGAGCCAAACCGGCTAGGGCTGCACTGAGTTTTGTTTCATTTGATTGATTTCAATGTAAGCAGCCCCGGGAGGCCAGTGACTGCTGCAGGGACACGGCGGTCACCCCTCGCGCTGGGCTCCCTGGCAGACTGCCGCTGGCCGGGGCAGGCGGCCGGTCCAGGGGGCAGCCACACCCAGGCTCGCTTTGGGTCATTGCCATGGTTATTTCCTATTTATGGGGAGTGATGCTGATTTTCCACTGAGAGTGAACATAGAGTTTCCTTCTAAAAATTATTTATTTGTAGTTTGAAAAGGCGAGTCGGTAAAGGCATATTCAATGACTGTGAGTGGCATCAGACGCAATAGTGCCGTCTGCTCCCGGGCGGGCAAATGAGCGGGCGGATGAGTGAAGGCGGCCCCCAGCACACCCCTCAGCCGCCCGCCTCTCCCCGCCCGCAGGACGGGCAGCCCGTGGAGGCGCGGGAGAACGTGAAGTGCCCCCAGGGCTGGCACGTGAAGAAGAACTGGACGGTGGAGCTGAACCACGCGGTGGACGACGAGGGTCAGTCCTCTGCTCACAGGCCGCGGGCAGGGGCCTGGAGCTGCCGGGGTCCGATACTGCCCAGGGCCTGAGAACAGCCACACTCCCGGGTGGGGTGGGCCTGCATCCCTGGGGGTCCCCCAGCCTCCGCAGAGCAGGGCCTGACCCTTCCCACGGACCTGGGCCCAGTGCTGAGGCAGGGCGGGCTGGGAGCCTCTCAGGCCTGAGCAAGGATCTGGCTCTGAAGTGGGGTTCCCCAGGGGCTGCAGGGAGGTGCCCTCAGCAGGAAGTCTGAAGACCTGGGCTCTAGACACACACCCTGCTACTTATGAGCAGTGGGACCTTGTATGGGTCACATGACATGTGAGCCTCAGCTTCCTCATCTGTGAGATGGGCAGCTGGGCCCAGGCCACCGCGGTGACACAGTGTGACCACCGCTTCCAGGGCCAGAGAGACCTGCCCTTTGGGCCCATCTCTCAGGCTCCTCCACGCCCCCCAGCCGGTGGGCCCCGGGCACCCACGCACGGCCCCGCCCGCAGGCTGGGAGTACGGCGTGGGCGTCCAGCCCTCCGGCCTGCCTCGGGTCTGGAACTCGGTGGAGAAGGCCTACTACTCCTGCCGCCGGCGGCGCTGGGCGCGCGTGCGCTGCCGGAACCACGGGAAGCTGAGCCCGGAGCAGGAGACCCTGTCCTTCCTGCAGCTGGTGAGGGGCCGCCTGGGCGGGAACGTGGCAGGACCGCTGGCAGGCTCCACCCCGCCGTGGCCGGAGACTGGCCCTGCTGTCCTCCCTGCAGGACCACGCCGGCCCGACCCAGGAGGAGGAGGGCTGGGAATACGGCACCCTGGGCTCCAAGTTCAACCTGGACCCTCAGCCCCAGAGCCGGTTCCGCCGCCGCTGCTGGCACCGCAGGCTGGCCCCCGACAAGGACAAGGGCATCGCACCCGTGTTCCTCCTGGAGGGATCCTTGGTAAAGCTCAGAGGGCCCGGCGCCTCCTTCCAGCACCCGCCCCTGGAGCCCGGGCCTGGAGGCGTGGCCGCGGCAGGTGCCCTAGGCTGGGGCACTGACGGCTGAAGGGCGGGGAGTCTGCGCCCTGGACCCACACTGTCAGGCGCTGGAGGGTGGAGCCCAGAAGGACAATAGGGGGGCCTGGGCATGGGCACCCAAGAGCCTCAGGGAGACTGTGGTGCAGGGGAAGGACCTGAAAAGGCTGGGCGAGAAGGAAGAGAACAGGCCGCCGTCACGGGGTCTCAGCAGGACGCTCAGGGGGAGCATCTGGAAGCCTGGCCGGGAGAACACCTCGCCGCCGCCCCACCTGCCCCTCATCTACTGCGTCTTCAGCAGTGAGCCTTCTGCGAGGCCGCGTCCGAGGGCGGGGAGAGGGGCCCGGGGGAGTCCTGGGGCCGGTGACGGACTCAGCTCGCCTCTTCCCCAGAGCCACACTACTACCAGCTTTTCTGCTACATCTACCAGGCCCGGAACCTGCTGGGCAACCGGATCCAGACGTTCCAGGGTAGGTGGCACCTCTTCGCCCCAGCTCCCCAGGGGCCCATGGTGTGCCCGCTCATAGTATAAAAACACAGCAAAGGAATTGGGTGACAGGTATGCAGACCACCCCCACTCCCAGCAGCTCATGGCCCGGTTGGGGGTAAAGTCACAAAAACAAGGAGTACAAGGCAAGGCCGTTCTGAGGGGCCCCCAGTGCTGTGCAATTAGGAGGCGGAGTTGGGGAGGCACCACCTCGGGGACCACTTAGCTGGCCTTGAACAGGGAGGCGTGCGTGAGAGCAAGAGGGAGTGGCCATTTGGAAACCAACCACATCCCTGTGCTGACAGACCAGACGAGGGGCAGGGAGGAGGGGTGGCGGTCGCTGGTCCTGTGCAGGAGCCTGTCCTCTGTCCTGTGGGGAGGACCCAGGGAAGGTTCCAGGTGGGTCAGTGCTCCGCCCTGTCCTGCTGCTGGCTCTGTGCAGGGAGCCAGGCTGCTGGAGGAGGGGCTGAGCTGGGCAGCGCCCATGGGGCATCAGCACCTGCGTGGAGAGGGCTATTTGATTTCCCCCGACGCCAAGGCCACTCACTGATGCTGTGAAAAGGCAGCCACGTGTAGCCTGGTCCTCAGATCTCCTCCTCCGGAGCCGCTGGCTCCTCCTCTGGGCCACCCAGGCCCAGCCATGGCAGGGTAAAACGTGGGTGGGACCAATGACCCTTGGCCTTGCTTATGCCCCTTTGCTCTTGGCTTACACGGAGGTGGCTTCGGCATAACGGGCGAAGGTGGGGCCCTGACGGGTGGCGGCCCGAGAGGAGCTTCACTCAGCTCCACAGTGAGCGCCCCTCCTCCACCCCCCAGACCCTTTCCTCCGGTTGGTCTTCTTGAACCACAGCCAGTGCACCCAGCCCCTGAGGAGCTCCGCAGCCCCCACGTGGGCCCAGACGCTCATCTTCCAGCACCTCCTCCTGTACGAGAGCCCTCAGGACACCAGGGAGAGCCCGCCGCTCGTGGTGCTGGAGCTGTGGCAGCGGGACTCCCGGGTACGCGGGCTGGGCTGGGCAGATGGGAACGCGCTCCAATGGGCATGGTGTGCACATATCTGTCAGCCCTTTCCCTCCACTCTTGGGGACCTCAGCAGAGCCAGGAGCCAGAATCCACTAGCTTGGCACCTGTTCTGCAACTTCCCTCCCTCTAGGGCAAGGAGAGCTTCTGGGGACGGAGCATGTGGCCCCCAGTGGTCTGGCTGGATGTCCAACATCGGGTCTTGCCCCCCATGAGGTGGCATCCCTTTGCAAAAGCGTTGGGGGAGGAAGAGGGAGAGATCTTGGCATCCTGTGAGCTGATCCTTGAGACTGAGGTACTGGGAGAGAGGGCCCTGCTGGGAGGTGAGGTACTCAGTGCCCCACCTTGCCCCATGCCCCTGTGACATGTTCCCACAGACAGTGGTCCCTGACTCGGGGCCTGGGAAACCCAGCCAGCCTGCCCCGCTAACCTAGCTCTCCAGCCAGCGTCTGCCCATGGGCTCGGGGGCCGCCTCAGTTGAGCTCTTAGGGACCTGCTGGAGTTGCGGATGGAGATCGGTAGGACCAGCCCAGTGGGGCCTCGTGCTCCCACCTCATCCCTTCAGAGTCTCAGAAGGAAGCTGCCGATCTTAAGCGTTCCCTGGAAGAACGGGGTCTTCACACTCCCCAAGAGCATGCAGCCCACGCTAAGGAAAATGGCGGTGGAGGTGATGCTGGTTGGGGTGGGGAGGGTGGGAGAGGGGCAGGGAACGTGGAGCTCTCTGCTGGCCCTCCTGGGGTGGTCCTGACCCCCTGATCCAAAGCTGGGATGGAGATGAAAGAATGAAGAGCAGAAGTTCTGAGAGGACGTGTTCAATTATTTTATTGCACACTTGCTGCAGGGAGTAGACAGGGACTCACTCCCCATGGTGGCATGAGCCCCGTGCTGCCCTGGGCAGGGCTGCTCTCAGAAGGAAATGGGGCTTTGAGACAGTGACATGAGCCCAGTTGCAGACCAGCATTGGGCCAGACCCTGACTCCAAGGCCAGATGAGTCTCCTTTGAGAGTAGCATGGAAATCCCCAAGTGGGAACCTATGCACCCGCCACAAACCTGGCAAAGAGCAAAAGATGGTCAGGCCTGCAGGCACTGGGTTCTTCCCCCAGGTGAGGCCCAGGCTGGTCCTGAGGGCTTGACCAGGAGGGGCATGGACATCTCCTGGGTGCTCAGTGTCTGCCAGTTGAGAGCAATCACAGGGTGTGGGCCACTGAAAGGCATGGTGCTCTATAGAAGTCAGGTCAGCAATGAGCTAGCTGACATTAGGGAACCTGAGAAATCTGGGTACCCCTGCTTGCGGGGGCCTTTGAGGTAGCCCGCCTCAGGAACTTCCTCCTCAGAGGACTGAATGGGGGACCAGCCAGGGCAGCCAGTGAGGAAGGACAATGCCTAAGGGCAGTGGACGGTCAGTGGCCAGAGGGCACCTCCCTCAGGCTGAGGACAAGCACTGAGCCCCAGGCCCCGTGCGCTCCCTGATGCACCGTCACTGCCAGCACAGGACCCTTCACAGAGGCGCGGTCGCTGCTCCCTCTCTGGCAGATCCTGGTCTGGGGGCTCCGGAACATGAAGCAGGTGAGTTCCCCCCAGCTGCTGGTGGAGTGCTGGGAAGAGACCCGGCAGACGGAGCCCATCAGGGACTTCAAGACTAACCCCAACTTTGCCCAGTCGGTCCTCTTCCTCACGCTGGTAAGAAGGCCCCAGGCAAGGGCTGGGCAGCCCACTCCTCAAGCGCGGCCTCACGGGGCCTCTCCGGGCTGCAGTTCATGCCCACGGAGGAGGCCTACGCGCTGCCCCTCGTGTTGAAGGTGGTGGACAACAAGGACTTCGGCCAGCAGACCCTGGTGGGTCAGGCCAACGTTGACTCCCTGCAGCCCTACTTCTGCGACCCCTGGGCTTCGGACTACGTGCCCCCACGGCTTCCAAGTACGTCCTTACTCGGCCCTTTCCAGGCCTCCCCAATAAGCAGACACAGGGAGGGACAGGGCCCTCCCCCCCAATCCTGAGATGCACGACGTTTCCTCCACAGAGCTGTCCGGGAACAAGCACCAGGTGAGTGAGGGGCTCGAGGCCCCACCTCCTCCCACACCTCTTCCAGGACCCGGCCCTTATCCCTGAGGGCTCTGCTGCCTGCACGGTGAGGCTAACTGTACACGGGAACTCTAAAGCAGTGAGTCTCACCTGGACTGCATATTCGAATTGCCCGTGAGTTTTAAAAAATTCTGAGCCAGGCCACTGACCAACTCCACCAGAATTGCTGGGGGCAGGGCGTAGGGTCAGCATTTTTGTCAAGACTCCCCTTTCCCCTCCAGCCCCCGCCCCCAGTGATTTCAACATTCTCGGGGCTCAGAACCACTGCGCTAGAGCAGTGCTTGTCAGCAGAACGCGCAGGAGTCCTTGGGGCCTCTGGCACAAAAGCGGACTGAGGCAGTAGCGGTGCGGTGGGCACTGAGGTCCTGCTGTCTGAGCCCTTCAAATTCAGTCTGAAGCTGTGGGCAATGAGAACAGGACTGGCCACACAACCTCCTTGCCCCAATCCCACATCTGACGACCTCAGAACGAAAGACCTGTGAGGTCAGCCCTGACTTCCACCCACTCCTCTCAGGAGGCAGGTGGTGGGTGGGCTGTGGGATGCCCGTCTGCCTGACTCACCCCTCTCCTTTCACAGTTCCTAGATGACCTTGTTGAAAAGTTCTGGTTCAAGTCCAGCAAAGCTGAGGTGATGTGGGCTCAGCCCAGGGGAACAGGAGCAATCCCAGGTAGCTTGGGAGGCGGGGAACACAAGCCTGGGCAGAGGAAGGCCAGCCGCCCCTCTTCCTCAGGATGAAGACGAGTATGACGTGGACTGGTGGAGCAAGCTGTTCTGGGCCACAGAGGACGGCAAGTCCCTGAAGTACAAGGACAAAGACTACCACACCCTGAAGGTCTGGAAGCCCCAGGAGGGAGCCTGCCGAGGTGGAATAAAACCTGCTGGGCAGCCAGCAGACCCAGCCCTGATTCCTCTGGGAACCACGGTGTGTGGGGGGCTTCCTCACTGCCACCACTCCAGGCCACACCCCTATCAGCCTCACCCATTCAGGGACCAAGGCTGCCCTGGGATTGGGCAGACGCTTGGGGACAAGACCTGCAGCTGGTGGTCCCTCACCCCCGATCCCAGGAAAGGCAGTCTGGTCCAGCCCAGGCCTGCTCCCCAGCAGCCCGGTGCCACGCACCCTCCCGCAGGTGTATGACTGTGAGCTGGAGGCTGTGCCAGCCTTCCAAGGCCTGCAGGACTTCTGCCAGACCTTCAAACTCTACCAGGAACAGCCCAAGTCAGACAGCCCTGTGGTGGGAGAGTTCAAGGTGGGCGTCCAGCCAGCTCAGCTGCCCCTTCTCCTCACGCCCGCCTGTCCCAGAAGACTAATCTAATAAAAGCTCTCTGCAGGTTGGGGCAGGGAGGGCTTGAAAAACCATTTCGGAAGTGGGGAAGCAGAGACTGACCCGTGCAGGGTTCAGAGTGGCATCCCCTTAACACAGGAAGGGTAAGGGCTGTCTCATCCCAGCTCTGGCCTGTGCACTCCCCCAAGCCCAGGAGCTTTAGAGAAGCTCAGACCTGAAGGGGTGGGGCTGAGATGGGAGTTCCCATCAGCAGAGACTGGCGAGCACAATCCCTTTGCCCAGTGCCTCCTAAACACAAGTAGTCCCTGCACAGCACCTCTGCTGTGCCCGTCTCCACCCGACCACGTGACCCCTGTCCCTGCCACCCTCACATGCTCACTCTCCTGAGGTCGGCCAGGGCACCTCTTAGAGGGTTCTATAGAGCCAGCTGCCAACACTAACCTCCCCAAAACACACACAGGGCCTTTTCCGTGTCTACCCCTTTCCTGAGAATCCCAAAGCCCCCCAGCCCCCCCGCCAGTTCTTGGTTTGGCCTCATAAAGAAGACTTCCCTCAGCAATGCCTGGTGCGGGTGTATGTGGTACGAGCCATCAACCTACAGCCCCAAGACTACAATGGCCTGGTAAGGAGCGGCTCAAACCTGCCATGCCCATCTTCCAGGGCCCCGCCCAGCCCTGCCACCTTCCACACCCGCCTACACCCCATGTCCTAGAGCTCCCTCAGGCTGCTCCCACCCAGACTGCCACCTCGCCACAAGCTCTGTCTGTGCAAGGGGCTCATTTCTGCCCACTCCTGCCCTCCCTGGCCTGACTCTCCATTTCCTGTCCTTCCCTCACCTGTGCCTAACCCCAGTGTGACCCTTATGTGATCCTGAAGCTGGGACAGACAAAACTTGGCAGCCGCGACACGTACCAGCCCAACACCCTGAATCCCATCTTTGGCACGTGAGCTGTCCCAACTTGCCCAACCCCACTCCTCCACCCATCCATGCAGCGCCGGGAGAAAGCCAGACGTAAAGAACCTGCACTCCCCTCTAGCCGCCCATTTCCTACCACGGAGCCTTAGCACCAAAGGTGCTCACCTATGGGAGATGAACGGGCGGTGGCCCAGTCTATCCTCCCTCCACACGCTCAGGAAGGGAGCCTACTCCCACACCCAGGCCTATCAACGCCTGTTTCCTGCCATACTTGGCGATGGTTATTAGCAGACAACAGCCATCCGGGCCCTGTGCTCCACGGTCACAGGACCAAACCAGGGGCAGAGGTGCTAGAGGGGAAGCATGTAGGTAACATGGGTGCGGTCTCTGCTGTCTCCACCACCACCCACCAGGATGTTTGAACTGAGCTGCACCATCCCCCTGGAGAAGGACCTAGAGATTGAGCTGTATGACTTTGACCTGTTTTCACCTGACGATAAGATTGGCACCACAGTCATCGACCTCGAAAACCGACTCCTGTCTGGCTTCGGGGCGCGCTGTGGGCTCTCCCAGTCATACTGCCAGTAAGAGCGGGTCTGGCCAAAGGCCAGGACATGGAGAAGGGTGGAGGAGGGAGACCATAGCGGGGAGCCAGGGCCTGAACCTGTCTCTCCCGGCCCCCACTACTGGTCATCCTGAGAGCAGCCGAAAGCTCTCCAGGCCCCACACCTCTTCCTCCCACACACGCACACAGGACAGGACCCTTTAGGTGGCGGGATCAGGTGCCCCCAAGCTTCCTCCTGGAACACCACGCCATGCGGAAAGGATTGCTTCCTCCTCTGTTCAACCCTGATGGCGACTCTGTTTTTTACAATGGGAAAAAGTTCAAGCTGCAGCGCTTCGGTGAGTCCTGCACACGGCCAGGAAGCACAGGCCCAGGCCTCAGAGACCAGGGAGGCTCCAGGATGGAAGAGCTGCCAGAGGGCACGTCTCTCCCCTTCCTCCTGCAGAGGGCAGCTCTGGCTACATGCAGGCTGGGCATGAGGAAGGCTGGGAGAAGGGAAGACTACTGACCTCAGGATCCCCGCCTGTCCTTTCCAATCTAGAGCCCCAGCCCCCTACTGCTCGGTACTTGGGCCCCAAAAAGGAGCGCCTTGCACTGTACCTCCTGCACGCCCAGGGGCTGGTACCCGAGCACCTAGAGACCCGCATGCTGTACAGCAGCAGCCAGCCAGGCATTGACCAGGTACGAGGCCGGGGGGTCTGGGGTGGAGACAGAGGCACACCCTCTACGAGGCAGCCCAGGAGGGAGAGGAGAGGCTGGGCTTTCAAAGATGCGCAGGGGCAGAAGACATGCACTCCTGCACGTTAGTAAGCAAGAAGTTCCAGTGACGCCGCTCAGCACGGAGGTCAGAGCTGGAAAAGTCACGTACAGGAAACAGGCTGTGCGTCCACTGTGGGACGTGCTGAGGCGCCCTGGCAGCCAAGGCCAGCCCTGCCTCAGTCTCTCCTGAGGGAGGGCATGGCAGCACCACCTGTTTTGATGTGCAGACCTGACAAATCTGGTTTGGCTATTAGTGGCAGGAACCCAGAGCAGAAGGAATAAAAGTCCCAGGGGCCCTATTACCATCCACCCTCTAGCCACCAGAATGGCTCCTTTCACTCTACATTTCTCAAGCTGATACCACATTCTAGACAAAGTACTCTACTGAGCACTTTTTAAAAAAGCATTCTCACTAAACCTGTTTAAAAAAAAAAAATTAGGTCAACTTCAAAAAAATAAAAATGAGGTCAGACAGTTTGAAAGAATGTGTTTATCTTTCTCCCAGTGTTGGCAGTCCCATCTCTCCCTTTCCCACCAGCTTCATCCTCAGACCCCTGTGCTCTGTGATAGCTTCCTGCCCTCGGGAGGAGGCTGCACATCCTAAACAATCTGGAAATCTGGCCCGGCAATCTAGATTGCTCTGACTCAGGGCCACTAAGTTGGCTAATAGATGGCTGCTAAATGGCAGGAACCCTCAAGACCATTACAAGTGACGTCCCAGCCCTATGACCATCACACCTACCAACCTGACGGCATCTCCTCCCGGCCAAAATCAAGGAAAAGGGGGAAGCTGGTGGGCAGTTGCCTGACTCCCTGTCTGAAGCCTTTCCCTCAGACCCTGTACCCCACCTCTCAGTGCTGGGAACAGGGCTCCCAGGCCAGCACCGAGGGCAGAGGCTAGGAACTCCTGCCAGCTAACCCATCTCTGCTCCAGGGCAAGATACAAATGTGGGTGGACATCTTCCCCGAGAAACTGGGGCCTCCTGGCCCCCCGGTCAACATCAAGCCCAGGAAGCCTAAAAGGTGAGTGTGGGCGCACATCCCTACCTCCGCACTTCCTGGGGGCAGGCGCCAGGCCTCCCAGTACCGAGCAGCTGGCCTCTCTCCTCTGCTGGGAATCCTGGGGACTCCCTTCCCACCAGTGCAGCATCGGTGTGGGCATGGAGGGCGGCCACCAGGCCAGGCTCCCTCACCGAGCTGCCGCTGGGCAGCGAGTCCTTGGCAAAGCCTCAGGGTGCCACGGCCGCAGGTATGAGCTGCGCTGCATTATCTGGAAAACTGCCCACGTGGACCTGAAGAGCGTCAATCTGAGTAACGAGAAGATGAGTGACATCTACGTCAAAGGGTGAGGCTAGGCGCAGGCTCCGGCACAGCTCCCCGAGTCCTGTTCCAGCTTTCCTGTGGGTCCTCCTCATCCGGGGGGACATCGCTCCACTTCCACTGCCCTGGCGTCCGCAGGCGGCCCTTCTCAAAAGGCTCCAGCTGGGGACTGGGGACAGTGCGCATGAGCCCCAGGTGAGAGGACTCTGACCCCAGGTGGCTATTCGGGCTAGAGAAGGACATGCAGAAGACAGACATCCACTACCAATCCCTGACTGGCGAGGGCATCTTCAACTGGCGGTTCATCTTCACCTTGGACTACCTGGTGGCTGAGCAAATGTGCGTCCTGAGCGAGAAGGTAACGTGGAGGCTTCTCTTCCTGCTCCTTCCTTCAAAGTTAGAACACTTGGAGTGAGGCCCTGGCAGAAGTCCTCTTCCTGGACAGTCCATCACGCTAGATATGGGCTCCTCAGAGGGCCAAGGAGACTCTCCTAAGAGAGTGGCGGTGACACGCCCTTGCCATCCTTCAGGACTACATATGGAGCCTAGACCCCATGGTGATGAAGTTTCCGGCCCGGCTCATCATCCAGATCTGGGACAATGACATCTTCACCTATGATGGCTTCCTAGGTGAGCTCCTGGCCTAGGGCCCATGACCCAGGACGGAGACTCCTTTGTGCTGACTGCGTTTCTCTGGGCTCAGGGGTCCTGGAGCTGGATCTGTCTGACATGCCCTTCCCGGCCCAGAATGCAACCATGTGCTCCATCAGGATGATGGATGCTGACCACAAGTGGCCCCACTTCTTCCCGCACAAGCGGTTCTCCCTCTTTAAGAAGAGGACTGCAACCGGCTGGTGGCCTTGCCAGGTCCTCGAGGACGGCAAATGGCGCCTGTCGGTAGGAGCTGGGGAAGGTGTCTACCGCACAGCACTGCTGTGTCCCATCCCTGCCTCTCAATCCCCGGGGCCTTACCTAAATCCCTCTTCCTTTGTGGGTCCTGGGAAGAGGCTCCTGCGACCACAACTCAGCCTCCCACCCCTTGCGGTGCTTCTAGGGTAAAGTGAAGATGACACTGGAGATTCTGTCTGAGGAGGAAGCCTTAATCAGGGCAGCAGGACGTGGCCAGTCAGAGCCCAACCAATACCCTACACTCCATGCTCCCCCGTAAGGCTCCTTGTTCAGAAAGCTGAGCTGCTGAACCTGGCAATATACCCAGGGTGGTGACCAGTAGCGACAAGTGGAGGGTAGTTACTTCCCACCATCTCAGCTCAGTGCTGTCACCATCAGAAAAGAATGGCCAAGGGGAGGGGGGGAGATGGGGCAGAACATGCTTTTAAAAAAAGAAAGGTTGTTGCTATGGAAAACTTGATCTGAAAGTCCCCTGTCCTCCATTCTCAAACTCAACTCTGCTCATCGACAGGCGCTCCAACACCTTGCTCTCATGGTTTCGGTCACCCATTAGAAACTTCTGCTATGTTTTCTGGAAACGCTACCGCTTTAAAATCATAATCTTCTCAATCATATTGATTATCGGGCTTATGCTGTTCAGCTTCATGTACTCAGCTCCGGTGAGTGATGCCCCTGGGGACCGGGACAGAAGCACTGGCTGCTCTGGCCGCTTCTGGAGAGAGCCTCCAGTTGCTACTTCAGCTGACTATTGCCTGCTCTCTCTAGGGCTATTTGGCCATGAAATGGGTCAAACCTGAGCTTTCGCTGGCTGCACCTAAGGATATGTTCACCAATATCATCAATTCACTGAACACCAGCAAGGCCAGCTCTTCCAACCTCACTACCCCAAGTCCTACCCAAGAGTCTACAACAGGCCATTAACTGAAACTCCTGAGGGACACATGAATCATCTGTGACATATTTTTCCAGAACTCCCAGCCCCACAAGGCTAATTTGGCCAGGTTTGCCTGGCTTCTCTTTGCCCACTGTCAACCCTATCCTAGAGCTTCTTGCCATTTATTTCTATCTTCTAGGACAGCAAGGGGCTAGGGATATTCTGGCCATTCAGCTGAGAAACCACTTCCAGCAAGAAAGTTGTAATTTTCCACTAAAATAAACAAGCTTTGTAACAAAGCCGCTTTGAAATTTTTTTTTTTTTTTTGGGGGGGGGCAGTTTAAGACCATATGAATGGCCAGTTTTTGGACAAGACTCCCAGGGAAAAGAAGCAGTGTCGCCTTTGGCACTACCTGGTCTTCTGTCTCTTCCACGTGAAGAGGCTCTGAGTCAGAGGGAGACAGAAGGGAGGGTGGCAGTGAGGAGAGAACGGCCCCGTGGGGTGAGCCGCTAGAGCCACACCAGGAGCCCTCCTCCAGGACACAGCTGCAGTGCAGTGGCCAGAACAAAATCCAGCCCCATTTACAGAGGCAAACTTTGTTTCCAGGACAAAATATAAGAGCTAGGACAGAACACAACATGTCTAGTCAGATGCGTCCCTGTGCCTGAGCTGAAATCACACAAAACCCACAAATCTGCAGTCTCACTCACATGCTTCCCCTCAAGAACCCACCTAGGTCCTCCACCACAGGGGCCTATCCAATCTCCCCTTGACCTCAAAGACAAAAGAACCATTGGTTTTTTCAGTTCTACCTGGTCCTAAGGCCAAGCTCTCGATGGGTTGGTCCCTGGCACTGAGGTGGCTCTCCTGTGGTGGGAAAGGGTTAGGCAGTTCCCACCTCAATCCCGCCTGCAGGGAGCCCATGATGCCTAAGTAAGCACCTGGAAGGCTAGAAGCAAGCCCAAGAGGATAGAGACCATACCCAGCCAAGGGACCCTCCCTTCCTTCTGGCTGAGCTGAGGATTTCACAATGGAGGAAAGGCAGAGCAAGGACTGGCTCAGCAAAAAGGCCTGGAGCCTTCCTAAACCCACGCCTAGAAGGAAGAGCATGAGTCAGAAGCTCATGTTGGGTTTCCATCAGCCATTTTACAAGTTTCCCTTAGGCTACAGGTTAGGAGAGCTCAGCTCTAGGCCCTCTATCAACAGTCTCATCACAGGCAGATGGGTGAACGGAGCGGCATGTGACCCCTTGTCCAATAGGCAGCGAATGAGGGCTGACCCTGGAGGATGACACTCAGGCTCTATTGCTCTATGACAACCAACTCTTCCAGGCACAGATGGCAAGAGCCTATGACCCCAGAGAACAGCAACTTTCTTATCCTTTAAGAAAAATAACCTGATTTCCTCCTGGGGAGTATCCAGGCCGAGGCTATAAGAAAAAGTTTTCTTACATTTTGGACACTCAAAGTAAGATTCCAAAGACCATGACAGACACAAAACATGCAGCTAAGCAGGCTCCAGTTGGTCCAGAAACATCTCCATGTGGTCGGGTCACTCAGCAAATGTTGCTTCTGGTGTCAAATCCTGGAGCAGGTCTGTGTCAGTTAATCCCACTCATCCACAAGATCTTCCAAGCTTCTCTTGACTGCACAACAACTTCCAGCCAAACAAGACTGAGGGCCGAATGGAAGAGCCTCGTTGGGAAGATCACAAACACGCCGACCGAACCAGGATCCATGCTGACAAGCAAAGGCTAGAGCAGCGGGCCAAAGCAGAAAGCCTTCCCTGTGGACACCCGGTGAGGACCAGTGCAACATGTCTGTTCTGCAGCCCTGGCTCCCACAGACAGGCATGGAAGGTCTTCTCAATCTCAGGCTGCATGTGAAGAGAACAGTAAAAGGAGGGAGAAGCTTCCGCCCAGATTTCCAAGGAGAGCTGCTCAGGTGGACAGAGGCTTAGACCAAAAGCAAAAATGAATGGACGGATGGCGGGAAGGCATGAGGAGTATTCCATCCTTTGCAGATTTAATCAAGAAGCACGGGGGTCCTGAGTCCAACACCAAGGCGTCCTGGGCTATGAAGTTCTTTTCTATGATCTTGGCATCATACAGGAGATGCCGTCTCCACCCTCTGAGCTCCCAGTGGACGGACTGCAGGGAAAGGCACATCACACAGCATTGCCCTTCGGTGGTGGGCTTCCTGAACCAGAGTCAGAGGTCCTCACAGGTGACCATGGGAATATGGTGTCCCTGAACTCAAAGCTCCAGTGACAGAACATAGTCCCTGACCAGCTGCTGGAGAATGGAGACCACTGGGCTGTGTGGTCAGGCCAGCGCCTGTTCCTCCCACACCTCGTGGAAACAGCCACAGTGGGGGTGGTGGCAGGAGGGCTCAGTAGAAACGCTTTCGGCTCTGTTCCTGCCACTTGTTGTACAGTATGATGCCAATGACAATGGCAAACACGGAAAACACCAGAGAGAAGAAGACAATGAGGAAGAGGGCCAGGCCACTTAGGGGCGGCAGCGGGGCTGTCACTGAGGAAGCAAGAGAGAAGTCAGTCAGTCCTTGGGAGCCTACCCATTAGGAAAGACCACCACCAAGCTGGAGCCCCAGGTTCCAGTGCCCATTCTGGGAGACAGAACTCAGACTCTCCCTTTCCAGCTGCTTTAATCCAAAGACGAAGCCACCACCTCCTGCCCATCTGTAATCTGAAGACAAGTGACAAGAGGTGCCAGTGCTCCATGTCCCTCCGGGGAAGGACAAAGGAGACAGCCCTGCAAGCTGTGGGTGAGCTCCCTTGGCCCGCCCCAGCACCGCGGCCCTCCCACCGCGGACCCTTTCCCAGGGTCTCCATGCTCACGCTCAGGCAGCTTCATGTTGTCCACCGAGGGCAAGAACACGTCTCGATGCAGCTTCTCCTCTTCTGGGGTTCTCTCCACTGTCAGCTCAAATAGCTTCATGGAAATGATGTCATGGTTGTCTAACGGAAAAAGTACTGCTCAAGCCCCCTCAAAAAGAGTAATCTTGGCTGAAAACGGTTTGGCTCAGTGGATAGTACATTGGCCTGCGGACGGGGGGGGGGGGGGGGGGGGCGGGAGGGGGAAGGGGGGGCCCAGGTTCGATTCTGGTCAAGGGCATGTACTTTGGTTGTAGGTACATCCCCAGTGGGGGATGTGCAGGAGGCAGCTAATCGATGATTCTCTCTCATCGATGTTTCTAGCTCTCTATCCCTCTCTTCCCCTCTGTAAAAAAAAATCAATAAAATATATATATATTTAAAAAAAAAAAAGTTATCTTGGAGTATCTTGGCTCAAGCTTCCGACTTCACAGCTAACTAGCAGTGACCTTGAAAAAAATAATTGCAACCTCTGTTTCTCATCTAAAAATAAGGAAGGATAAGACGGAAATGTTCTATAATATTCTACAATTATATACACACACACACACACACACACACACACACACACACACACACAAGATATAAACATCAATGATGAGATTCATTGATTGGCTCCTGTACACCCACACTGGGGATCGAGCTCACAACTCAGACATGTACCTGGACTGGGAATTGAACCCTGATCTCCTGGTTCATAGGTCGACACTCAACCACTGAGCCATGCTGGGCGAGCTCTCTCTTTTTATAGCATCGTTATAAACTCATCAATTCAAACACATTTGACATGTGTCAATACACTGAGGTTGTACATCTTACTGATGCTCACCTCCACCCATTTTGTTCCAGTGGGAGCCAATGCAAGTTGGTTTCTGAGTCTTTTTTCACAAATCCAGAAGTTTTTTAAGATTTTATTTTATTGACTTGTTTTCTTTTTCTTTCTTCTCTCTCTCTCTCTCTTTCTCTCTCTCTCTCTCTCTCTCTCTCTCTCTCTCTCTCTCTCTCTCTCTCTCTCTTTTAAGAGAGAAGAAAAGAGTCAGGGAGAGAAAGGGATGTGAGAGCATACCCTCTATGGGGAATCGAACCTACAACCCAGGCATGTGCCTTGACTGGAAATCAAACCAGCGACTTTATAGTGCATAGGATGACGTTCAACCAACTGAACCACACTGGCAAGGGCCCAGTAATTCTTTTTTTTTTTTTTTTTTTTTAATATATTTTATTGATTTTTCACAGAGAGGAAGAGAGAGGGATAGAGAGTTAGAAACATCGATGAGAGAGAATCATCGATCAGCTGCCTCTTGCACACCCCTTACTGGGGATGCGCCCGCAACCAAGGTACATGCCCTTGACCGGAATCGAACCCGGGACCTTTCAGTCCGCAGGCCGACGCTCTATCCACTGAGCCAAACCAGTCCCGGCTAGGGCCCAGTAATTCTTGATAGCTTCCTTGCTTTTCTGGAAAATTCCCACTTGTACACTTCTTGCCATAGATCTGCCATTTCTTCAAGAAGCTCCTGTTCCTCTCAGTGGAGACTGGTATTAAGAGACCACAAATCTGTCAAAACCTGTTTGGCTCAGTGGTAGTGCATCGGTCTGCGGACTGAAAGGTCCCGGGTTCAATTCCGGTCAAGGGCATGTACCTTGGTTCAGGCACATCCCCAGTAGGGGGTGTGCAAGAGGCAGCTGGTCGATATTTCTCTCTCATCGACGTTTCTAGCTCTCTATCTCTCTCCCTCCCTCTCTGTAAAAAATCAATAAAATATATATATTTTTTAAAAAAAGAGACCACAAATCTGAATGCCATGGAGGTATGGCTACTTGGTTGGATTTCTTGCCATTTTTATGACTAGAATGGCACCTACACCTGCTTAGACTTAAAATTTTAGCAAACCATTAGCAAACTGAAAAACTGGGCTTGCCTTCAATGAGGCTTTTGCTGTCAGGACTGAGTGGGAGCCATGGACAGAATGAAAGACAGGGCACTGCTCCTCACAATGTGGGACACCAAGACTGGGACGGCTAGAGTGTACCTCACTTTCTCGGCCATTTCAAACCCAATGCCTAACAGTAAGGTGTCAACAAGAAAGACCTTAAGAGAAAGAATTTCTATTTAGGGACATTCTATGGGCAGAGAACAGACTCACTAACCTAGGTATTACCACCAAAACCCTAGAGCAAAGGATTCCTTAGGGTAAACAAAAAATGACTGAATTTTCTTTGGTCATTTCTGACAACCTCCCATTGAATATCGTACCGGGAAGTTAACTGACAGGTTCTAGAAACATGTAAACTTAAAGGAAAATGCAAAGAAGACATTTCAACTTGAAATACATACCAAGATTACCTAGCAAAGATCTAAAGCTTGTGCCTCTGTGCCTGGGCCCAGGGACCTCTGCCCACAGCCTCAGCCTTCTGCACAGTACGCAGCCCTTGGCTGCCAGGGCAGAGCAGGTGAGGGCGGAGTGCTGCGAAGGGGCACCAGAACTTCTAGCAATGACGGAAACACTCTGTTTGACCATGGAGGTCATGACACAGGTGTAAATATTTGTCAAAACTCTTGCCCCCGGAGAAACCAAGATGGCGGCATAGGGTAGACACCTGAATGCAGCCTACCACAACAAATTTGAATTTAGAACTGGAAAATGGGAAACATCGCCCTGAAATGCCGGAGGGCTGGCTGAGAGGAGGCTCTACCATCTCGGAAGGAGAGAGAAGGCACACTGAACCTCAGGAACTGTGAAGGTGCGGTGAACTGCGCGTGCAAAAAGGCGGCCGCCAGATTTCGCTGCCGGCTTGCTTGCGGAGCGTGGAGAGGGCGGGCTGGGCCGAGTTCACTGCTGGCTTACTCCCTGCGCACAGAGAGGGCGGAAAGCTAATGCACAGCTGGCTTTCTTGTGCGGGAGGAAAACAGAACCACCCTATTGCTCTGATAGAAAGTCCCAGACAGGGAGAGGCCAGACTGTCAGGCAGTGGGCAGGGATCTCTCGGAGGTGTGTGAAGCCAGCGGCCATTACTGCGGGACTCAGAAACCAGATCCTTGTAGGGAGGGGCTGACCAAAGCTTGCCTGCACCACCCGAGACTGCTCCATCCAAGCAGAGCACAGAGGCCCTTCCAGTGGCTACCTTTCTCGTTTGGTGCAAATAGGACTCTCCAAGGGAGGGGCAGACAGGAATCCAAAGCCTATACCAAAGAGGTGCGCGCACCTGCAACCAATCTTTGGGATTCACCAAAGCTTGGCTGTGCCACCCCGAGACTCTGCCCCATGCAAGCGGAATACAGAAACCCTCCTAGCTGAGCTGAGACACTTCTGATCCTCATAGCCAATTGGCTTGGAGATCAACGCTTTCCAGTGATACCAACAACAAGCAAGGCTTAACAACAAGACTGCACACACAGCCCACAAAGGGCTATACCAAGACTGTCCACCTCAGGTAACTGGGAGGCTGACCCACCGAACCATATAGGACACCTTAGCACACAAAGCCACCCTACCAACTCAGGGAAGCTGTGAAAATGCCGAGACAAGGAAACAGATCACAAACAAAAGAAATGGAGGACAAGAAGCAACTAGTGTTCAAAACCACGTTTATAAGATTTTTCAAGAGTTTCCTAGAAAAGGCCGATAATATAAACGAGACCTATGAGGATATGAAAAGGGATCAACTAGAAATAAAGAATACATTGTCTAAAATAAAAAATATTATACAGAGTCCTAAAAACAGAATGAAAGATCGCAAGAATCAAGTCAAAGATTTGGAACACAAAGAGCCAGAGGACACTCCTCCACAGAAGCAAGAAGACGAGAATCCAGAAAGTTGAAGATAATGTAAGAAACCTCTGGGACAACTTCAAGCGAACCAACATCAGAATTATGGGGGTCCCAGAAGAAGAGAGAGAGCAAGATACCGAAAACATACTGAAAGAAATAGTAACAGAAAACTTCCCCCACCTGGGGAAAGAAATAGGCTTACAAGTCCAGAAAGTGCACAGAACCCCAAACAAAAGGAATCCAAACAGGAACACACCAAGACACATCATAATTAAAACCCCAAGAGCAAAAGACAAGAGAGAATATTAAAAGCAGCAAGAGAAAAGCAGGGGAAAAAAAAGAGAAAAGCAAGTAGTTACCTATAAAGGAACACCCATATGATTGTCAGCTGATTTCTCAACAGAAACCATGCAGGCCAGATGGGAATGGCAAGAAATATTCAAGGTGATGAATAACAAGAACCTACAGCCAAAAATACTCTACCCAGCAAAGCTATCATTCAGAATTTCATCACCGCCAAACCACAATTATATGAATTGCTGAAAGGGGTTCTTTAGGAAGAGGAAGAAGATATAGATAAAAATTATGATCAACAAATACGTAACTATCAACAAGTGAAACTAAAAGCCAAGGGAATTAAAAAACCCGATGAACAATATTAACTGGTGAATATAATAGAATCAGAGGTATGGAAGGGGAGTGATCTGACGATTCTTGGAGGAAAGGGGAGAGTGGGTGCGGGAAGAGCCTGAACAAAACTGTGCACCTATGGATGAGGACAATGGGGGGTAGGGAAAGGGCAGAGGGTGGGGTGGGAACCTGGTGGAGGGGAGCAATGGAGGGGGAAAAAAATGAGGAACATTTGTAATAATATGAACAATAAAGATTTATTTAAAAAAACAAACAAAAAAAAACCTCTTGCCCAGCCAGGTATAGCTCAGCAGTTGAGCATCGACTCAGGATCCAAGAGGTCACTGATTCGATTCCCTGTCAGGGCATATGCCCAGGTTGCAGGCTCAATCCCCAGTGGGGGGTATGCAGGTAGCAGTCAATCAATGATTCTCTCTTATCATTGATGTTTCTATCTCTCTCTCCCTCTCCTTCCTCTTTGAAATCAATAATAAAAACAAATTCTTCCAACTATATACTTCTGTTGTATGGAAAGCACATCTCAATAAAGTTGACTTTTTTTAAAAAAGCCATAATTTAAAAAATATTTCATTTTAAAAATCCAGATTCCCAGTTTCTCTTGAAAAACTGACAGCATGGCCATACTAGGCCCACATTTGCTCTTGGCCATGATGCTGGGACCAAGCAGCTGTTGCCCATTTCAGATGGGTGTTTCCCTTTTCCTATTAGCTTTATTCATAATAAATTATGTCAAAAAATCCCAAGAGTTTGGTTCTTTACCTCTTTTCAAATGGCGTTATGATTGGAGCCAGGGGAGAACAAATGGGGACAAAGAAAAAGGAAGTCGGAGGAGACAGGAAGGAAAAGCAGAGGGTATTGTCAGTGGCACAGACCTTCAAGGCACATGGTCAAAAGAGCTGACGTGAGGACGCAGAGCCAGGACTGAGAACAGAGTGTCACGCAGGCAGGGACACAGAGTCACTCTCACTAGGAGAGTGCTAATGCACGGTCGAGACATGGGTCCAGGGCAGTGTGTTCAGAGTGGAATGGCTGGAAACGGGAGCATCTCTACACATGAAACCCAGAAGTCTAAGCACAAAACAGGGCCTGGGGGGATGGCAGAGTCACGGAGAAGCCATGTTCAGAGAAGGGGAACTAAGTACATTAGGAGTGGGAGGGAGGAAGCGGACTAGAAAGGTGGCACCAGAGTTAGAAAAGCGCAGAGCTCAAAACACAGCTGGAGAGCGGGCTCCTAGGACAGGCAAACACTACTTTCCCGTAGCTCCAACCATCTCCTAGGACAGCTGTCCAAGGCCAGCCTAGACCTGGGGTCTTAAGGAATCTGGGTACGAGAATGCAGGAAGATAAGCACTTCCAGAATCTTCCACTGCTTGTCTGGATCTTGCCTCTAGAAGCTTCACCGCGGCCTGGCCACTGAGACATGACCTCAGTGAGGGCAAATGAGCAGTGCAGTGGGAGTACCTGAGAGATCCCCGGTGACGGAGGAGGTGCCAAAGTAGTAGCCCCGGGGCAGGCGGACCCCGGGCACCTCAATGCAGTCCCTCCACTCATGCTTGCCATCAATGTCCAACATTATCTAGAATAAAAAGAAGAGAGGGATCAGGACCAGGCCCCGGAGCAGGAGCCAGACAGCCCATACTGCCAACTGGTGCCAACTCACCGTCAAATGCCTCTTGACATAGCGAATCACAAGGAAAGTGTCATGCTGGAGATTGCGGACAATGGCCGTACAGCCCCCCAGCTCTGTTGGCCGCCCATCCCGCTCATGATCATAGTTGAGGGAGCCATTGTTCACCATGGCTGAGATGTAGGGGAACACCCGCTGGGAAGGCAGGGAAGGAAAAGCAGAGGACAATGAGGAAGGATGCTCAGGAGCCTGTGCAAAGAGCAACAAGAACTGCACATACAAGCTGAGCACATACAGCGACCGGACAATAGCCCAGCCTCATCACTAACCACCCGCTAGAACCCACACTCCAGTGATGTGGCCCAGGAAGCAACTAACTCTGGCCTTGTCTCCAGGGATCCTTCGTGCAACAAGCCTGGACGGGTCCTGACATGGTCCCTCTCAGGCTCTAACCTCCTCCCCGAGAACACCATTTTGCACTGTTCTTCTGCCCCACACTAGTGGCTTTTGTGTTTACGTACCTATCTACCCAACTGCCATGTAAACTCCTTTAAGAAAAAATAATTTGTTATGCTTTTTTGTATGTCTCCACATTAGCATATTTTCTCCCTAACCCCCCACTCCCTGAGTGTTTTGCACACAACAGGTATCCTGAAAGTACCTTTTCATGAAGAAAATCTTTCCATTCAGGATAGTTCCTTTCAAATTCTAAAATCCTATAAGCACATGATGCCAAATGGACCAGGACTCAAAAAGAATCAGGCTGCTGGATAGTGTTCTCCAGCCAACATCACTGTTTTAGCCAAAACACCTTCCAGCCCCGTTAAGCTTCAGCCACAACTTCTCCCAATAACACACAGAGCAAAGTTCTCCCAGATCCCACCCACTTTCCCACCCTACTTCAGAGGCCCTCTTCAACAAAATTATAGGAGCATATCTTCCTTAGAAATTCTGAGCAAGCCCAGTGCTGGGCAGTGCAGGTGGAAGGAGAGATCACATGACACATGCCTCTTGGTGAGTCCCACACTGTCCCCAATATCAGCATGCAAGATGAAGATGCACTCACAATCAGAGACTGGTGACTCTTGAGAGCCACATGGATTCTAAACAGTAGCTAATGTTGGATGAGCACACAGGGAAGAAAGGATGGCCATGGTGGGTCAAAAACTGAATACCTGGATTCCTGGAGAATATCGTCTCTTCTGGGCCTGAGAGGGTCCAACAGGTTTGAAAACAAGAGAGAGCACAGAAGACAGGAGACCAAGTCAGAAAGAAACAGCCATCGGAGAGCCAAGACCCAGCAGAGGTGGGTGAGCAAACCAGTCTCAATCCCTAAACAGAAATTTAGGGTCCATGGAGGGCACGCAAGTCCTTGTGCCTCTCAAAATTATAGGCAAAACTGTATGCACAGGCGCTTGTACATTGCGAGGAGAGGAGGTGTTACTACGAAGAGGACTGCAAAGAAGTCCTCTGGGAGGACCTCTCTCAGGTCCTGAAGCTTACAGAAGCGTTAAAAACACACAGCATTACACCACCCAAGCAGCCCCACTCATGTCTCTGAGAGCCAGGTCAGCCAAACTTTGTGCCCAGACTGCAGTATTTCTATGGCAAGGAGAGAGACATCGCTAAGGTCTTCCAAATTCAAGATGCTGTTTACTGCCCAGGATCTCAGATTATAGCTAGTGCCCAGAAGACAAAAAGCCTAGCACGTGAGAGGCTGTGAAATGAACATGAATCCAAAGGGATCATTTACCCTCTAATTGAGCCTGTGGACATATATTTCCAAACATATAACCTATAACATGTGGGCAAGGCAAAGCTCCGTGGCAGTGTTGAAACATGGCAGGTGGTTCAAGGATAGTTTTGCTCCAGTGCTAGCAACAAGAGATACCCACACTGGCTCAGTTCAGCCCCACCCTACGAAAAGGGTGTGGAAGGGTGTAGAGCACAAAGCGTTCCTTCCTGATGCTTCCTGAGACCTGTTACCAGCCAGCACTGTTCCAGATGCTTTAGGTTCAATGGGAAACAACATAGACAGTACCTGCTCTCATGGAGCTGACAATAAAGTGGAAGAGACAAATTCTAAGTAAATAAAATTTCAGACTGTGATAAATACTGAGATGAGAACAGAAGAGGTGATCCAATAGAGACCAATAAGGAGACAACAGCTGAGTGCCAGGTAGTTAGAGGCAGTCCCCAAAGCAGCATGAGTTTGGCATATCCGTGGACTAGAAGACACAGGTGTTTGAAACTCAGCTAGTGAGGAATGGGCAGGAGCCAGATCCCACTGTAAGGAGTTTAGGGTGGGCCTCAGAGAAGCTCCCAACTGTGAAATTGTACAGGACTACAACGGGAAAGGAAATGAATCTGTGACGATAAACTGCCAAAGGTACTCTTCTACCACTGTCATCTAGAACAGAGATTTTCAACCGTGTGCCACAAAGATTTTTAAAATATGCAATACCTGAGTATTTAGTCAGGGACATTAATCTCTTTTCCCTTAGACTGTCAAATAAAAAAATGACAATAAACCTAGTTGGTTTGGCTCAGTGGGTAGAGCATCAGCCTGTGGAGTGAAGGGTCCTGGGTTCAATTCCAGTCAAGGGCACATGCCCGGGTTGCGGGTTTGACCCCCAGTAGGGATGTTCAGAAGGCAGCCAGTCAATGATTCTCTCTCATCATTGATGTTTCTATCTCCCTCTCCCTCTCCCCTCCTCTCTGAAATCAATAAAAATGTATTTAAAAAAAAAAAAAAGACAACAGCTACACAGCAATAGTTGTCCAGTACAAATGAAGCAAAATTATACCTTCTGGCCTGGCCAATGTGGCTCAGTTATTGAGCATAGACCTATGAATCAGGAGGTCATGGTTCAATTCCTGGTCAGGGCACATGCCCAGGTTGTGAGCTCGATCCCGTGTGGGGCATGCAGGAAGCAAACAATCAATGATTCTCTCTCATCATTGATGTTTCTCTCTCTCTTCCCCTCCTTTCCTCTCTGAAATCAATAAAAATACTTTTTTTTCCCCCTAGCTGTTTTGGCTCAATAGATAGACCATTAGCCTGCAGACTGAAGGGTCCTGGGTTTGATTCAATCAAGGGCACATACCCAGGTTTCGGGCTCGATCCCCAGTAGGAGGCATGCAAGAGCAGCCAATCAATGATTCTCTCTCATCATTGATATTTCTCTTTTTCCCTCTCTCCCTCTCCCTTCCTCTCTTAAGTCAATAAAAAATGTTTTTTAAAAATACATACTTTTAAATTATACCTTCTGATTTTTTGGTCAGATTGGCAAAAAGTATATTTTTTTTGGTGTGCTGCAGAATTTCAGTAGTTTATGTGCTATGAGATGAAAAAGGCTGGAAATCGCCGCTCTAGAACAACAGATTTGTGAATACGTCACCAAACACTTTATAGAAATGGGCTTGGTAAGAAATTCCTAAGTGAACGGTTAGGAAAAGGAAGGGATGAACAATGCCCTAGGGGCTCCGATGACCCTAAGGCTGCTTCATTTACCAACTCCTGGCTGCCTAGAACCGTCCTCCACCTGAAGGGGCTCATTGGTCTCAGGCTGGTGAGGCACCCAATATCCCAACAGAGGTGACTGAGGGAGCTTAAAGCGGCACCTACATGCTCCTCAGTTAAAGTCGCCTCAGCAGGTCTAGAGTAGGGGACAGGCTTATTATTTTTTTAAAAGCAACACAGATAGCTACAATGCACAGCCAAATTTAAGAAACACTGCACTGGACACAGCCCCACAGCTTTCGAGCTGACCTCTGTCTCCTCCAGTCACTCATGGCCTCTGACTTTGCCCTCACATGAATATTAAATGCATGCCCATGTCAGGAGGCCGGAAAGTGTCTCTTGGGGACCCACTAACAGTCGTTCCGTTCCTTGGAAGGCAGCCTTAATGGAGCTGGGACCAGAGGCTGGAGAATTACAATGACTTGGGCAAAGGAGGCAGTTTCAATCATAACTGAAGAGTCACCAAAAATGAGGAACTCCTGCCTATTGTGTAAATCGCCGTCTGGAGGGTGGAGAAATGCTTTCACGTTTTTGTACTGCAAGGCTGCTTTTTTAAAAAGGGCACCTACACTATACCTTCAACATACCGTGATTGAAAGGAGACCTGTGGACTTGTGGGTTTGGAACCCTGTGCTAAACTCCCAGACCCGAAGCACACGAGCCGTGAACCCTGAACAGAACAGAGCAGACCTGGCCTATCGGCAGGGAGAGCTGTTCTCACTGCAACCATGCCACTCCGCCAGCGGAGACCCTCTCCTGCCGGAAGCAGGGAGAACAGACGGCACACAGGTAATGATGAAGACGAAATGAGATGTGGAAAGCATCTGGTACAGTGTCCGGCATTCAGGAGGGAGTCAATAAATAATAAACGTTCATTCAATCCATGACTAAATGAATGAATTCCAGGGAGAAACATTGTTTACAGGTACTCATCTATACCCACAATGCTAACCACATCGTTTACGGCAGTAATTCCCAGACCACTGGCTTGTCATGGACCAATAAAACCTCCAAAAATATTTTGGAGGTTAACAGATTTACCTTGTGGTTTTCTGACCTACTAAATACCTTAAAATACAATGACAAGACAACCATCTTTATAAACATCACTTTTTTATAAATATCACTTTTTAAAAGAACATTTTAATGTCAAAAATAGAAATACGTAAAGTTATAATAAACATTTAGCATCTATCAAAAGTCACCTCACTGCTCTTACTCTTAGACCAGTGAAACTGTCTCCAACCGACAGGAGCTCATGAACTTGGGAGCCACTCTTTAGGGCAGTTTTTCCAACTAAGCCATCCTGCAGCTGAGTAAGCTGGCTGAGTTTGCTCCCTGAACCTAGACAGAGATGAAGAAACACAGGGTGGGAGAGAACGGAGCCACAGGGATACCAGGCAGACCTCTGCAAGGGTGGCCCTTGTGAGTGTCAGCCAGTGGGGAGACCAGCTGGCGCTTTCTGAGGGCTTCCTCTGGGCCAGCACTGTGTCAGTGACAGCACATCCCATTCCTCTAATTATCACAACCCGTTGGGTTATAGCCCTCACAGGGAAGAAATGTGTCTAAGAGGACACAACTGGTTTAACAGGCTTTGCCTTGGCCTGTGTGGCTCAGCTGGTCAGAGCATCATCCCATACCAAAAGGTTGTGAATTTGATTCCCAGTCAGGG